GATTTTTTAAATACCTAATTGGATTTGGATCTTTTTTAAAGAATATAACATTTCTATTTAGACGTCAGGGTCACATCATTAAAATTAGTAAAATCATTTAGTATAATCTGAAAAAAAATCTCATGAAGAAATTTTAAGTATCTTTAATATTTGAAAACAAGAAAGTACATGAAACTACAAAAAAACTCCATGTTAATTGCCTCATAATTATAGAGGAAGTTAAACCTATGTACTTATGTATATGACCATGGACAAACTACTTCTAAAGGATTGAATAACTGCAACTACATCACTTCCTTCAAGTAAGTCGCAGATTCAACATGGCTATTTCCGTTGATAAGACCAAGTCCATTTGCAGTAGTAAAAAGTTTGGTCAGATGTAAACTCTAAATCGATGATAACTCAATTGAACAAGTCATGCAATTTAGCTATTTGCATATCTAGCGCTCATGATCCAGTGGAAGACATGAAAAACCAAATTAACAAAGCATCCGCGGTGTCAGGGTGCTTAAAGGTGGCCAAGATGAAGACATGTGATCAATAGATTGAAAAAAAAGGAATGGACAGAATGAGAAACTATTAAATTAGAGATCAATACAACGTTCCAGACATAGTGAGATGGGGAAGACAGCGCAGCGGAAGAAACATTGGCTTGGGAAACCCCTTGGAAGTATTAGGCCTAGCAAAGAAATTGTGGACACAAACATTTTAACTATACAAGTCGATACCCACGATATTATAAAACCTTAAAACCTTTTAAATTGAATAATCTCATCATTTTGATAAAAAAACAAAGTCTGTTTAGACATCTGTTATCAAATCGTATTCAGCAAGAGAAATGTGGTATAGCACACACGACATTTTAGGCATACATAACAACATACATTGCAAAACTACCCCGACATGTTTAAAACAGCAACAAAAATGATCCAGTACAGATCATGACATTGAGCTAAATATGTCAGAAAATGTTGAAGATTTTCGAAATAAGTATGCAGAAGCGACGAATCCCATTGCAACAGAAAAGAAAACTTTTTGGAAGAAATACTTGGTTTTTTAAATTTTTAATTTCCATATAATGTTTTATTTTCTTAAATAACGGTGTCTTCTCGGTGAATGGGGAGGAAGTTTGTGAACTCTTTTCCGACTACTTAATTACTTTTATTACTCTTTAGTTACTTACATTAATGCGATCTCGGTTGACGGTTTCGATTTATCCGAGGTTGAAGAGACTCTTTTTGGTGTGGCTGTTTCCAAGGATCCGGGCTCAGATGATATACCTTCCATTTTTATTAAGAGATGCTCTAAATCTCTTGCTAGACCTCTATGTTTAATTTTTAATATGTCGCTACGTTGCGGTGTTTTTCCATCTGTGTGGAAACTGGCGAAAATTACCCTATTTTTAAGTCAGAAGATCGTAGTGTTGTAACTAAGTACCGTCCTATATCTATTTTACCAATAAAGGGAAACATCTTTGAAAGATTGGTTTACAGCAGGCTATTTTTTCAGATATGTGAGTGGGTGCGGAGCAACACGGTTTTTATTCGGGGCGATCTGTGGATACTAACTTGTTAGAATAAACCGACTTTCTTTTTTCGACTATTAATAAAAACATCCAAGTAGATGCGATATACACTGACTTTAGCAAAGCTTTTGACAAAGTGGATCATTGTTTATTACTGTTGAAGTTGGAGCGCGTTGGTGTCACAGGTGTCCTTTTGAGCTGGTTTGCTTCGTACCTCTCCGATCGCACGCAGATGGTTGGGGTTGGTGAATATTCGTCCGGTCCTGTTATCATGTCTTCCGGAGTTCTTCTCTTGTTTACGATGTACATAGGTGACATCACCAAGTCTTTTCTTACCTCAAGATGTCTTATGTATGCTGACGACATTAAAATATTTTCTCCTGTTGCTGCTGTTTCAGACTGCTTTAACTTTCAGAATGACCTGAACAGATTTTATGATTTTTGTGAGATTAATAATTTGTCACTTAATATATCGAAGTGTCGGACTGTTACTTTTACGAGAAAAAAGCAGTTCATTAAATTTGATTACCGATGCAGAACAGTAAAGACCTGGGCATTACTTTAGATAGCAAGCTACTGTTTGATCAACACGTTGATGCAGTGGTGGCCAGAGCTGATAGGATGCTGGGATTTGTAATGCGCTCTTCTGAATCGTTTTGCAGTCCTAGACCTATTATTTCTTTATACAATGCTTTCGTTAATAGTATTTTATCGTTCGGCAGATTTGGAACCCTCAGTATGATGCATACATTAACAGAATAGAGTGGATTCAGATAAGGTTTTTGAAGTATCTCTCGTATAAATTCTGGCATCCTTATACAGATTACCAATCTGCCTGTCAAATGTATCATATGCCCACACTGCAGCAGCGCAGAACATGCAGTGATGCCTGCTTTCTGTTCAGGTTAGTCAGAGGCTACTGTGATTCTTCCTATCTTCTTTCACGCATTGATCTAAATGTTCCCCCTCGTCGGCTGCGCTATGACTTTCTGTTTTATCAGACAGTGGACCGCCTTGGGTTGGACATATTCGTCGTTGCGCCGCACAACTTCAAACAAATTATTCATAATGCCGTGCTCGCCCTACCACTTGTGTGATTTTGAGTACATTATCTCGTTACAATGGCTTGAGTTCTGCCTTGAAATGGATTGATCACATATGCTTAAGGCCATTAATTGATCGATTTTCAATTTTGTGTTCATACAATTATTATATATTTATAAAATGTATTATAGTGGAGTAGCTTTTGTGTGGGACTGTGTCCTGTTGCTACCCCGTGTGTGTAAATAAATAAATGTTAAAACTTTAAAGATTAGGTATTTATATATGAAAATTGTGAAGTGTTATGCTTGCTGTTGAATTTTATTTTGGAAAGATATTTCATCTGATCACACATTTTTCATAATTAGTTAAGGTATCATTTATTCTTTGCTTGTCGCCTGTCTGTCCTTAAGTTTAGTATCTGTAATAATAAGTAATATCTCTTTCTCCTCTCATAACTCCTCTCTCTACCCTCTGCCATAAAATACCATGGAATTTCTTTCACTTGAGCGCGACATTCTTGTTTTTCCACATCTCCACATCACAGTGTGAACCTTTTTCTCCCCCGTTTTTGTATTTTCTTTGTTGAGTACCCTATTCTGATATAATTCCCAACCTTCTTTCAACACTGTCCCAAAATCTTAAAATCGCTCTTCTGCCAGCTTCAACTCCTCTCTCAATATGTATATCCCGGATTCTCCCTACTCAACAGTATCCAATTCTTCCCTAATCTATCAAACATTATTTTCCGTCTGTACAAATCTTTTCCAAAATATTCGTTCCCCCAGCTCTATATCTGTCAGAATAATCTACTTGTCTTTCTAACTCTTTGCCTAATACCTATGAGTCTCAACCTCAGTATCTGCTCGAAAGGTAAAACTCTGGTATCTCCTTGCAGAATTTTATAATTTTCTTTTTTTTCAACATTCACCTCCAAATCCTTCCCCTCAAAGTATGTCTCCATAGATCTCATTATCCCTTTTAACTCCTTGCGCGTCTATTATCACTACCACCAGATCATCTGAATCCTCTATATACGCCCATCCAATTTCACCTTTTTTCATCCTCTATTAGATATTCACTAATTTCCAGCTTAGGTAGTCTTACATTTTGTGTCTTTCTACTTCGAAAATCTTCCTTAATTTTCTGTAATAGTCACTATGATATTCAGATCTTGGAATTGGATCTTTGGCAGTTATGAGTTTCATTGGTTAATGACATTTACTGTCTTGAATTAAATAACATTCTAAATGATATAATAATATTTTCTATTCTGCCATTAAATGTCCAAATCATCTCTTTAATTTCTTATGCAAATTTATTCTCAGTGTCAAGTTTAACGAACTCACCTCACCATCTTTTTAAATATATAAATATATTTACTTTTTTTAAACTATTAGATTGTTATGACAACTTTAATGATTTTATGATAAAAAAAGAAATAGTTTTAGTTTGTTTAGTTACTGTTGTGATGTAAGACTTTAGACTAGTTTTTAAGTCCAAGAATTTACTACGCTGCGTTACTTGATGTTATGTAAGTCCAAAGTATTCCATACTGCTTAATTTATTAGTGAAAGGTATGATTTTAAGCAGTTCAACACTACGACCGTTGTTTTTCAAGATTTTACATATTTCCACTGAAATTATTATAATAACCATATCGTACCTAATAAAAACCTTTCGCTCCAAAAACGAATATTTCGTTTCTTGAATTTTTTATTAATTTAATTGAAGGTCAATTAATAAAATTAATATATATACTGATTAAAATTAGATAGGAATCACTTTAAATGATGAAATTTCTATGTTCGTGACTAATACATTCTCCGATACAATAGAAAATGCGAAAAGGCATGAATGGCGAACGACATAATATGGGTGTAACCAGTTACTCGGAGATAAGAGAAAGCAATCTCGAATCGGAGAGCGAATTTTTTGAAGGTGCTCGTTGAAAATTGGTCTCACAGAGACCAAGTTTATGCAATAGAAAGTGATTGCGTAAGGAAATGACTTCTATAGGACGTTCTTGAACAGGGACAATAAATGCGTTAAGTCTCGTTTTTCGCGTAATTTATGCCTACAATTCGCGTTAACGCTACAAATCTTAGCGGTCGATATTGATATTCCCTTCACTTCATTTCGATTCGTGAAGAAATAGGCTGGCCTCAAACTGTTACCGGTTCGTTCTTTCCGCAAGGCCATTCTCGCATGATAGAATTTATATAATAATACCTCGATTAGATACTTAAGTAAATGATAAAATAAACTATGCCGTGAACAAAACTAGCGCTGAGAAGCGTTAAAACAACCTCTTTCAACAATTACAACCAGCAAAATAAAGAAAAAACAAGTTGCCTTAAAAAGAATCCAAGAATAACTTAACGATGACCTCACGTTACTCCTTAAGAATGTCATTTTCTTCATTATGTTACAGATTGCGGAATCCGAGGCTCCTACTCAACCGAGAAAAGTGAGGGGAAGAGTACGTTTTTCTCTGCCAATAGATGTTGATGCGGAATTAGCCGATATACCATCAAAAGCAATTAGACCTGAATCAAGATTTGAACCGCGAATACATTCACGATCAGAACCTAATGTTGAATCTACCAGAATTGAATCTAGACCAGCCGCAATTGTCCGAAAAACAAAAATTACCACCCCAAGGACTTCTCTTTATGAAGTAGAAGAAGTTGTAGATGATATTCCAGATAAAAACCTTAGGAAAGTGCATAAATCCCGAGTTATAACCGAAACGAGATTTGAAGCAGCTAATGCCCCTAAGAAGCCATTTTTCGAACCATTTCCTCGACCCGCAGATGAATTTACAACCGATGATATCTTTGCTAAATTTTCACCGGAAATTACCAAATCAACCACCGAAAAAACCATTGAGAAGAAAAAGGAATTAATAGAAGAATCGATTGAGCAAAAAGAAGTTAAAAAATCTAAAAACAATCTTAAAGAAGAAACTGTTAATGAAGAAAAAACCACTTTAAATGAAGAAACGATAACATTAAGTAAAGAAGTCGAAGAGGATTTTAATGTTTCTTCTTCTAAAATTCCAGAAAGTACAACATCTTCCGAAATTTCTTCTACTGAAAATGAAGTTAAACAAACCACCGCAAGCCTTGATAATGATACTAAAAAATTACGAACCTCAAGAACTAGAGTGCAAACATCTCAAACTCCTTCAGTTGACGAAACTACAAGTAAAGTTAGAGGTAGAGGGAGATCGCGACCAGCTGCGCCAACTCAAGCTCCCCAATCAACGCAAGAAAATAACTTCCAAAGAAGTAGACCAAGAGGCAGAGGAGCTTCTACGAGCAGTGTATCTTCTGAAATTCCATCCCGGGGAAAAACAAGCGCTGAAAATGAAGCACCATCAAGAGCAAGTCGTTTCAGGACAACCAGAAGAAAGATAGAAAGCAGCGAAGAAACTTCAAGCCCAAGAGGTAGAGGATCTGCCTTTTCTGAAACCAGCCAAGAAAGAGAATCGCCGCCAAGAACAAGAACAGGAAGGAAAGTTAATTATCCAATAACAGATAACGTTCCCGGTCAAAGTGAAGACACAATTTTTACTATAAAACCTAGAAGACCGCAAAATTCCGCCAAATTAGAAGAAATTCCTAAAGTTACCTCCCGTGGGAGATCGAGAGGTCAACAGAAAAGTATTGAAATAACCGAAGCTCCCCCGAAAACTAATTCACGTAGGAACCCATCTAGAAGAAGAATTGAACCAATCCCATCAATATCGAAAAAAACTGAACTGTCATCTTCAACACCTCCAACAACTACAAGTACTGCAAGTACCACAACTACAACAACAACTCAAACAAGCAGCACATCGAGTGAAAGAAATTTAAGAAGAAATACTAACCAACGATTACCTTCACGATCAGAATCAACATCAACACCAATTCCTTCCCCCTCAAGAAACTTTAGAGGAAGAAATTCTCAAAAAATAAATCTAAATGATGTTGAAAAGAAAGTTGTACCTACTGAAAGAAAACCATTATCAAGGCAAAGATCAAGATTTATTCCACCAATTATCGACGAACAAAAACTGGAAGTTCTCCCGTTATTCGAAAGTGAAGCAAAAACTGTTGAGCCCATCATTAAAAAACGACCGATCGAAATAAAATCAAAAAGTAGTAACGAAATAATTGCGGCGGTAAAGCCCCAAATAAAAGAAAAAATTGAAATTGTCACTTCAAAACCACTCGTAAAAGAAACCGTTGAAACGAAAATATCTGAAGTGGTCTCAACTCGAAGGGTGGTTCGACCCATCTTGAGAAAAAGAAAGAAAAGTAAAGATGGTAAAATAAATAATGAGTCAAAGAAAATTTCGAGAGGTGATAAAAAGGTTGAATTGGAAAAGAACTTGAATGCTGATGATATCGATGACAGTGACAACTACCCAGCTGCTTTCAAGGCGTTGTTACACGCTAAATCGAAAGAGGTAAGATGTCTCAAAGGAGTAACAATACTCGACATTAACAATGACCTATCCACAGAGTTCAAGGACGAGATCTTCTGAAGCGGTAAACACGAAGAAGGCTAACATCGAGAAAGTCGTGACTGCACAGAGATTCGCAACAGGTACAAGCTCTTCAAGTTCTTCCACCTCTACAACGAAAACACCATTACAGACTGTTAAGTCTACACCTAAAGTATGTAAACAATCACTTCAAATTAAGTATTACAAAGTTTATTTATTTGAATTTCTCTTTTCATTCAGGGAAACGAAGACGACAATAATATCGTTCCTTCAACGACTGCTTCAACAACACGAGGTACAAGAAGAAAATTTTCTTTGGCTACAAAACCACCCGGATATGAAGACAATCAACCTGCGAAATCGACTAAACGACCAAATTCGAATGGAAGAAAATTAAAAATTATTCGATCAACCGTAGCTCCTTCTCAAGTTTCTGTCGTAACTGAAGTTTCACAATCGGTTCAAACTCAACAACCGAGATATCATGCAAGATTTGTGGCTTCTAGTACAACTGATGGAGCTGCTAATTTGGTGTTGGATGAAATTTCGTCAACGACAAGCAGAATTAAACCGAAAAGTTCCAGAGGATTATATAGCAGTAGAAAGGAAAATGGAAAGAGAAAAGAGAAAAAAGGAGACGGTAGTAATCAACAGGTAATTATTAAAAAATGTTGATTGGATTGTTTATAAAAATTAATCACTTTCTATTATACAGGATTAAAATTATCGGTTTATGCTTCAATATGAAGAAAGAGTGTTTTATTTGATGTGATCACTAATTTTTAGTCCGTCAATTATTTTTAATATCTTCATGTATAACAAAATATTAACTTTCGAATTAACAGTGAAATTTCGCTCGAGTTAAAACCTCCTCAGAATATGCAATATGGAATACGCGACGGAATATGTGTTGCATATATAATTAATAACGATTCTGTGAAGCAAACACAGTGTGTTAATTAATTATCGTACTCGACGTCATCATTGCAAGTATGCAACCAATATCACAGTATTAGTATTGTGACAGCAGTGACAGTAGTGACAGTGCTACTGTTCTAGTTTTAGTATTTTGCATTTCTTTGAAAAAATTTCTAGGAGGACTAAATACATATTGAATTCAACAAAATCTGTAGCGATTAATAAAAGTTAAAAACACCAAAGTAGAAGAGTCTTAGACAACCCAATACAAATTAAACAACTAATAATGCGTATGTGGAAGGTTTTGATGGGTTAGGCTAGTTTGTTGCATTAATTACATCTTTACTGAAATTTTTTGAAATACAGTCGTGTACCACATATCAACTAAATTTGCAGTATTGATGTTCAAATGTAATAAGAGGAAAGATAATAAGAAACATTTTATAGACAAAAGTGCAAGATGTGTAGACTGCTAATGAAAACTCTCTCATTCAAAAAATTTTTTCAGACTAAAAACTTGATTTCATAAGATCCTATTTAAAAAAAACTCTATGGTAAATATCATTATTGGAGAGCGTAGCAATAAATTATATATCTAATGCCTCTGATTGATTCGAACCTGAGTGTCTAATCTTTCCAAACGAGTGTAGTAGCAAACATTACTTCCATAATATCTAAAGTGACTTATTGGTCATGTTAACCCATACTTGTCTTTAGAGTTTAGGAACTTGATGGCTTATCAACGCCATTGATGAAACTTCTTCTTCCAATTTAGGTTTTAAGATTAAAGTCTGAACTTAAACGATGTAGTTGCAGACTTCTTCAAACAGTCTGGAATTTGGTAATTGTAGTTCCAGACATTTTCTTGCTATTTAGATCACGATCAGCGTAATTCCTACAATGTTTCTATCTTTGTACTGTCTGATCATGTTTTTCCAAGACTTTTTTTTTAATTTTGGCAATTAACGTGGGCGCTAAAGCTTTCTTCCAATTTGGATTTCAATCATTGCACTTTCCGATATTTTCATAATAATTTAGGCGTATACAACTTTTTTCTTGCAGTTCGCAATATCTTCATTATAATTCCAGACATTTTCTTACAGTATGATTCTTGGCCATGCAACCCGTAATATTTTCTTGAAGTTTCAAGACTGGTTAGAATAATTCCTACCTAATTTTTTTGCTATATGGTGTTTGGTTAAGTCCAAATATTCTGTTAGAACCCGAAATCTTTCCAAACGTCATTCCAGGCTGTTTCTTAAAGTCTGGAATCGACCGGTATCATTACAGACTTCTTCTTACAGTTCGGAATTGGGTAATTATAATTGCAGACATTTTCTTCCTATTTGGATCACGATCTGCGTAATTCCTAAATTTTTTTTATCTTAGTATTGTATGATCATGTTAATCCAAGACCTTTTTTTTAATTCTGGGGATTAACGTGGGTAATTTTAAAGCATTTATTCCAATTTTGATTTCAATCAGTGCACTTTCCGATATTTTCATAATAATTTAGGCGTAAACAATTTTTTTCTTGCAGTTCGCAATATTTTCATTATTATTCCAGGCATTTTCTTGCAGTTTTAAACTCGGCCACTGTAATTCCTAATATTTTCTTCGAGTTTCAAGACTGGTTAGAATAATTCCAAACAACTTCTTTTGTTATATGATGTTTGATTAATTCCAAATATACTGTTAAAATCCGAAATCTTTCCAAACGTCATTCCAGACTGTTTCTTAATGTCTAGAATCGACCGGTATAATTGCAGACTTCTTCTTACAGCCTGGAATTTGGTCATTGTAATTCCAGACATTTTCTTTCTATTTAGATTACGATCAGCGTAATTCCTAAAGTTTCCAGACTCTTAAAGTCTGGAATCGTACCAGTGTCATTCAAGAATTTTTCATAATGTCTTGTGTCTTGCGTTTTCTGACTTCTTCTTGTACTCTAGAATTCTGCCAGTATTTTTAGACTACAAGAAATATTCTGACTTGAACTTTTTTGTAATATGAAATGCGGTCAACATTTTCTTGAAGATTGGGTTGTGACTAGAGTAAGTCCAAACATTTTTATTGCTATAAAGTCTTACAATTCTATACTAATTCCAAACATTTTGTAGTATTTAGTATCCAGTTATTGTAGTCGAGACACCCAAGGCTCGATATGAAGACAATTTACGCACTGTATGTCAGGTTTGAAATATTACAAATTAATGGCAAAAAATCATGCTACTTAGGTTGCATACTAAATCATTCATTGAATTAGATGATTTATTGCTGCTTGTTCAATTATGATTTATTTTTATCTACATTTTATGGAAAAACATTTGTTTAAAAAAATTGGGTTAATAACGATAATCGGACTGAAAATTCGTAATCATCAATTAAAATTACCTCAAAAACATCGTTTATCTACTCGTATTTAATAATTAATTAATTTAATTTGATTTATTTTTCTCTATAATTAGCAATTAGCAGCTATCGGAAAGAAAAAGAATCGTTACAGTGCAAGATTTCGAAATGACATTATCAATCGACCAGCATCAACGAGACCAACAAACGCACCCGTTTATATCCCAACGGTACCAACAGTAACACCGAGTTATGTAAGTAAAAAGAACTATTTCTTTCTTTGACTGCAACACAAAGTTAAAGATAAAAAAGAAATTAATTTTTCCCATGAAATAAAATAGTACACCGACTGATCTGACTTAAGACTTTTTATTACTTACTTACGAGGACTTAGACATTTTACAGTGACCGATTTTGTAATTTACTTAATATAGCATAAAATTTAATAATAAATGTCTTCTTCTCGAAGGAATTTGATTGGTCAGAGGCACAACACTGGACTTTCAATCGGTTAAACTGAAAGGACAACCGCTGCTCTTCTACAAAATGTTACGCTTCTACCTCTGTATAGCGCTTCCTTTTTATTTTTTTGTTTGGCGGAAAGCTTAACACGTTTACTCTTATCACGCGGAAAAGTGGTGTCGGATCTCGTTTATTACTTTTTTTTTTAAACTTACAATTAGTTTATAAGGCACATGTTTGTAATGATAAGTTAAAAAGAAAACGTATTTATACTAAAACACACTGGCTTTCGCTGTTTTTTCGCTCCCTGTGTTTAGAATCTCCTCGGTGCTTCCCCCTGGAATTATGGCATCCCCTTTTTAATTTGTGTATATGGTAACTTTATAGCAGGTAGACTTTTTTAAGGGCGAAAACGCTTTATGTCAAAATAGGAATGAGAAAACTTACTTGAAAATTCCTATTTTGCTTTCGAATCGATGTGCTTTTAGAATTTTAACATACATGGTATTTAGGAGCAGTAGATTATAATTTTTGAATTATTTATTTTTTTATTGAATGTGCTTCTTTATTTAGTGTTGCTTTTAGTGTCGCAGTTGTTGACCTTGACAATGACAAAAAAAAATTATTTATAATATGTTGCTCCGAAATGTCATGTTATGTACGATATTTATTGGGTTTTAAATGTTTTTTATGATATATAACATTTTAATAAAAAATCTAGGCATTAATAACAGTATTTTTTTAGATGATTAATTTTGCTTAACAGAATTATTAGTAAAAGACTGAAAAAAATAATGTGATAATTTATGGGTGTATTCTGTTCGTTTTAATCCTCAAAATAAAAGCGGGTTGATTCTAAATTTTAATCGATTATCAACCAGCTGATAAAATTAAAATGAGCAGATGATATTTTTTTAATACATATCAGATTATACTTTATATCGTTTTACAATTAACGTAGAAATTTGCCATAATTCCTTCATTAAGCGAAATAATTTAAAAGAAATCATTTTTAATTATTATTTAAAGAGATTTTCAATAGCCAGTAAAAATATAGTATAAATATAAAAAAATAATAACAAAGATGCACCATATTAATATTAAATAAGTTCTAGGTTACGATGTATCGAGGTGTACTATTTTATTTTCTTTAATCTTGCACAAATAAATTGCAAAATCCCCTGATTTACTTTTTATTTATTTTTATTTTTTATCCCCGAAAATTATCTTGGTGATTGTAAATACACCAGCTGCAAGCGATTAACACTCAATTAACTAAAAAAAAACAGTACAATTCGCAGCATTAAATAAAAAATGAATATACAACCGGAAATCATTGGAATGGTGTTGCAGGTGAAGCAACGGATTGAAGACGGAATGGAAATAATATCTATAGATGAACCTGTAAATACCATCCCCTCGGATAATTTGATAAATGGAGAATTGCTTACCCCTTCCAATTTACCTGAAAAATTGCTCCCTGCCTCATTGGTAACATATCGAAAAACTTAAACCATTTCTGTAAATGATTCTTAAAATTTCTAAAGGTAACAACTGGGGCACCACCTGCACAACCATCTGAGAAGCAACCAGTGTCGATAATAGAGAGAATCATTTACTCAATCACCGCTATTTCCTCTACGGTTGCTCCAAACCAGACTGCAGACAAAACTGACGACGGACCGACTAAAGAAACTGCAATATTCAAAATTCCAAGTAAAAAAGACCAAACGAAACAGACCACAGACAAAACGAACGAAAATTTGACTGCAACCACCGAAAAGCCAACCACAATTATCGAGAGAATTTTGAGTTCTATAAACGCCATACAGTCGACGTCTTCGCCAACAGTAGGTATCTCAACCGTTTCTTCTACTGCTCGCACTCCATCTTCCACCATCACCAACACCTTAGGGGTGATCGAGGAACTCTCAAACGAACAAACTGACCAACAACGCACTATTTCCCAACTATTAGCTATCTTGAAATCGATCTCTCCTACGCCCAGTACCGATTTAGTTGTAGTCACGCCAAAAACTACTTTTTCTTCCACTTCTTCTACTCCAACAACTTCAGATTCAATAAATTCTATTTCAACAACTTCTGCTTCAACAACTTCTACTACAACAACTATTATTTCAACAACTTCTGCTCCAACTTCTACTAGTACGCAAACCACTACTTCTTCTTCAACTAGTTCCGTTACCTCTTCGATTAATCCAGATGCTGAGATCATAAACTTAAATGGAAATTCAATTGAATCCGAGAACTTTGAATCATCCACATCTTCAAGTACTGAATCATCGTTTGAAGTCTCTTCTGAAAGTTCCACAGAAACGAGTACCACGTCAAGTTTTTCAAATACTCTCGATTCTTCTACTGTAAGATCAAAAACGGGTTTCACTGAAACCATATCTCTCTCCGATTTTTTGGCCACGTTAAATTATTTAAACGCTATTTCGCCTACGACACCACCAAATTTTACTGACGGTATTACTAAAGTTCCTAACTTAGCCAATTCAAAACAAACAAATCCACCAAATAATGAATTAAACATTGAAAACACAACCCCAGTTCAAACAGTTGAGAACTTGATCGGCCAAACCACCGAAAGTGTAAGTGATACTTCATCAGACTCTTCACCAACTGAAGTGGCTAAATTAGAAATGCTAAGTATTAGCACCGAAAATTCTGAAATTCCAAACACTTCAGTTGCTGAAGAGATCAAAGTTGATTTCACTACGCAAGTTATTGAATCAAGCTCTAGCTTGAAAATACTTGAATCAGTAACGGAACAAATTTCTTCAGTTATTTCAAGTGAACAGATCGGATCTACCGAACAAATTCAAAGTTCATCTGAATCATCATCCGTTCAAAGCATTACTGAAGAAATTAAAAATGATAATGTTCAAAGCGTCACTGATTCAAGTATTAAATTAGCAAAAAAATTAGAAATTTCGGAGAGAATTGAATCAGATACGCCTCAAATGTCACTAAGTACAGAAATGTCACAAAGTACAGAAATGTTACAAAGTACAGAAATGTCACAAAGTACAGAAATGCCACAAAGTACAGAAATGTCACAAAGTTCAGAAATACCTTTAAATTCAGAATCACCACAGAATACAGAAGTGACACAAAGTTCTGAAATGCCTTCAAGTTCAGAAACCCCGCAAAGTACAGAAATGTCACAAAATTCAGAAAATCCTTCAAGTTCAGAAACATTACAAAGTACAGAAATGTCACAACCATCAAGTTCTGAAGTACCACAAACTTCATTAGTACCCCAAATGTCAGATAGAATTCAAAATTCAGAATCATCTCAACTGTCAGAAACATCCGAACAACCTCAAATTCCACAAACCACAGAAACCTTAAATAAAATAGAAACCTCTGAGGTTCCTCAATCTTCTGAGTTGCCAGAAACATCAGAAACATCTGAAATTTCGCAAACTACGGAATTATTAAATAAAGCAGAAACCACCGAGGTTCCTAAAAATTCTGAGATCTCGCAAACATCTGAAAATCCCGAAACCACTCCTATAATGAACGAATTAAATATTGCAACAACTGAGGTTAGTTCAGAAATGGCAGAGTCAAGTTCTCAAGCTGTTGAATCGGTAACTGAGGTCATGGAAACAACGGAATCCATGACTACGGAAATGATAGGTGAAACGGAAACTCAAAATTCTCTTCCTGTTAATGAATCCGAATCGATTATTTCTGCGATTAAACAAAATGGGGTTCCAAACTCCTCCACTATCCTACAATTAATAGCTAGGTTGTTGGAAATAGCGGGAACAACACCAAATACAATATCTTCAACGGTAACGTTGGAAAAAACAACTGTAAAGCCGGCAGGTTCGAGTCTATCTACTCATACAAATTTCGAAGTAAGTCCTGGTTCTGTAACGGTATTCTCAGCTAATGACGTAACCAGCACGTTTAATCAACCTGACGATGGCAGCACAATCACAATCTCGAGTCGAACTTTCGCCGCGAGTAAAGCTAATCGAATAATGACTGATGTGAATAACTCGACTAATAATAATTCTTCCATGGATGTTATGGCTAGTGTAACAAATGAAACATCTTCATCAAACGAAACGTCCTCAATTAGTAACGATACTAATTCTTCTATGACCATTTCCAATTCGACTAATACAAATAATAATGCAACAAATAGAGAGGCTAAATTATTGGCCTCTGACCCGCAGCCGATTGAAAACAATACGATTGAAACATCAACTGCGCCGGATAAAGACTATTATATCTTCGCGATTCTTCCAAATAACACCATAATCCGAAAAAGGCCCAGTATGTACCCTAACAAAAATACCCCGTTCATAATTGTCGGCGTGTACCCTAACAATACCGTTGTCCAAAAGTTCCCGAACGGAACGTTGATCCCAGAGGAACCCATCATTCAAGTAAGTGGTTTCGACGTAAGCGCAAACCCCCAGACCCCCAGACCGGATATAACCAGTAACCAAGTAACACAGGATAGCACCAGATCGGACGATAATAATCAAACTCTTCAAACGGTATTCATCAAAGTAACTCTTGAGTCGTGCACTTATCGAAGGAACACAGAATACCTTTTCTTTCTTTACTTATTTAGTAAACATCTCTACTACTTTAAAGGAAATCTTGTTCCTAACGATCATTGCACTTCTTTTCTGGTGGTTGGATATAGCTTTTTGCAGCTTTTTGTCATTCACGTCTTAAGATCTTGAGGTAGATCACCTGAATATACTTCGTACCATAGCACCATGGGGTTGCTTGGTCTTTTTTGCACACAAACGCTGTATATATTTTTCTTGCACGAGGGCCTATCTTTTATCAAAAACATTATTCTGACCAATTCAGATACGAGATTAATTTTCTTTATTATTACTCTTTGTTTTGTGATTAATTTTAAATAAGCGTTCAAATTTTGTTGCTAATATCATTTGGAATGAAACTCTTTACGGACTGAGCATTCCAAATCAAGCTTTTAGTTTGGTATGCGGTTTTGTATCGTTACAAAATTATCAGTTTAAAATTCACATTGACTGAATTTAAAAACGATCATCAACTAAGAAAACTGCATCTTAACTGCAATATTTTTGTGTTATTGGAAACTTAAATGTTTTTAAATGGTAAGTAAAATTTAAAAAAGAAACGGTAAGTACGTTATTTGCTATAAAAGGTCAACGAAGAAATAATGGCCCTCCACTTTAACACTAACATACTAAAACAAAACGAATTCAGGTGACTACAAATCTGCCTTGCATGTTCTGTTTGCTATTATGTTTTGCACGGCAGAACTTCATCTCATTCTCATACATCATAGTACACCTCATAATGTGCAATTAACCCATAAAAAAACTCGCGTTAGCTTAGCCATAATCTAAGTAATTCCTATTATCAATACATTAATGTTTTAGGCAACTAAAAATGATCTACCAAGTACTCCGGAAATAGCATCAACTCAAGCACCAACAGGAAATATGACTATAATAAATAGAACTATAGAAGAATTTGATGATATACCCAAAAGTAACGTAAACGCTACAAACGAAACGGTAAGTAATACGTTTATTTAAAATAAAAAGTGGTTTTAGGGATGCTCTTGGAATAAGATAACACGTGAGAAGAGGGAAGATTCTGTAACAGATCAGTGAATAAAGCATGATACTAAACGTTCATTATCATTTAATATAATACACACCCGCGTATTTAACCTTTATAAATCATCAACTCTCTCCGAATTACGTTCTAAGAATTCATCAACTTTGTAGGTTGCAAATACAGGAAGAGATACCGAAGAAGTTAACATAGAAGAAAACACAATCAGTAACAATGGCAATAATAAACCAGAAAAGATTGTTGAAGCAACTAACGTTGAAACAACCACGAAAAAGAAGGAAGATATAACAACTGCACCGCCAAAACCACAGCAAGTTGAAATTATAACAATACCGCCTAAGCAAAGTGTACCTACAACTTTACCACCAACTACAATGAATGTTGTAACAACTATTCCAACCAAAAAAGAAACAATCATCGTAGCAAAAACGATCCCACCAGAGTTCAATTTCGTTGAAAATGATATACAAGAAACGACAACACAAAGAAAAATGATGACAACAACCCGATACACAAATACTCCAACAACAGTTACTCCAATATTCGAAGATTATCAATTAAATATTAGAGCCACAACACCTTATTTCATTCAAAGAATTTTCTCTAATTTTACTGCCTTGGGTAGCAGATTGGGTGAAGAGATCACTACTATAACAGAACTGGTTACCACGCAAAGAATAACTACAATTCCAACTACAAAGCCAGTGCAAACAACAACAACACAAGTACCAACAACAACTAGAACAGTACCAACAACAACTAGAACGGTACCAACAACAACTAGAACGGTACCAACAACAACTAGAACAGTACCAACAACAACTAGACCAGTACCAACAACAACTAGACCAGTACCAACAACAACGAAACCAGTTCCAACAACAACAAAGCCAATTCCAACAACAACAAGACCAATACGAACAACAACAATTCCACTTCCTACAACAACCAATCCACCGCCTACAATTCCACCTCGCACTCCAACTAAACCACCTCTTACAACAAGATTTATGACAACAACAAAAAGATTTGTAACTACAACCCCTTTCTTTGTTCCTGAAACAACGTTTTGGACAACGACTAGAAGAATAAGAACAGCTGCTCCAACAACCACTGAAAGAATAACAACAACTCCAAGAAGAACAACTAGACCGACAACTAAACCTACAGAACCACCCACCACAACCATAAGACAAACAACTACAAAACGGAGAAGTGGAAGATTCAGAAACACAACTCCACAAGATTTAATAAGAACTGTAACGGTTACTCCATCAACTCAAACAACAGAGTTGCCCCAAACGGAGAAACCAACGAAAAGAACAACGTTTTATGTAAATACAATTCCAACTGAACCTGTAAGATATGAAGAAACAACAATTTTCCCGATTTATACTACTCAAAAAGCACAGGAAACCACACTTTTTACGGGTACTAGTAGGCCGATAACTAAAACACCAACGACTCCCGCTCCTGTTACTTTATCGGTGGAAGACGAATTAAGGCGTTTGGCTGAGTTGAGGGTGTTAGAAAATTTCGGGGAATTAAGTACAACGAATGATTTTGTAAGCACAACGACCGTGATGACCCCAACAACTTTACAAGCAACTTTAAAAGGTGTTAATGCTAAAGTAAAAACTTTAACTGAACAACAAAGAAAAGATTTGCAAGAATTAGCGAGATTGGAGAAAGAACAAGCTGAGATTTTGAGACAACTTGCGTTTTTGACTAGATTTGTAAGTTAATTATTTAATTGTTTATTTATGAGTAACATTTTTTTTTATTTCTAAGAACTTTGGTGGCACAACACAAAAACCAACTAGAAGTCCAAGTAATTTAGCAAGTCGAGTTTTGGAATTTGCTACCGATCGCGATAAAGCGACGACTACGGAGAATCCTTTAGATATCCTAAGTGCTTTAACAAACGCTGGAGAACCCAAAAAGGTTCCACCGGGTACTAAAGATGTTTCTTTAGACGATCTCCTCAGACAATTTAATGTTAGCCCTGAGAGGGTAACCCCATCTAATTTGGTGTCTACTTACGGTGAATCCACTGATGCTATATTAGCTGCTTTATTGAAAGAGCAAGGTATTGGTCCAAGTACTCCAAAGACTTTGGGAGAGCAGCTAAAAACAACGGTAAGAAAGAAGTAATGAGAACTAGATTAAAGAAAAGCGCATTTTATTTCATTCTCCTACATCATTTTTCATCCATTAATCATCATGAAAGTATGATGACTTCTTTGATACAAAAAAGTTTTTTATTTTAGATTCCAGTTCAAATTCCAACCACACGACCAACTAAAAAAGTTACAACTACAAGAAAAAGAATTACCACAACTACTCCACGACCTGGTCCTATTATGCAAGGTTTGAATTGGTTGTTAAATATGTTGGCCCCTCCGCCAACTACAAAACGCCCAGTAAAAAAGAAGGTTACAACAACGGAAAGAATATCTACAGTAGATGACTTGGATTTATATTCAAGCCAACCAACTGAGATGACTCCCGTGGTGGTAACAGCACCAAAACGAAGTCCACCCAATCCAGCAACAACAAGAGGTGCAAGAAAATATAAGAGACCTTTACACGCTTTATCTGAAAATGAGTTATCATCTTTGATAAGTCAATTAGAGGAGGCTCAAAAAGATCCAAAAAAAGCTCAAAATTTAGACCTTTCGGATTACGATTTGAGCCAAACGACTCGGAAACCTACCACTTTGCTTCATAACAACGCGGTGCAGATCACGAACTCTGGAAAAGTGGGAAGCACGTCTAAGTTGCAAGCCGCTTCTTCCGTTGAGTCAGAGGTTGTGTACAGGAGGAAACCGACGACACCCCTTCCTTCCACGGTAAGCAATAGTATAGCTGAGGATGAGGAATATGTGGATCCTGTGACTAAACCACCGAGAAGACCGACTTTGAGACCGGTTGTCTTGAATCCGGTGCCGGGCATAGATGACGGAGAGGGTGAAACAAGGGTGAGAGGCCAGCTGTTAAGCGCAGCTGTTAATGTCACTAGAGCTATATCTCAGTTCTTGGGATCAGCCATACAAGTAAGTAGGGCTGCAAAATAATGAGTTGTGTTATCTACGAAGATTTAGGATGTTTTATAACGTTAAACGAAAATTATCTTTGAAACATTTTCGTTATAAAACATCCCTTGTCTTGTACGTTTTATGTTGTCCATAATAAAAATTTGTAGGATGCAGCCTTTCGGTTGACGCGTGTATTCTCAGACGGGTCAGCGATAAGACAATACATAAACGCTAGTAGCATAATTCCACCAGATAATCCCATGAATAATACGCGTCCGAGACAGTAAAAACCAACAGGGTAAATTTAGTAATAAGTGTATGATTCGAGAGTAAAAGCTTTCTGAACGGCTCATCTCGGATGCTTTATCGCTTTGTTCTGAAAAAATCCTTATTGACAGGACTCCTACTTACCAGCAACCATTTAAAAGGAGCGTTTCGGTTTGCATAACCCATCAGGATGTTTGTGATTAAATACGGTGCGGTTCTGCGTCATTTTAGTTATTTATATCGCGAAAAAACTGGATTATAAAAATATGCCCCGCAAAAGAAACAACATTCCTAGCATTTTTGTTACCAACAGGAAACTGTAAGTGTGACATGACAGATCAGAGGCCGTATACATTATTCATATTGATTTAACCATATAATAAAATATAAGATTTTTTTAATATAAAAGGTCCAACTTGTTGTTTAATTAATTAATTATGAGTTATTAAAACAATTAATACTTCTATCATTAAATGTTAATTATAACTTGTTAATTGAAAATTAATAATGTTGATGAAAATAGTTGACCTTCAAATACGTTGGGTTTTCCATTGCATAATTGCGCAAAATGTAGAATTGAACGTTTCATAATTACTCATCGTAGTTTTTCAACATTGTAACGTACATTGATTAATTTGGATTTTTACAATAACCAATTAAAACTCAAATGTAATAACTTTACAAAAACATGTTTCAGTGGTTTTTATTAAATCATTGTGTGGGACGATGGGGAAAACTCCAAAGGCACATTGCACATTACCGCCTTTCATTTTATTCCCTCTTTACATCCATTTCATTAGCATAGATATTGATCTCTAAAACGATACTAATTCAGTTTTGGAAAATACGCGATCAAGGTCCTGATTGGAAAAAATAAACACGAGAAATAAATCATCGCATAAAAAAGAAAACATTATCACCAAACCGCTCCTATTACAAGAATTATAACACTTGTCATTTCAGATAAAAAATCTCGCCTAACTTGAACTTTAAAAATAAAATTTATTACTAAAACCGTTTTTTTTAAACATATAGAGGGCCGGTCAATCCTTCCAATCTCTGATCGGAGCCGGATCGAGACAAGTCGGGAATTTCTTCGCAAGTTCAAGTTCTGCGAATGGATGAAGAACAAAACGGAAGTAAAAACCTGCATGTATCTCGATACGTTTAGGTATATTTATTTATATTTTTTTGAAGACGCCGTATTTCTTTTTTGTTAAGGTGCTAAAAATAAAATTTTAATTTAATATCGAAACATCTCCGTGCGTCGTAACATTAATCAAAGAAATCGGTCTTGTTACTTTCTAGATTTTTCGAAAATACTAGAAAGTGATAACGCCTTGTTATAACATATGGAGAATAGTTGATCGTTAATTTTTGGTTAATAGTTTTTGATTAATATTTTTTTGACTTTTTGGTCAAAACAAAACATTGTTTTCCTTAATCCGTAATCGATTAAAGAGTTAATTTAGTTAGGTTATTTTTCATTCCTGCTCTTAGAAACTATTGTGTATATTTGTATATTTTTTTGTAAAGGTTTTTTTTTGTACATAATGAATAAATTTGTATGTTTTGAGAAAGAATTTTAATTTTATTAACAATCATCATCATCATTGGTTCTGTAACCCACAAACTCAACCCCCGCATCCATACTGCTCTGGTTTCTTTCGACCTCAAGAAAGGTTCGATACAGTTTGGATCGATGACCTAATCCACAAACTTATCCAAACCATATATCCACGCCAAAAAAAAATTAATTCATAGCTACCTCACCAACAGACTCAGAGTCAATTCGACGCTGTCACGTCCCAAAAAAAATAGAATCCGGTGTCCCCCAAGGCGAGTTTTCACCGCAGAACTTCAACAAACCAAAACCGACTTCAGAGACCCCAAAATAGCGATACTCTCCCTACAATCCCACCTAAGATTTCTTGAAAAATACTATAACCTATGGAAGCTCCCTAAACCTTAAAAATAAAACCCTCTTATACACCATCATCACCCGTCCCTCATTAACATACGCCGCCCCTACCAACCTCTTATCTCCAATTCCAACCGGTACATAAAATCGTGAAGGTGTTGGATATCTTCACGAAATCACCAAAACAAAACCAATCAAATAAGTCCTAACCAAACTTAACCAAAAAATCTACCACAGGACCAAATAACACCTAAACCCACTCATTAAAAACAGCACCAGCCACGCCATACAACACATCAAATACCAATCCCCACACGAAACAAATAACCTAAATCTCATGCCCGACATATAGATAATCCCACACCACAAAGAAATAACGCAATTTCACCAACAAACTTCCTCCTCCCTTCCCCAACATTCCCCAAAGACCCCCAAAACCCTACGACCTCAAACCACCCTAACATTTTTATCAACCTAAGTTAAAACCTGGTTTTTCTGGAACCATTTTTGTGCAGATTTTCTCATCCCCAATGCATTGGTGAAAATCTGATGAACTGTGGTGTGAGTCAAATTCAACTCTTCCTCGATCATTTTGACTGTTAACCGACGGATCTCGGATTCTGTCGACATTTTCATCGGTTCTTGAAGATTTTACCGCTTCATGGTTCATCTTCAATCGACTCTCTTACTTCTAAACCACCGAAAAATCTGTGCCCTTGACAAAACACTGTCTCCGTAGGCCTGCTGAAGTTTTGCAAAACTTTCTATTGCACTGTGCCCAAGTCTGAAGTAAAACATGACAGCACATCGTTGCTCGAAATTTTTAGAACACACTAGAAAAAAGTATTTCACGCAAAATCGCTACGGACAACCAATATTTATAGACTTTCAATCTCATATTGAAGGCGTATCACATGTTCACGTGCCGCTCCTCGAAGTCACGCGTCTCAAGTGTTGTTATTTTAATAACAATACAAAACTTGACCAATTTTAAATTACCCAGAACATTCCATTACATTTTTTCATTCCTATTCATCCGAATTAATGATCGAACGGATAGTGATTTTGCGAAAAGCCGGATACCGGATATCCGGCATCCCCTTCGGCCATTATGGTTATAATTATAACATTACTACGATATTTAAACAAAAATGAAATCAATAAGAGAGCTGATAAGATACAATTGGCAAAGGATGTGTTTAAATCATAAATAATTTCTCGTTTCGAAGACTTAAAAGACGATAAACAATATTATTTAGCAATTTATTTGGATCCAAGATACAGAACGAACTTTTTTGATGCAGATTTAACAAACAAAGTAAGAAGATTAGACAGTTCTGTTAGTGATGATGAATTACAAGTGAAGAGAAGAAAACTAGTAGAAACTGAACCAAGAGATTCAATTTACATATCGTTTTGGAATTATTATCATGAAGTTGCTAATGACAAACATGAAATAAATAAATAAAGTTGTATTAAATGAAAAAAGTCCTATTGCGGTTAAACTTGATTATTATCTGCAGGGTCCAACACCTAAAAAAGAGACTAATCTCAGTGAATGGTGGAGTACTAATAGGTTCTTAATGTCCGGTCAAAGCCGGATATTCGGCAAGTCGTATAGTTGACGGATATCTGTTCCAGCACTAATCAGAATAAACACATGATTACCATAAATATATACCCATAAATACACAATGATGTTTTATACGTTCAAGTTTTTCACGCCTAGCAAACGCAAAAACATCTAGTTTTAAATAAATTCGAAAACGAATCAAGATATATTATTGTTGAACATTTTTATAAAAATACTCATGCAACATGTGACGTATAAATTAGTTGTTTACTTGACCTCCGTTTTTGTTTCCAAGTACATGTCTTATCGTTGCAAATAGCTTTAATTTTCCCAGAAAAGATTGATTCAAACGATATTGTAAAGGTTGCACAAACATTACCTTAAATATATATAGTGTCAATCAATGGTAAAAAACATTACAATAAATACACAACAACCGTTTAATAAACTTGTCCTTAGCGATGACATTGTTAAAAATGTTAAAAATCATCTGGTAGATCTACATCCCACGCTCCGACTGTGATGATTTCCAACTTTCAAAAACGTCATTCTGCGGCAGTGTTCCTGGATATTCAAAAAGCGTCCGATTCAGAGTGCCACTCCTATACAAGCTTAATAAATTCAATATCCCGCCTTATCTCCTTAACTTAATTAACCAATTCCTTTCAAACCGCTTTTCCGTAGTAAGACTAAAAAACCGCTCTTCTCGCAAATTATCCTCTTAGTAATGGCTTCCCTAAGGGTTTTCCCTCTCCCCGACACTCTACAACGTGTTTTGCTCCGATATTTCCAATGAAAACCCAGATACTTTTGATTTGAACTCGTATGCCTTACTCTACGCTGTTCAAAAGTTGCAAGCACTGATTCAGTCAACAGAGAGCTGGCTGTAAAAATGGCGAATTCAAGTAAACCCTTCCAAAACCCTATGTATTTCCATCGATACTCCTTCTCCCATTATTACTGTCCAATCCACGGTCATATCTTGCTTAACAACTGCAAATACCTGGGAATTTCGATTGACAGAAAGTTAAAGTTTTACGACCACTTCAGATCTCTGACAAATAAGAAAAGAGAATGCGCTGCACATATCTACAACACCATCTGCAGACCGATCATCGAATATGTACCACTAATCCCATCGGACGCATTAGAAGAACTAGAAACCATTTAGAAGGCTAGCTCTTAGATGTAACACATGTATCCAACACCCGCAAAACCTACTCTTTAACCCTAGCAACAAGCTCCTATACAATTTTACCAAAATCTATCTCCGACTACAATCTTTACCTCTCCCATAATGATGCTATCTTCCCTATTGATACCTTAAAAACCCTCTTTACCACTACCCAATTTCGCCACAACTACATCTTCTACGTAAATTATCACCAAACAAAAAAAAGACAAATTCAAAGCAAGATTATCTTGGGCAGAAAGACTATGGTCGATACCAATGTTTGGACCAACCAACGTTCAGCGCAGGGTTGTTTAATTTTTCGTTGCAATTATTTTAATTTGTATTTTCTGTTGGCCTAATTAAATATTGCTCTCTCTCTCTCTCTCGTTCCAGTAGACCACATCTTTAGGTACTATAGTCAGAGATTTTCGCAATTTGATAGTGATTTTTTTAGTAATATACCTAATCCTTATTAACCATGCTACTATAGAAATCACAAATCAAACAGCAAAAGTCGTTAGTTTTGTGAATAAAATATTAGTTGGTTGGAAGATTCAGGAAACCAACCCTTTTGGAGAAATGGAAGGATGAATAAAAAAAAACATTTTCTCCGACCAAATAATAAACTGCGAATAAAATTTGTGCGTGGGATGAGTACAAAAAAAATAAAATAAACGCGCTTACCTCAGATGTATGAGGTTTTAAACTAGATAATAATTCGACACATGTAAAATCCGGAACTCCGACATATGCGTGAAAAAATTACTTTTCCTAAAAATTTTACACAAATGACTAATCCCAAAACTATAAAAAATAATAAACCGCAATTACTCGAATATCCCCTATGTCTCACACGGAACGTTCTGATTTTTAAAAACATACTGAGAAGTCTTCGAATCCACGTTTATCGAAAACAGGATATGGAATTAAAAAATTAAAAGAGGAAAAAGGAAAAGGAAAATTTAGGATATCACAAGATCGTTGCTCAATTATTTTTCTAATTTATGCATTAAAACTTTTTAGGTCAAAGAAGAATGTTTGGGACATAACAGGAGAAGCGGAAACTGCCCAAAAACTATATGTAATTATCAGTGAATCAACACATTTGGTAAATATATACATACCAATCTAAGATTTATGAAATTATATCCGATACAGCAAGTTTAATGGTTCAAGTTAGAGAAAGAGATGAAGTGTAGCCTATGGCATACAAGAAGCAATAACCATACAGCGAAAATGTGATCATCGCAAATAAATAAATAAACTTTTTCAAGGTGCTGTCTTTTTTTTTTTGTTATTTTGCCTAAAGAGCCAAATTTTCAAAGTTGGGTTGAGTTAATTTCGGTCGAAAATTTTCTCAATACGGTTGCTACATCCTCTTCTTCTTTCTCTTCCCCAGCGTGCCCCTATCGTGGCGTTGTGGGATGGCCTCGGATCTATCTTCTGAAGTTTTCCCTCTCTGCAGGAAGACCCTTGAGCTGGTGCATAATAGTCTTCTTTCGGTTGGCCACAATCTGCGTCACTGTCTCTTTTCATCTTGATGTCGGCATCCCTATTGAGCTCTTCTCGAATACTGTTGTTCCGTACTCTGTCGCGTCGTGTCTTTTGTGCAAGCGTCCGGAGGCATTTCATTTGAGCTGCATTAACCCTACTGCTGTCCCTTCCATTTGCGATCCAATATCGCTTTATAAACCCTGGTATTGGCCTTCCGGCTTACTCCATCCTTTTCAAACACACAGCGACTCAGGGCATAAAAGCCTTGGTAGTCTAGTCCACTCTGTTCCTGACATCTTAAGTAAACTTGCCCGTCTGAAGGATTGTTATATAAGAATTGTTATCTACTAGATCCATATCATTACATTACTATCCTAAAAATATACATCTAACTTTACTTGCGATTCATATTATTAGTAGTCTAATAAGTAAAGTAGCCTTTTATCGTTACACCGTATCAACTTATGACACCATAGCATTATAAGATCTGCAACTTAGTTGATATCTCTCAAAATGATGCTTACGAGATACGATCCTTTTGTAAGATCAAAACCAATCTCTTTTTTTTTGACTTCAGATACTTTTTGTCACTTTTATTTTTCTGTATTTGTGTTGCACGCAATTCACTTAATTCTCCCATATCCTGGTACACCTCGACCTCCTTTAAAAGCCGTAAGTATACGGTTATGTAAAATATGTTCTGGCTGAAAACCTGCATGAAACATTAACCTGCGATTTTCTTTTTACTTATTGCAAAAAGTTCAAAGCGACCAACGTTGATGGTGAAAAATGTATGATATGGACATTCAACACAGTATTTGATGCGGGGGGTGTAAGGGAGAGTTTTGTCGCCTTTATTTGTGTCTAAAATGACGTCACGCACGCCCGTGTCGATAAAAATCAAAGGAACCGCAAAGATTGTGTTATTGCGAGAACGGTTGCAATGATGAGGACGACGACGGCGGCTACGATACTAATCTGTAACGAACTTCCGATCGTTTGTTTGGACGCGATATGACGTCACCACGAAACATTTTTATTTGATCTAATATTAATTGATATGATCATGGAGAGAACACTTGTTTTCAGAGATTTTAAAGGTTATCAGAATGTATATCGAAAATGACGTGTTTTTGACCACATGTTTGTCGATTACTACAATCCGTACCCCCTGAAGTATTTGCACATCATTCATTAACACCCTGTATAGTTTGAATTAGTAACATATGTACATAATGTACAATTTTGATTAAAACATTGTTTTATATGAATATCATCATCAACCTTATCATCATCAGACTCCTGATCACCATTACCTTCATCATCATCACCAAAATAAGTACAGTGTGTTAATTAATTATCGTACCTGACGTCATCATTGCAAGTATGCAACCAATATCACAGTGCAATACGCATCATACGCAAATCGTGTATTGCAATACCAATACTGTGATATTGGCTGCATACTTGCAATGATGACGTCGGGTACGATAATTAATTAACACACTATATGTTGATTTAGCATGCTTAATACAACTTCATTGAGTTGGGTTTTACTTTTTTTAGTTTTTTTTCGATTATTTATCACAATAGAGTCCGAAGATAGAAGCCTCCAGTTAAATATGTCAGTATTGGTGTTGATCCTTGAAGTTTTTCGGGAGTGATATTGTCTCAAATTTTTATACTGTTCATGGCCTGTTTCAATTACGTCTTCTGAGAGTTGACCCACTTGCAAAGGTAAAGATTTTATGGTAACCACCAATAAAGCGAAACAGCGACTTGTGCTGTTTCAAAACAATAGTTTTTAAATATATCTTCTTTAACGTAGTGCCCAGAAGAAATGATGGAAAGTATATTTGCAAATCTTTGCATTAATTCTTTATCGATTCCTGTTATTTGGGAAACAAGCAAAGGATTCTTAAAAAGTTTCCGCGCTGTGTTTCCGTCATTACTATTGCCTCCACCTTGTTTTGGCTGATCATCTACGGGGCCCAATTTCTTATAAAATTCGGCCGCTATTTGATTTTTTCTTTCGTTTACTTTTTCTTTGTCATTTCCGCCCCTTGCTTGCCACTTTTGTAACTACAATTTATATGCTATATGCAGTAAATATTCATTCATAGTATCTAAGATGTGCATGAAGTATAGAAATACCATATTTAAAGGTGTCTTCATAACAGACTCTGTTCTTTAGTTTCTCTAGATCATTTAAATCCTTAGGGGTAGCCTTACACACATTGCACGCTTGTGAACTTGAAGTATCAGTCAAAATGTTGACTGTCTTTCCATCCAGCATCGTACATATGGGAATATGTATAAATTTTATTTGTTTATGTTGCTGTGGTCGGTTCGAGATTTCATCCGTTCCTCTTGTTTCGCAAAGTAGACGTTTCGCCAAGATCTCACCTGGAATTTTCAGTGCGTTGTCGTAATATCCTGTCGGCAGACTGCAGACTGCCCACACATACTTCTCTATCCGTGAAGCACTACGCATTAACATTTATTTGTTTAGTTCCTAGAACGATTATGGTGAGCTCTAATTTCAATATTTGTGTTTGTACCTCGTTATATTCTTCTTTTACATTTTGGACATTTTCTTTCTTTATCTTAAATGCAATTGGACGGCAATACCTTGTTGATGATGGTGTCGTATTCTTCCTATATATTTTTTTGTTACGGACATTAGATTCACACATTTGTAGTGGCATGATCGTATACAAAATCCGCATATTCTGAATTATTGATGAAATTTTGTTTGTAAATACTATGTCCACCGCTGCCATCTAAGCCCCATTTATAATAAACTTCGATAGTATCACAGTCCTCCGAAATGTTTTGAAGTATTACATCAGCCTGCACTTCTGGTAAACTTGCGTAGTATGTATAAAAAGATCTATCACTGGTACCACAGCCTCGTTATCAGTTATCATAATATTTGTTGGATAACACTTCCTCTTTGTCTCTGCTATCACATGATATGAGGGATAAATATCAGCCCCTCTTTCTTTTGCTACAAGTTGTATCGTTATATAATCCTCTTTTGTCAACTCAAGATCCACTATGAGAGCTAAAGCTTCTTCAGGGCTATACGTATCTTGCACATTTTAATTTTTTTTTAATGTGTTGGGCGAAGATTGTATTGCTAATTTCACAACCTGAGCTGCAGTTCTTTTGCCTAATTTCACCAAGCTTGATTCTGCAGCCAAGCACAATGTTTCTGAACAGAGATTTGACACAATGGCTTCAACATGTCGTTGCTTATTGCGTTGAGAACTCTCTTCCAATAATTTTCTTGGCCTCCCTCTCCTCTTTGGTGATGTTTCATCTTCGCCATTTCATTAAAACCTTCGTAACAAACACTTTGACCATATGTTTTATTTGTTTGGTACAATTTTCAGAAAGTTCACTAACGCTAAACATGTCCAATATATGCTGTAGTAATTGTTCATTACACTTTAATGACGATAACTTATAAAAATGTTTATTTTTTAACACTATAAACAGTTATTTTCTCTTAATCTTTATTTTCATTAAAACGGAGTCACCACAACCTGAAAAATAATCTCTATTTAATGAAAGGGGAGAACAAGGAGACTTCTATTTTATTTTTTGATGTTATTTATAAGATATTTTTACGGTTCATGTCTGACTAGATTATAATGAACATTTTGAAGGTATTTGTGATTAGTTTAAAGATAAAACTTCGACCTCATTTTAACGGAAGTGAAGTTTAGAACTCAATTTCATTCTAGATTATGTGGTATACATGCAGTTTTCATCATATTTTGATCGTCTCCTTTTTGGTAGATACTTTCATCTATGTCTTAAACAGACTGAGTACGATAAACATTTTTAATTTATTATTAAAAGGAGTAGCAAAATATATTCATTTCAATCAACAAACTGCAACGTTTTAATCAAATTTAAATTTATCTTATCAATATTACATTTTAGAAATTAAGTAATCAGTTTGAACGCGGAACATAAAAATGTATTGATAACTTCGAACTTAATAATTAGGTTTTGATAAATATTGAACGATGTTATGAAATGAAAATGAAAATCAACAGCCATCGAAATATCTATAGGTTTAATCATGGTATGTCATCATATTTTGAAATCCAAAGCTCCTTAATTTAGCAATGCCAACGAACTGCACCCAACTTTCACGCCGATTCTTTTACACGTTCACTGACGTCAAGCGGCTATTTCAATTTGTATGCTCTTCGCATACCTCTTAGAGAGTCTCTCTATTTCTAATATAAAGCATTTTCGTACAACCACAACTTTCAGTTAGTTATTTACAACATTCTGTGTTAATTTTTTTTGTGGTTACATATTTAACCGCGCGTAGACTTATATGGTATTAAAATTTGATAAAAGAATACGTCATTATTAATACGTAATAATAATGATTAAGACGTCATAATTTTCTTTTTATCTTTTCGTGATTTACTTCTAAATATAAATATTATATCCTTCCTTTCACTTTATCGCGAATGAAAAAAAATGAGCTTTCAAGTCAATAATTCTTTGTTTTTATCACCCTGTAAAAAGCTTTTTTGTTTTCCTTTGACGCAGGAAAGAGACGCTGGAGAAGTTAGAGTTGAAAAAGTCTTAATCCTTGAACTATTAAATCTATGCAAATGTCACAACGAAAATACCGAATGTAATAGAATGGATAAAATGTGATTCTCGTTGAAATTGATTGGAATGCATGAAAATACTTGCCCACATCTTGCTGTTTACAAAACGATTATAAATGTAATAATAAATCTGATGATAATAAATTTGAAAGGATGGAATATAAGAATCCTGACCTTCGCTTGTATAAGATAAATTGCACCCAAACATAATCAATAACATAAATTGGATAAATATTTTTATTTATAGAGTTAAATAATTTCTTGGAAACGATTTACTTTTGTGAAATCTAAAAAAAAATAGCCGACTTCCACTTCTGTTATCAAATTTCCGTTTTGATAACAAATGTTATTGTTAGAATAAAACGACCAAGACCGAATTGTTTTTCGTTCAGTACGGGTGTGCCATTCAAAGAACGAAGAACGGGTAAAAATTGCTTCGTAACTCGGCTATTCGTTCGTCTGAGAACGTTGTGTAGCCTTTACCACCTCTCAGTCGGTTTGTCTTTCACCGCTTCTTACGCCGAAGTAGGGCACGGAGCGCAACCATTCCGAGCCAGAGATTCCTGAAGCGCGGATCTTCAACACGTAGAGCTCGTCCTGTAGCCACATGCTACAAAAACAAGCGAGAACGCGTAGTAGTGAGTGTTTTTGAATTGTGAATAAAAATTTCAAAGGTTATTATTGTAACGAAGAAATGGTTCTTTTAACTGGTAACACTATTGCAATGGACGATTCGGTAAGTTAATTTTTTGCAAAACTTAATTTTCTATATTTCAATGAATACGTAACACTCGCGTGTATATTTAGCAGATTTGATAGAAAACACGAATCAGTGGGCGGTAGTATTTTACATAATTGTCGGCGTTACATAACCCGTCGATTGTTTTTGATGTGTCCTTGCGGCTGAAAGAGATTGGCCACAAACACGTGTTGGTCCTGCTCTTGTTCCGCTGGCGTCAAGAACTTGTTTCGCAATCAATCCAATCAATCATTCATTCTGTCGTTAAAGACAATCGTCAAAAACACAATTTCAAAAGGATTTTGCATAACCAATTCATTTCCATTCAGAGAAAATCTTTGTAATCAACTTCAAAAACATCTAAATCAAATAAGTCTAAAGGCACACGTGATGATTCTCACCACATTGAAAACCTATTTTACACCGAAAAAACGATGATGTCATCCTAGATCTTGACGATCTTTCAAGTCATCGCAACCTTGAAACGTTAATTTTAAAAGATTTAATCTTTTATATGTGGTAATTCCAATTATTCATCATGTTTTAATTGTAAAGAAAATTTTCTTGATTTATATCGAAATGATAAACTATAATGGAAACAAAAATTTTGCCCTTTACATGACTCATTTATAAGCATTTTTTGCATTATCACAATTTGACTTCAGCGACCTATGAACTTTATGTTAAAAAACATACTTAAATTCAAGATAAAAACTTATCTTCTCAAGACTTATCAGCAAAAAAATTTTCAGTCTTCTCCAAACAAATCTGAATAAAAACGGACTTTGAAACAAGTTGAATTATCATGCATTTAATTATAGCCGTAGAAAAAAAGAACTTAAATCTGCACGCAACTTAATAAGTTAATCTGGCAAATTTCAAGTTGCAACCTGCAATTTCCGCTACAATGACCATCCAACTTTCTCCTTGAGAGCACATTTTAGTACTCGTTTCAAAAATAAGTTTTCGCTCTTATACAACAGACTTTCTACGCGTGAAGAAACGAAGTTAATTTTTTACGCTTTACACAAAAAAAAATAATCTCCAATGTATTTCTATACATGGTGTTTACGGTCAAAAAATAATCGTGTTTCAGGAAAAAATGAGGTAATTACATCGCCGTCGTCTCTTCGGCGGTTTTGACCGAGGTCGTTTCTCAGAAACCCACGAAGAGAAAGTGTGATCGCCGAATTTTACTTTTAACAGCTTCACCTCCCGCGATTTCATGGCATTACGAAACTTCTTTTATGTCATACTTCTTTTCGTTCTTCGCAGAAAGACCAACCACCCTTGAAATGTCGCAGATGAATCATTTAAGTTAAACATTAAATAAAATCGGTGAGAGGAGAACCGAGTACGGCCTTCACCATCTCGGGATTTCCTAAAACAACTTTTAGCTGCCCACACTTCTATTTATAGAGTCTAGCGATTTTTGTACGAGATCATGGGGAGCAAAAAGAAGTCGCCGGAATGTGAGCCAACCGTTGAATAGACGCGCGATTCGCGTCTTACCGGGTTACCAACTGTAAATATTCTAAGAACTTGGTGGTATCTGTTTCGCCGATTGCTGGAAACCGGTTTTCTTAACCTATCACAGGTGTCCTGCGGAGCTTTAAGAATCTTTGGGTTACATAAAAAACCATTAAAACACGACAGAGACAGATGTCATCTCATACGCCAATTACACGACATAAATCTTAAGAACCACACCCAACATATGCAAGAAGAATCTTGGTATTAAGATATATACAGAATCACTTTCCATGTAAATTCAGCTATAAGTCAATTAATAGCAGAATAGTTGAACAAATAGAAAAATGATAGAATTACAAGTTCCATTCATCATTATCTAACCACTAAAACTATAATAAAATAATGTTCATTAAAACCTATGACACAACAGAAATAACCATGTTTATTATCCAGTTTTATGAAATCAATAAATTTAATTTATGAAATGACTTTTCTCTTGAGTAGTCACATTTTACGTTTATTTCTTATACGAAACTCGTAATAACCACAAAACAACACTTTTACCGCAATTTGCATAAAAACGGTTCAAAACAATAAGTTTATTTTTGTTTTTCAAAAGAAATTTCTGACGAAGTAAAGTTCTCATAACTGGTAATGGGGAATCATATCGTTCAACGTTGTAGTGCCTCGACCTCAATGATATCTGCTAATAGATCTTAGATATCTTTATTAACACCAAAACTATATAGCACACTGATGAAACTGAAATGTAAAAAAAACGCAAAAATAGGCAACGACTCGTAGCGCCTTGGCTGCAAAAAACCTTGTTTGAACTTAAAACTAAAATTTATGATCAAAATCACCATACAAAATCTATACTTAGCACGGACATTGTATAACATTATCTGATTAAGCTGAAATTGCTTACACCGCAATTGATATTATATATTGGTTTTCAACTTAACCATACAATGTGGTTCAATAATTACTCATTTGTGGCTCCTTCACTTTCGTGCATTTAGATTTGTGTTTGAACTATTTTGGTTGAATTAAATTTTGATTGGTTAATAATGTACAATAAGTATATGGATTGAGAATGAAGTTGAGTTGAGACATCTTTATGTGTCGGAAAGATTTTGGTTGAAATGATGGTTTCATATAATGTGAGGTATGCAAAAATATCTTACAAGAATCAATTGAAGTTAAGTCAATGCGTCATTTCGAAGAAACAGAACATAATTCCTTCATTATGCAAAAAAAAGGAAGAAAAGTGTCGTGCTTTGTCTAGCTTGTGCATGAGTTCAAGCGAAATTTTCAATGAGCTTGAGAAAACGTCAACAATAATTTGCTTTGATATTAATGGAAAAATATCTAAAGTGTAGAGTTAAAATGAAGAAGTGCACCAAATGATAGCTAAAATGTTTTGATTTGTAAAATTGACGGGACAAAAAGTTATGTTTTTGATGAAAACTTCACTGATTAATTAATTTGAACGGAAAAAAACACTGAATAAGCAGTTAATTACGTTTTCCTGGATATACACGCATAAATAACAAATAGCCGAAATGAAAAAACAATCAAATACGTTATAAATTGTCAGCAAAAGCAAAAAAGATTGCCAAAAAACCAAGGAAAAGACCAAAGACAGTGAAACCCAGAACAGCAAAGAAAATCATATTAAATGAAGATTATAAAATGTATGGAAATTGTTTTTTACAAATGTAGTACATATATATTTATATACAAATTGGCTAGCAAAACGATATTTGATGTATGGCAGAAAAACCTGCTAGACGATATGACTGTAAAACGTATGTACATGCAATAACTAGGGGTGTGTATGTGGTTGTGGTTCTTCATCTTTTTTCTAAAAAGAACTATAAACGAAAAAATGATAAATAACTAGATACTGCTACATAATTCTTCTATATCAAGGTAAACTTGACGAATGCATCGTATTGTTGAGCGAGTTTTGTCGTAAGAACATTATCACAAATCAACCCAACCTGTTTGAAGGTAAACAACGGTTTTTGAACGTGAATTAGTTTGTTCACCACTTGAGCTACTACCATCTGAAGCATCTGAGCTGCCACTAAATTGTAACTGCTTACACCTTTGTAACCTCTTAAATTCAGCCATGTGTTCTGGAGTGAACTTTTTGCTAATTACGTCAGGGAAAATTGATTTTGAGAGCGTCCTGCCCCTTCCATAAATTGGTGCCGCCACAAAATCTGTTGTAACTTAAGCCCTCTAAAGTTTTATGGAAAATCTAGGTCCTTTATGTCAATAGGTGTCTTAGGCGGCTTCTACCGACGCATGCACACAGAAAATCTCTGACTGGTCGTTGCAAAGTCGACAAGTTTGATTACGGGTAGATAAGTATCGTAATTTTAAAAGCTTAAATCCGGCTCTTCACTACTCGATAGACAAAATATTAAAGCATTATCGTAAAACTAATTAGATTTAAGCTGCAGTTTTAATTTTCGTTTCACATAAGCATAAGATAGAAGTTTTTGATATGACAAGATGGAGCCAAAAATTAAAAGAGACTTCGATTCAGAAATTTGAAGATGTATACAAAGCCTTTTTCCATCAATCAGAAGGCCGACGTTTGAAAGTAACGGCATTGGAGGAACGAGAAAATTCTAGAGCGGAAAAGTCGGATTTTGTAATTGATTTTGATGTTTTGTATGCAGTAAATCCTACGCCTTCCGAAGGAGAATGGATGCAGGAGCTTCAAAAATATTATTTTATGCCTCGGTGTAATAAAGACACAGATATATTCATTCATGCTTCTGAATTTCCTATTTTAAGTTTAATGAAAGTTTATTAAAGATTATTCTCACGTGCTGCATTAACTATAAGAAAACATCGAAATCGCCTTAATAATAAATCTGCACGATGTTTGTTATGCCTAAACGATTGGGTGAAAAACAAAATCATCGATTTATGATACTCTCGTACAAGAAACGAGACAAGACGAGACTTGATACAAGACTTATTAGTTGAGATAAGATAAGACTTTATGAAAATCTCGTCTCGTTGGTCTCGTGCGAACCACTAGTATACAACTTATTTCGATGTAGACAATTCTTCACAAGTTTCATTTAACGGGTTGCGTATTCACCATTAACTCCAAATACTACTTCCCATTTCCTTAGCAAACCGTTGATTCCATAACCAAAAAAGTTATGATTCTAAATTCATCTAAATATGGACATATCGTTATACAAAGCAATTAAGCAGAACTGAAGAATTAAGTTAATCTTTTTTGATGATTTTTCTTTTTGCACTTTGAGGTCTTTGAACAACTAGTACTCAAATACGTCCAAAAATTGTTTTTTGTAGGGAATCTATCCTGCCGAGTTTTGTATATACAGGTCTGAGATTGTAAAATAAACAGCATTAAAGATTTGAGTTAAATTGAGTAAGACATTTTCTTTGTCTATCATCCAAATTAGCAAACTGTGGATTCCATGACCAAAAAAGTTATGATTCTAAATTCATCTAAATATGGTGAATATACAAAATTCTATATAATACTGAACATTTAGGTGGACCTTATGGTTTTAGTTAGTCTTTTTTGATGATTTTTGTTTTTGGTTTTTCTTTTTTTGTGATCTTTGAACAAGTAGTACTCAAATACGTGCAAAAATTGTTTTTGTAGGGAATCTATCATGCCAAGTTTTGCATATTTCCATATTTTGCAGATTTTCTTTGTGTATCATCCAAATTTGTACCATAAGATTGCTTCAAATCTGTTTCGTTGATTACAAAGATTTCGTTCTATTACAAAGAAAATGTTGTAACCACTATTTCTTTATCAATCAGTGTATATTTAGTGTTACAATTATGAAACCACCTTGAATAATATTTTCAATAAATCTCAATTATCTGAAAAAATGAGATTATTATCATGATCGAGTTTTTTTCCTTACATAATTACTTCCCACTTTATGGGAAAACCCAAAACGCGAGAAAGGCGCGTTTCGCTTACGATCATAAATTATATTCGCAAAGACGGCGTGACGTTAGTAATTTATGCTGGTTTTTCGTCATGTCTCGATCGGAGAGTGAAGGAAAAATCCCATTGTTCGACGCTGATTGCGTATAGAATCGGAACGAAGGCGCAATCGACGCGCGAATGATACGTTCGAATCTTAGGCGGGATTTTTAAAATATGAACCGCGTAATTTTCGAGTTGTCAAGGTAAGGCGCCTAACAAAAAAGCAAGCAATAGAGAGGCAGGTTCAACGTACGATCCGTAGACACGCGGATGTTAAAGGACTTTTCGTAGTTCTTGCGAACGATTAAAGTTGCTGGTTGGGTTAGTCGGTGATTGTTGAGGTTGTAAAAATGACAGAATTTATCGGTGAGTCCTCTTTTTAATCAACTTTATTATTTATTTTGTTGTTCTAAGAATATTTAAAGAATTCACTGACGTTAATATTTTAAATAAATTTCTGAATAAAATTTGAACAAAAACAATTTTGTATGTAAAATAAAAACTATCCATCTTAGAATAGTTTTACACCAGAATGAAGCTTATACAGACACCGTAAAATAATCACAAACCTATTTATAGCGATTTCATTCAAGACGTCTACAACAAACGTCACAAAATACGCAAAAAGTGGGTTCTTCAGCTATAACTTTAAACAAACTTGCAACAATTTTTTGCTCGTAACTAAGAGAATAAAACCGTCGAGATTGTAAACGAAATGTTTTAGTGCAATGTTTACCATAGTTGGCGATAGGTTCTGGTTGTCTGGTAAGTGTCCGAAATTGAAACTTCGAAAAGCTCGCGGCTCTGACGCAAGAAGCTGAACCATTCAGACGGTAATTTTTCGAGATTAGGTCATTGCTATTTCGATCGGCGTAAAGGTAAATATTTTCGGGCGGTTTGCGATCGGATTTGTACCGTAAGATAACCCGCGGGTCAACGACATCGTTTCTGTCAAAGGTTATCCCTTGTAACGAATGATTTTTTTACTTTCAGATGCCTCAAATTGTCCCATCAGCCGGTTTTACGCCGCCTTGTGACTACAACAGTTTCGTCGATTTCGATTTGTCGCTTTTACCCGGTGGGGATACAGCTTTTTCAGCATCCACACTTTTATATTCTCCACCGGCAGAATTAGAGAAACCGAAAATTTTCACCACTTTTTACCCGAATCCGCCGGATGAAGACAAAGATATAAATTTAGGACCGGATTTTCAAAAGCTTCTTCCAGAATCGCCAAATTGCGGTGCGGTTTATTTGGAAGTCCCATCTTCTAAGAACTACCACGCTAATTCTCCTATTGGGGCGCTATCTCCTTATTCGCCTCAATTACTTTCGCCGAATTACACACAAGACGTGTACTCAACATCTCCGGATGTCTCGTTGTATAACTCCCCAAGGGATGATTTTCGATACATGAAGGAGGATTATTCGAGTCTTCAAATTAAGCAAGAATCGGCGTCGCCGACTCCGGATGTTTTTGAATTGTTACAAAATAGTTTAGGGGAGACCAAAGCTATTAAACAAGAAAGCACTGTAGATTTTAGCATCCTCCATAATTACAACGCAGTGGAATCCCAAATTGTACCACAATCAACTCCACAAGATCACCAATTACTTAGACAAGTTCTCCGCGATACTAGCTTCCAGAAGAAATATAATATTAAACCTCTCGATTTCGAATTCATGTCGAATCATATTAAGATGGAGGAACCTGACGATAATACCCAAGAATTAATGGAACCAGTTTTAAATTTAGCCATGAAACAAGTCAAGGAGGACGTTGTTAAAACTTGTGCTGAATTAAATATCTCCTCCGGTAAGAAATTTTTATTTTCATTGGAATTTCTTTTATATTCGCGGAATCCTTTTCATTTAAAACAAATTCTTTAAGTACAATCTACTTTAGATTTAATTAATATGAACCGTTACACAATTCCTGTTAACGGCGGTAACAAATTTCATAATAAATCGAAATCCTATCGGTATCACACCGTCCGTTACAAAGCACAATTAGCAATGTAATAGCCTCCGGAAACAATTCATGATAGATACCATCCAAGAATGGGTTTCTCGAGTTGCTAAGATGAGTTATTATTTGGCATTGGGAGCGGTTAATATTGATAACGCAATCCTTTTTTACCATAACCACTCCCTTTAGCCTTGCGCGACATTCTTTGATGACAGCGATAGGAAAATACATTCACCTACGCACTTAATTCGCTACCGAAATAGGCGTGGCTTTATAGACGATTAATACCAATATACACCAAGGACAATATTGTGCAAACTCATATTATTGTTGTTATTATAGATATTTTAAAATGGACACCAGGGAATGTATTGTCATGGTTAGAATTCGCCTGCCGAGAACACAATCTTCCAAGAGTCAATCCCGATCAATGGAATATTGATGGTTGCGGACTCGTCAACATGACCGAAGAGGAATTCAACAAGAGGACACTTCAGGTAATTGTTACCATAAGTTCGTTAAAGCTAATTGGATTGATTGAAAAAGCCGACTTTCTTGATAATTGCTTGAAAGAGTTGGAAGAAAAAAGAAGTTTCTTTTTGCGACCTCAAATAATAAAAATCATTTTATCCCATATTGTATAAAAAAATATATATTCCATAAATCGATCGATTATTATTATACCAAGAATTATTTACTTAAAGTTTAAAAATATCACGTAGTTACCCTTGAAGAAAATCTTAAAATAGACAATGTAAGAATGCATTTTTCTAGACGAAAAATGGGCGCGGTTGGAGTATAAACAATTCGCGTTAAACGACTCGGTAAAAGTCGTCATAAACGAAACGAAAGAAGAAGACGAACATGAAGAGGCGGTTTAGGAGAGTCGGCGGTCGGAGAAAGTGACCCACTTTCGATGTCCACGCGAAAAATTCGCCTTTGGAATGCGTCGCGTCGCACTTGTTCATAAACAACTGTTACCATATCCACTCTTAAATTAAAAACAACCTGACGCGAAAAGAATATCGAAAGAATTGAAAACCACAAAAGTATTTTTTTTTTGCGCGAGTGACTCAAACATCACACCGTGAGAACTAAGTGATGTCAGATTCCTTCATCTTTCGCGTCCTTGTAATTACAAAAACCACCGTCTCTCACAATCAGAATAATTATACCCAAGTAGGTTAAAAGGGGTATTTTGAAATATTGTATGAATTATAGCCATCCATTTATTATCTTAGTTGCGTTAATAAAGTAACTTTTATTTCAGGGCGGTGGTACACTTTATGGAAAACTTGAACTATGGAAAACAACGTGTATGGAAGAACCTATGCAATGGCAACAACACACACCATCAAGTACCGCTTCTAGTGGAGACATATCTGATGGTAAATAAATCTAAATCCCTTCTTTTATACGATTATTATTTTAATTTAAATTTTTATAGAAGATGACGAAGATTCATCATCACAAACGATAGAAAAACCAACAACTTCTAGGACTTCTGGAGGTTCACACATTCACCTTTGGCAATTCTTGAAAGAATTGTTAGCGTCACCACAAGTACACGGCTCGTGTATTAGATGGATAGATCGCGGAGAGGGTATTTTTAAAATTGAAGATTCGGTTAAAGTGGCGAAATTGTGGGGTAAAAGAAAGAACAGGCCGGCGATGAACTACGATAAGTTAAGCCGATCTATAAGGCAATATTACAAAAAAGGTATCATGAAAAAAACGCAGCGATCACAGCGGTTGGTTTATCAGTTTTGCCAGCCTTATTGTCTCTAAAGAATTAAGAAACGCAAGAAATGTAAATTTTTGTAAATAATTTAGGGGGTTAGTTGGTGGTTGGTATAATTTGGGTTACAACGTTTTGAAGTTATCAAAACGTATTTAAAGATTACTTACTAAGCCAGTTAGGCGGTAATGTAAATAGTATAGGAGTAAAAGAATGGAAGGTAATTTCCATTTAAAAATTTTTCTCAAATTATTTAAAGTTTTTAAAAATTTGCTGATGCGTCTTTTTTTGGGATACACGAGCGATCTTGAGGTCTTAATGATCTCGGTCGCTTTGTTTACCCTTTTGACAATCATCGGTGATTTTCGGTCCCATATATCTATGATATATTACTTTTGTAAGTTCTATGAACAAACAATAATACTGATAAGTAGTTTATAGTAATTGCTTTAAGTATTTTAAGGTGGGACTGTAGTAAGCAGTCCCGTTATATTTAATAATTATTTATTACTCCTTAGATTACGCTATCACGTTTTCAAAATAATTGTGCAATATAATAACACTTGATGATCTTCTAACACTCGTTTATTTATTTATAGAACATTAATGAATAGCTTTAGTAGATTTTAAGACGATGTATGTTACAAATCTATGTATATATTATTTTCTGACATAAATAAATGTTATTTTATTAATCATTTTTTTTTAATGTTCTTTGTCTTGAGAGTTCACAAAGTAAACAACCGCTGAACGACGTGAAGGCCGTATTGTATAAAAACTCAGGAAAACAAGAGAACACCAGGAAAAAAGCAGATCGAAACAAACGAGTTTTCCCAAGGCCACCTACATTCTACGATCTCAATACCTTTCATCTACAGATTTACTATAATCTTCAAGTTTAGCCTTTATCCTTTGAAGCTGTGTTGAAATAGTATCAATTAACTATACTAATAGGAATAACTTGTAACTTTTTCATACAACTCATGTATACTTGCAATACAACTTTCCATAAAATGTTGAACCTCATCTTGTGAGTTAAAAATGGGTAATTTTGTACTTAACATTATATTTAAACGATCGTTACAAGTAACCACTCCAGTACAAATACCTAAATAAAACAATTACTAAAAGAATTATTATAATAAGTGCCAACTTACCACTCCCACCAGGTGACATTCCTCCAAGAATTCCAACGATGCGTTTTCCACCAACAGTAATCCCTTTTGTTATTCCTACATTAGAAAAAAATAAGATTGATCGGGATACCTGGCGAATTATAAAGTTATGAAGCCAGTTTTTCGGTAAAAAATCCAAAACACCCAACGATAAAGCATAAGATCCCTGCAAAAAATATTTATAACAAACTTTTTTGACGAATTTATAAAATAAAAACCTGAAGTATTACTGATTTGATTGCTTCTTGCGATTTTTCTCGCACGCACTCAATAAAATCTTCGATGCAACTACAAGAAGTAATATTTTCAGCAAGAAACGCCATAAGGTAAGTATTATTGCTGATATCAGTTCTTGGAAAAAACATGTTTCGAAAATCTTTTTGGTAATCGCTTAGAAAATGATGAATATAACCCATAAGCATATTATTAGGAATATTATCTAAGCTTTCATTCATATTGCGGTATAAATTGTAAGTTATTATTCCTAAAAACAATTCATTCATGGAGCAATTAAATCGTTTCCGTAAAGCTTTAAGTTTTGGTACACAAGAAATTTCTTCTTCTACAAAGATAGCAAAGTAAGGTCCTTTGCATATCGACGGTTCATTGTGATTCGCTACGTACGTTAAAGTTTTTGTGTCTATATAAGGATCATTGAAATTTGTTTGTTGTCTCGGAACAAGTAAATTATTCTGGGATGGTATAGATTCTTTATCACATAAATATTTATACATTAGCAACCATACACCATGACCATCTGAAATTCCGTGATGCAATAAAAATAAAATCGCATATCTGTTCTTTTCAAGAGGTTCTTTAAAAAATACAATTTTAAATAGGCGCTGATTTGTTACAGCGCAATTTGTAACATAAGAGCCAAGTTTTTCTTTAGTTAATAACATCCCATCATTAAAACTAACACTCATAAAAAAATCATCAAAAATATATCGATTTTTTAGAAGATAATAATAACCGGAAATTCTTTTTACAACACCAGTAACCTCAGGTACATTTTCACACATCGCTTTACAAAAATCTTGAGCTTTCCTTTCTATAGTATCACCATCTTCAGATTCAATTAGCAAAAAAATTTTCATCGTTGCATAATCTCCGTCCATCATAAAGTAAGACGATGGTATAAAATTGAATATTTTCAAAAAATCATTTTTATGTTTTAATTTTAAATAAATCCAAATTAAAATACGATAAACCACAAACGGTAGAATTATTGCTGTTATTAGAAGTAAAGATGAAAATGTTAACAATTTTAATATCAATTTATAACCATTTTTCGAGACTTTATTCTCAAAATTGCAAAGAATTGTCTTAAAACAAACATAATCAAATATTTTTAATTAATTTACCTTTAAATAACTCACCTTCCAAAATGCGAAAATTGTAGCATAAGCTGATTGTAAAAAATATTTCATGATTCAGATTAACTAACATTTAGTTATAAAGTAAGTTTGCAATCAAATACAACAATGACTGAAAAGAAAAATAAATAGCAAAACCTTAAGTAGGAAAACGTGTATTTATTTTAATCAAAAAAATTATTATGTTAACTATTTCAAAGATTTTTTTAAATAGCAATTAAATATAATATGGTTAAACTTTTTACCATAACATAATAATCAATCGCTGACCAAATGGTTCAAATAATCTCCTTAAATGGCTTGGCGTTGAGGAAGGTGCTTTTTCACCAAAAAGATTTGATTTATTATTATCAACGTATTCGTGAAAACATTCTAGTTATTTTGATTTTCGAACATCAAAAAAACTAACAAAAAGCAGAACAATAAAAGCTCATCCAAGGAGTGGCATTCCGAGTAGATAACCTAAGTAGAAATCCATCAATGCAGTGGAAAGCCGAGACAACATTGAAAATCGGTGTAATCTTGACATATAATATGTAAACTTTAACACTTTCAGCCGATGGAGGTGAAGGAACGTCCAGAAATCAAGTAAGTACGAAAACGTTATCGAAGCTACAAAAAGATAAAACTCTTGAGATCATTATGAAGACTCATCTGGAACTGGTTTCCTGGCTTTCTGTCAACTTACTACTTCTATCTGGTAAGAAACCAGAAACACGCTGGTTGAGTCACTATTTGGAGATGACAACCTTAAGATGATATCATGGAGTAAAAAAGAAATAGACCAAATACATACATTATTGCAGAAATAATAATAATACCTTTATTCATACTCATAAGGCAACAAATTAACAATTCTACAAAATAAATTAGAAGAAAACAAAAATAATGATGTAAGTATGAAAAGGCGAAGTTCAGTGCATAAGCACTGCTCAACTTAACCTGAAAATTAAACCTAGAAGCTCGTACCGTTAACAAAGAAAAAAGAAGCAAATGTAACAGAGCAAAAAGCAGACATTGAGTCCCTCCATACCGTCTTCACCATACCGCTGCACGTCTGCCTAAGACCAAATACCATAAGTTTTGATTTGTTGGGATTGAATACCAAGCCATATTGGTTGGCAGCTAAATAAGGGTATTGAGAACATTCCAAATAAACTCACGGAAAATCAAGGAATATAGCAAATTTGCACGGCAATAAAAAAGAACCAGGCAAGGGTTCCACTATATTTACAGATAAATCTACCGGCTCAGTTCCTTGGAAAATATTGGACATGACACTACAGAAAGACTACAGTGACGCAGAGAATGAAATAGAGGAACACATTCCAGGCAACATCCACATAAGAAAAGGAAGTTGTCGCAAAACGTAATATACCAAACCACCTGATTAAAATATTGAGATTTGTGAGTTATTTGAGGTGTGCTAAAGATCAACAAAAAGCTGTTCACATGAATCTGACTGTGTACCAGATGTCTTAATGGCTTAGTGATAAAGTTGGTCGAAAAGGATTGTAAGCCTACACAATGGGTTTGGTTGGGAGTAATGGTTTGTAGAGTCAGCCTGTGGAATAAAGTTAAATCTTGGCCAAAACTGGCCGCTACGTAATAAGGTGTCATAATTACACCATTTGGTTGTTATGAGTTGGATTGCGTTGACCAGCTCTTTAAATCTGGTACAATAATAGGTATACTTATAGACAGAGAAATACAAAATGGAATACAAAAATCAAGTAATGCATATTTCCAAATGAATAACACAATTGTGGGCAAGAAGGAAGGAAGAACACATACAAAATTAAGAATTTATACAACTATATATACACCGACCTTCACATATGGAGCTGAAACATGACCGATGAGAGATAAATATAAATCAAAAATAACAGCAGCTGAAATGAAATTTTTAAGAGAGTCAGAATATCACAAGAGAGTATTCCCAGAAGAGTAATGGAAATGGGAATAGTTGGAAAACGAAGGAGAAGCAGGCCAAGGATAAAATGGGAGGATGGAGTGGAGAAGATAGTGCGCGAGAGAGGAGAAAGTGTGCAGGAAGTGAAGAATATGGCAAGGAACCGACGTAGTTTAGAAGATGGATAGAGGATCCCAACAACACCCCAACCCTGTGATGGCATCTAGAGGAAATGATAAAGAAGAAGATATACTTCTAGACATTAATAGTTTTACTTCATTCTGACATTAATTGCGTGACCACCAATCTTCTGAGTTTTATTATTTTTGCAGTTGCCATCCCAAAATCGTTAACTAACGATCATGTTCATCTTATTATCGTAATCGCTCCTCTAGTAGTTTCCATTAATGAGTTATAAGACAATGACTGCCCAAATTCAAGCGATTTCCGCAATAAGCAAATAAACTTAAATTCACTCAGGATGATAAACTGATGAATAGATTCCAGAACGTTATGAAATGTATTATATGTACGTTTTCTATTATTTTTTTATCTACTCCCATTAAAAATAACGAAAAACTCAATGTAGCATTGAAAATATGTAGCTTGATGATTGATGAAACCAGGAATGCTGTTTTAAACACCCTAATTTCACTATTTTTAAATTATAAACGCTTTTCCTTAAAAGAGGGCACCAACGTAATACAGTTACCGCTACAAACACTGTCATTTTCCTCCTTAGCAACAGGAAATTTAAAAATCAATACTCAACCTAAACTGGAAAGAACAGTAGTGAAATAATCTGTCACTAAAAACAAACCATAAATGACTACGAAAACATTATCGCGAAGTAAAAAACTTCGTTCAAAAGATGAAATTGTACAAGAAATCGTTCCTCAAGTACACAAACCGACTCGAAGAGATACAAGTTCAGATCGAGATACCCAAAGAACTGATTATTCAGAAGAAAGTTTAGAATCGAATAAGAATTATTTAACGGAAGATAAAAACGAAAATTATACATCAAGTAAAGAATTAACGGATTCAGAAACACATAAAAATTCGAATAAAACTGATTCGGATAGTAAGAAAGATTCAAATAAGCATTCTCATTTTACTGATTCAAGACCACAAAGTTTGAGTTTTTATGAAGATGAAAAAATACCTGAGGAACTTTCTGGTAATTTAGAATTGTTAAGTCCAGAAGAAAAAAAACATTATAAAAGAAGGAATGATGAGAGAAATATTTATAATAGTATTCAAGATATTTATGGAAGAGATGGTGACGAAATTATACCTGGGCAATTTAAAAAATCAAAATCTCGTAAGAAAAAACACGAATGCGAACAGGGAATGGGTGATAGTAGGGAGTTGATGATACCTAAAGAAAAGAAAAAAAGTAAAAAGAAAAAACGGGAAAACTCCCCGATAAATTCGTCTAAGAAAAAGCATCGAAAACGAGATGAAGAGTATGAACCAAAAACTGAAATTACTTTAGCTTTGGAGGAGCTTCAAGATGATGTTTTTGAAAATAACATTGAAGATTTTATTCGACATGAAAAAGTGAGAAAAAGTCCAAGAAAATCAGAAAAAATGTACATACAAAAAAAGAATAGATTTGAACCGGCTAATAAAACTAGTTTATTGAGGCCAAATATTGAACAAAACGATTCAAATCAAAGGTATTTATTTTTAACATTCAAGAAATATTTAAGAATTTATATTTAATACATTTTATTTTTAGACATGAAGATAGACCAATAGAAATCGCTCAAAACATCCAGAAACGTTGGATGCCATTTACAACATTTTGTCATGGTTTACTAGGCGGATTAGCATTTGCCCATTTTGCGTACATACACAGCAACAGAAACTCAAACGATTCTAAATACATTATTCATTATAGCAATTATAGCGATATTTATACTTGTACTTTTTATCTTTTATGCACAATTTGCTTAATTTCAGTTTTTGATAGATACGATATCGCTAACATTAGCAAAGTTAATTTTAAAGAGTTGATAAAGCATCGAAAAAGTTGTGCTGTTGTTATTTTGTACGTAACGACAATGTTGGTTCATTTATTTGCAGCGAAAGTTGACGATAAAATGTCTTTGATTAAATATGCTAATATCACGGAGTTAAATGTATAAAGAATAAAATGATTTTATTGATTTGTTTTTAATTTATTTGGTTTTAGATGACGCCTGGTGAAATTTCGGAATGGTACAACTTGTCATTAGGAAGAGCGATTTTTGCTTTCATATCTTGGATAGTTGTTTCGATGGTTTCAACTGAAGATAGTCTTTCGATTCATCTAAAAGAGTCATTTTAAACATATCAAAAACGAAGAATTCTAAGATTTCTATAATATTTATGGCCTCCATGTTATTAAATGTTAAAGTTACTAATAAAGATTTAACTTCAAAAATTAATTTTATTACGAATAGTTATACACAGCAGTTGATGCTCTTCTTTTTAAAGCTCTGCTTAACACTTTGCGACTAACTCCTTTTGTTTTCACGTTAAACTTATGGATCCGTTCTTGATTAAGTAAATTCCGAATCTTTGCTCTTTCAATAATTTGATGTAATGCTTCGGGGTGTTGAATCACGTGGTGTTTAAAAGTTTCTTTGCGCATTACTAAAAGCTCCGTGATATAAACAGCGACATAACTCAAACTTTTATTAACTTCACTCGATTCTAAAAGATTTAGATTTGATAAAACGGAAATTTCTCCGAAGTAATCACCATCGCAAATATGTAAAAGTTCCATGCCATCCTTCGTGTAAATAGCAACTTCTCCACTTGTGATGAAGAAAATATAATCGGGGGATTTGTGGTCTTTAATTAGATCGTTTGGAAGCACTATTAATGTTTCTAATTGCATGATAATACGACCAACAACGGATGGTGCTAAAGATTGAAATAACCAAGTCGATCTTAAAATTTTGCGACAATTATGAAGTTTTAATTCCAATTGTAAGTGTTGAGATAACGTGCTTAAAATCAAATTTTCCCTAAAATATTTTTCTTTGAATCTTGTTGAATAATATAACTTGACGCGTTTTGTTATTGTATCAGGAAGCTTTTTTACTCGGCAATAATAAGTCAGTTGATAGATAATGTGTTTGTAAAGATTTCCTGATGATCGTATAGATAAACTCATTTGTAGAACTAAAGCTGTCACATAAGCCATATAAAACATCCCTGTTAAAATTATTATAATAAAAATAATGATTTCATCCAAATCGCGAACATTCCACATTCCACTACATGGTCCCAAAAACATGGCGCAAACTTTATGCAAACAAACCAGGTACTTCCGAAATCCACAAATGTTTGATTTTGGTGGCACTCCCGCGAGCATAACCCAAGAAGTATTCGACATCGTATGAAAACCCGTTCGAAATTCCGGATAACAACAAATCAACACCGAAAAAAAATGAATCAACATCAAAGACGTTGACACCAAAGATGTTAATTCGTGTACAGAGTTTCCTAAATCCAGTAGCAAAGTTATCACTCTCAAACATTTCGTTACCGATGGAATATGAAAGAAGATCAGTAAATGTAAAATTCCTTCGTACACAAACAGATCGGGATAAATGTGACCCACTTCGGGACATATAAAAAGTGATAAATCTAAAATAAAAAAACCACACAGGTAATTTATCGCAATTGCTTTCGGACGAACTTCCACGTAATCACCGGATTCATTATAAAATCCCATAAAAAAACTCATCACTATATGCACCCCCAAAATCGGTTTTAAAGCATACAAAATATATCTGGCGCAATTTACTCGTGATTCCCAATGTAAAGTCATGTAAAGAGTCGCAGTGAAAAAATAAACATACCAAGTAATCAACATCACGATATCTTTATACATAGCCAAAAGGCTAAATGGGTGCATTGTAACTTTGGATTCTTTCAAATGACGCTTTGCCTCTGTGAAAACGCTTTCTCTACTTCGAAATCGCGCTTTTGTTCGCGGGTTATGCTCGGAAATCAATAGTATTTTACGAACTTCACGAATATAACGACGCCATTTTGATGTGCTTGGATGTAGTTTTGGTAAAGCACTTTCTAAGATACTTCTTTCAGATAGCGTGCAATAATGTTTCTCGCGCATATTGAAATGTTAACTGTAATCAAATATAATTAATGAAATTTCAATAGTTATTGAATTATTAATCAATTTTGATTGACAATTTTTTTTTTTAATAAAGCAATCTTTGTTATTTTGTGGAAAAAATGTGGTCACAAGTTTATCATTATATAGCGGAAACCACATCAAAGAAGTTCGGATACGCAGACGACTGAACGTTTGCTACACTACAACGCATAAAGAATTGGACATTAGTGAGCAAATTGTAAAAAATGGCCTGGCTACTCTGGAGAGATGTTTCCACGACTGGAAATTGCAGCCCAATGCCGCCAAGATGGAAGTATGGTGCTTCACAATCAGGACGGCTAACTACCAATTTAAAATGTACAGACTCCTCAGTCACAATAAACACCAAAGTCCCAAAATATCAAGATGTCATTCTCGACAGAAGCATAAGCTTTGAACACTTAAGCACTTTGAACGACACCCGCTTGCTTGACTTCTGCGCGCCGTTTTGTGATTACTCGAGTACCTCTTTCCGGTACCTGCGTTGTTTTTTATCTCGAGCGAGAGGATTTCCATTGAAACCCGTAAGTTTTGGAATAAAAAATTATTTTCTTTACGAACCCAAACCTGGGTATGTGAACAATTGAGCTTCAATTTGATAACCATTTGCCTATGTCAACGCAAGTGGTAATGAAACATTTATGGTGATGTGCTATTTCGACAAAGATAGATACTCAGGTCATCGACAATTTTTATTGCTCAGTTGAGTAGGCAGTTCTTTGTCTTACACTCTACACATACGAATAGAAAAGCTGATTCCAAAGGGGTTTATAAAGACAAACCGGGGTTTTATGTCAGCGTACCTAAAAAAGAAAGTAATGGTTTTGAGATGGAAGGGAAAACGAGACGTAATTTTTCTTACTACCACACTTGGTACTAATTCTGTAGATACTACGAAGATAAATACAACAATAAGCAAACCCAAAGATGCGTTGGATTATTATTTTGCAATGAGAGCTATTGATAAAGTAAACCAACTGGAAAGTCTCCGACTTGGTTTCAATGTCAGACCACTTTCGATCTAGGTATAAAAAAGATCGGGAAAAACTTGAAGCGAAATCCCAGGAATACTGACGTGAACAAGTTCAAGTCGGTGTTATCAGGGTATTTGAGCGATATAAGGTTAATGCGGCCCAATTTGAGCAGGGATGTTGAGGAACGATCATTGGTCTTAACAGATTCCCTGACAATTGCGTATAAAAAGGCTTGCCCACTCCGTCTGGAAGCTGATTCAGGACGTGCCACTCTTGTGGTGGTGCATTGAGCTCAGCGATCTTGAGAGGGAGGTCAGAGCAGCCTTCAATAAAGCCAAAAGCTCGAGATTAGATTCCGATTGGAACTGCTATAAAGGCAAACTATCGGAGTTTAAAAAAAGTGTTCGTCGAAAGAAGAGAATCACCTCTGGAAACGAACTCTCTCGTCTTAAAAGGGTTCTGGCCTCAGACCCAGACCGGCAAATAAGTTTATTACAGAAGCATGACGGTTGTTATACCGACAACCTTCTACAAAGCTTACACCTTCTAATGAATGTGCATTTTTCAGGTTCGGTAGACTCTATAGTAGTTCATGGAGACACCAACCACACACCGAGTGCAGAAGACTGGCTGTTAGCTGAGAAGATCTCCACGCAGGATAAAATGAGGTGGGTAATAAACAGCTTTTCACCTTTCAAAGCTCCTGGACCTGATGGTATCGTACACGCCCTGCTGCAGTGAGGATCGGAGGAATTGATACCTCACCTAAGGAATATCTTTCAGGGATGCCTGGCGCTTTGCTACATTCCCAGTTGTTGGAGTGAGGTTTTGGTAAACTTCATACCTAAACCGGGTAAACAAAACTACTTCTTTCCGAAGTTTTTTAGACCAATCAGCCTCTCCTCGTTTTTATTAAAAACCTTAGAGAGACTGTGAGATCTTTACATAAGGGATATCTGTCTTGTCCTTAGACCCTTAGATTCTAATCAACATGCGTACACCCAAGGCAAGTCCACACTGACAGTTCTTTACAGTGTGACCAGTTTTGTTGGGAGGGCGTTGGACTCCAAAGACTCCGCCTTGCGAGTATTCATAGATATAGAGGGCGCCTTTGATAAGACGACCTTCGTTGGTATTAACGAGGCTTTGGTTGAGCATAATGTTCATCCTACCCTCTGTGGCTGGATAGACAGCACCATCAGACAAAGAATCGTCAAGCTAAGGGCTGGCAATGTCACCCTTAAAAAGGCGGTAACGCGAGGATGTCCTCAAGGAGGTGTTCTTTCACCACTTTCATGGAACCTCATTCTAGACAGCTTTATTAAACGCCTCAAAGAGTCTAAATTCGTTACCGTCGGCTATGCTGATGATCTAACTATCCTTGTCAGGGGAAAACATGTGAGGGTGTTATTTGACAGGATACAAGAGGCTCTCAATATAGTCGAGAAATGGTGTGGAAGGCAAAAATTGTCGGTTAACCTCAATAAGACCGATTTAATCCTTTTCACACGGTTGCGGAAAATTGGTAATTTTCGATTCTCGGAAAAGTTCGGAAAATGCCCACTAAGTTTGTCTAAAGAGGTTAAATATTTGGGAATCACTCTGGATAGCAAACTATCGTTAGTGAGAAAGCTAGAAAGAAAGCTAGTGTCGCATTTGGGCAGTGCCGAAGGGCGATTGGAAAGACACCTCTATTGGAATGCTGCACGGACTATATACCGGCTAAATTCACATTTTCCAGGAAATGCCTCACCCATTGTGGTTCCACAGAAATAGATGGAAATCACACCCTTAAAATCTACGCTGATGGTTGGTGTAGACGGTAAAAGAAATGGTTTCTCACATGATGGAACAGATTTTTCACTTTGGAATAGTTCTGTATTGTATAAAAAACAGATAGATTCTATTACAACTTTTTGGCCGAATCGAACGCCACATTGTGAAACCAATTGCAAGCACTGAAAAAAAATAATAAGCACAAAAAAGTGTACAAAACGAAGGGACTCGGGAAAACGGATAAGACGTGAAAGTCGATGGGTACTAATGCTGTGGGTGTGGATCAATAGCCCACACAATAATCGTGTTGATGTCCAACTCAACCAAGCTATGCGTACTATATCAGGTACTGCGTATCAGGACTGAACATGCTCTTGTCAGGGAGTATAGAAAGATGTAAGTCTTTCTCAAAGTGTAAGTCTTTTGCATTCTAATATTACGAGTTACAGCAGTTTTTGGATTTCCACTTCTGATGGAATGGGCATTGGGTGATTCTTCGAAAAACTCCAGCGATTTTTCCGATCTTCTTCTGATTCATCCCGGCTTGGCTCAGTCTCAAAATCGTAGCATGGTTTACGTCGAACATCATTACCTGAAAACGCACCAAGTAATCTTTTGGATGTTTGGAGGAATCTTTGGTAACGAAAAGACGAACATGCGAGCAAAATTTCACATTTATAAAACAAAAACGAACAAAGTTAAAACATCGCAAACTTTTGTGAAACCCTGTAAGCTACATCCATGAACTTGTGACTACCTAGGGATGGTGTCTTGTATCGTTGATAAACCATATGTTATAATTGCCGATTTTTATTTATAGAAGGACTGGTGATTGTTCAGGTTACATTCCTGTATACGACATTCGATGTTTAGTCTGGTTTGTCCTAATCTCCCCGCCTTTGCACGACCGTCTGAAAAATCCTAACTTTTTTAATGGAGAAAATCTGTCCTTGAATAGATAATGCATTCATCAATCGCTTGTCTATTCGTTCCGTCACACCTGAAACAATGGGAAAACACTTTTAGGGAACTGTAGCGCAGGTTTACAATTTATGGCTATGTACGACAGGTGCAAGTATTAAGCAACAAATGGGATATGCTGGGATTCCAGGAATCAGTTAGGGATAAAGTCTGCTAACACTACAACTAATGGCTGCTATGTAATATGATGCACAGAATAAGTTAATAAGATCAAGATAAGTTTGGTTTTCTATACCTAATCATAAGAACGAAATTTTTATCATTGGAGAATCATGGCTCAGGACTTCTGCTTGTATGTGCTCACAGAATGATGAGACAAGCTCTTGGTGTGCCCACAGCTTAGCTTCCTGGGACTAAGAATTCGTCTGATTATATTTCACTCCAAAAGCCATTCTTTAGCTTTTAAATATCAGGAAAACCCATACAAAGCAATGACTCAATTCCCTCTTAAACAAATTGAAATGTCGCTGGGCAAGTGGTAGGACAAAAAATAAATTATTGAAATTTGTGTAATTTCCTTTAAAACTTAATTTTATCATTTTCTTGATAATTTAATCAATAAATTGATATGTATGGAGAAGATATAAACCGCCTTTATTGAGGTTTGTAGATATTTATTAGTACATCATAATTCAAAATGTTGTTTCCTTGTGCGACTATAAAGATGAGTTTTGCTACTGGCATGACCAATTTTATTGAAATGCCATTAAATTGTTTTTGTTTGCAATTTCTTCTGCAAGTGTCTATAACATTTTTGTTCTTATATTTGGACTGAGTGAGTCATTTTAATGTTTTGAAAATCATTAATAATAAACCAAAAGTCCAACCTGGTAGGATAATTAATTATAATGAATTATAATCATTTAAATTAAATTGGATGTTGTAAATAACATATACATTGACTACAATTTATACTTTTACTATAATATATAGATCAACAACACAAGTATTTAATAAATAAAAAAAACTCAATTGAGTGCCATAAAAAAGTTTTCTTGTAGCTTTAAGAAGTTGTAATAACCAAAGTGTATTGTTACACTCAATAAATATTTTGAAAAAAGTACATAAAAAAGATTTAAATTAAATTCTGTTGATTATCCCCAAGCTGGTGTTTTACAATAATGTAAAACTAATTTACCATCAGCACCAAAACATTCATATAAATTCCTCACTATTTGGTCTCTGGAAGGTGCAAAGTTTTGATTTACATACAAGAACTAAAAAAAGAATAAATCGTTACAAATGAATTAAACACTAAAGTTAAAACAAACCAATCTATCTTGGGGGTCTAATTTTAAGTACTTTTTCATAAAATCAATAATCCATCCAATTGGTTTATCAGCTTCTACAGACCATTTCTTCTTTTTCATAATCGGCACATCTCCCGTTGGTTTTAAAAGAATATCATCTACAAAAAAATCATTAATTCATAATTCTTTTTACATTATCACTTACATTTTATTTTATCTAATTTTACTTCGTTATTTTCTAATGAAACGCGACGATCGAAATTAGATGATAACGAATCCGATTCGTTTTCGTCCGGTTTTTTAATTTCTTCACTCATTTTGCACTTTTAATGATTATTTACAAAAACACAGAAATGTCAAAATCATAACCTATGTTTTATATTTTTAGGTTACGTTTGTTTTGGAGGTGTCAAAAGCTTTTAAATTTAATCCATAGATGACGCTAAATTTGTAAACGGGTCATTCAAATTTGTTGATATAAATTGATATATTATTATGTTATTTGTTGATTAAATTATGTTATATACATTATTTTTTAATGTCGGTTTGAAAACTACGTACATAATTTTTTATAATGTTTAATTTCTTTATAATTTAAATTTTTTTTACACAGGATATCACATTCAAGAAAGATTGATCCGAGAGGAAAAGGGAAAATCTCACTAAGTAAATGTACTTGGCTTTTTTTCATTATTCAAAAGGAAATTTTCTAAAAATAATAATAATATATATAAATTAGGTATTTATTTTATTTTTAAATTGCAGCGACATCTATTTTTCAATAGAATTAACCAGTCAACTATTATTCAAATTCAAATTCTCAAAAAGATTTGAAATAAAACGCTTTAGGTATTATTTTATTTATACAAACGTTTATTTAGTTTATTCAATTATTATTCCATTTGGAATCAACGTACACAGTCATAATATTTCTGTCAAATTCCAATAGTGGAAAAACACAAATGTTTGCTCATTAATTAAAAAGTGTTTATCACAGAAATTTGACTTAACAAGAACTAAAAAAACGGATCGAACCTATTTAAAACACGGTTTAAACGCATGTCTAATGTTAAACTAAAAAAAATCTTTTCTCCACTTTTTTTAAACGTAATAATCTAAAGACTAGTAGTTTAAATTAAAAAAAAAACGAATTAAAACTGGAATAGTCGCGACTACTTACTACGACAATTTATCATCATTAATAGACTATCATCAATATATTATTAATAAAATGGACATCTTCGTTTATTTATATTTAATATTTATGTATAATAATCACTGAAAAAAGAAGTTAAATAAACAAAATAACCTTTGGTAACAACCACTTGGCTTCGCAGTCTCTCTCTATCGCTAAAATGATCCTTTAAATATTTAAGCGATAACGAGTGGTTCATCATCGGAAAAGCCCCGAATTTGGGGACTCTCCTCTTCTTCTAACCCGTGGTCATCAAATGTGGCGGCATCCGACCGAGAATCATAATGAGAATTTGCAAAACGAGTAAAACTATTTTGTAATCGCTTATGCCGTACATAAAGGAAACCTAAAGCACCTCCAGAAACAACCAATAGCAAACAAACAATTACCAAAACAGTTGTTAAACTCGTTTTACTAATATCGCCCATCCATGGAGATGCTTCTGGCGTTTTAACAGTAGCCACATTTGAAAGAGCAGACCGATAACCACGTTCTGTTTTCATCATAACACCAAACGAATACATTTCCGCAGTAACGTTATTATAAATAAATGGTGGATTTGTAACCGTAAATCGTTGAGCTGTTTTTTCATTAAGATCTTTACCCTCAGAAATTAAAACTTCATACTCATACGAAACGTTGGCTAAATTTAATGCGGTAATGTTATGTCCACGCCAATAAACAACGTAACTTCCGTTATTTTCAATCATAACTTGAACATCAAAAGCTGGAGGAACCGGAGGTGCGTTATAAATAACTTCCGGTGATGGTTTCGCGCCCTCAGCATCAGTTGAAACCACAACTTTATAAACCCCACCGAAGTTAACATAGAAATCGTGACTTATTTCCGTTGCGGTTACGTTCTTTAATTTGAAAGGCATCATTTCATTTCGACCCAATTCAGTTACAGAAATGATGTAGCCAAGGTCTTGGTTGATGGTAGGACAAGAAGCGGACCATTTTACGGTCATCATGTCGTATCGGCGAGAACCTTGAGTTACACGAAGATTTTCAGGCGGAGCACGAACATTAAAGAATGTTTTTACTATATGAGAATCTGTTTGAAGCGGTCCCACTCCCAACGGGCCTATTAAACCAACCGTAAAAATATAACTTTCGCAAGCTCCTAATCCAGTTATTGTTGCTCCTAAAGATGATGTATTAAATCGCGGTTCTAAAATAAAAAAATATTAATGTATTTTTTAAAAATTCCCCAAACGTGTGAAAACTTACTTTCCAATACTTCGTCGACTGTTAATCCATAATAAACACCATACATCCAATTGGCTTTCTTTGCGTATTTTGGTCGATCCCAACTGACTTTAACAGAAGTGGCTTCGTTCTTATTAATCATTACTGATAAATTTGGTACTTCTGGCAGGCTTGTTCCATTTGTATATGTTGCTATGTAACTGTATGGGCCTTTAAATTGTTTGCGAACTGATCTCACCTTAAAAAAATTTTATTTTTAATACATTTATGTTAAAGAACCCAAGATGTGGAAATTAGATTGTTCAAATAGGAGAAAAGAAACTTATTTGGATAATGTAAAGCATTCAACTCGAATTCATAATCATTAGTGGAGTGAAAAGATCCACAATTATTTGTACAGGTGTTCTTTTCAGATTAACATAGATAAAGTATGATCTGTACTGAAGTAATGACTCGTTTAGATTTAGCGACTTTTTAGTATTTTCTAATTCTATCATATCACAGGTAATTAACCCGGCAGGTCGTGCTCGGTACTTTTTGATGTGTATGGACAATAGAGTCAAATATACAAGAATAAATTAACCGACATATAGGATGGAGAAAGGGTCAGTTCACCGATATTAATAAATTAATAAAAACAATGACTGTTCAAAACTTTGGTTTGTGTTACATCTTGTGTTCAAACTGTATACCACTTTCCTCAATACATAACGGATCTGCAGGTCCAAGAAAAGCTTCGCCTTCTTCTTCAATTTTCTGTTTCAAGTATTGAATATCATGTAGTGAGGTAGCAAACACTTTATTCTTCAGGACTTTCCAAAAGACGACATCGTACGGCATTGATTAATTCTCCTTATCCAATCACCAAACTTATCATTGAGGAAAGCGCGAACTCCTAGTCCGCAGGATGGTGGAACGCAATCTTGTTGGAAATATGGAATACCTGCTAACTGCGGATTATTTGCAAGTTCTCCAAGTTCAAGCATTTTCTGATCATGGATTTCTTCAAGTATCATGAACTGGTATTCTCTGGTATTCGAAATGTTCTGGGGCGGCTGACATCTTCGAAGTAGGTCGAGGTTACTTTTTCCATCCGTTTCAAGGCTTGTATTTGGGTGCAAAGGTTAGTTCGAGATTACCAAAAGTTTGTGAATCGCGTATAGCATAATGCTTGTAAGTTCGAGCCTATCTCGATGATTACTTTGTGTTCCCCACACAAAGAATTATTACATTTTGAAGAAAAGGAGTTGCCTTTTCTGTCATTTGTTGTTGTTTTATCCTTCAGCACTCTCCAAAAGGCGTAAACTCTTCAAATATCGTGTTGTAATTGGCATTGCACTGTAAGTACCCTGGCAACAGGCAGATCCGCTCAGCTTTCATGTACTTTATATGGTGATGCGCAGCCATAACGATATGACTCTGATGAACATCACTCGTTTAACAATCTGTCCCCACTGAGCGTGGTCGACTATATGATAAACAGGAAAAAACTCGCGCCTACGTATTTTTATAAATTTATTAATTTTTAAGTTTTTAGCTGCTGCTGTCACTTTCTACATACTGATAGCATTTTAAACATACAGAAACGACTTTCAAAATTTTGTTGAACATTTCTGAAGATTTCTAGAAGATTCTCAGTTGGTGTCCAAGCGTTTTCTGATCATGGTATCTCTTCTTCAACTACAGCCTTGGTACAATTGATTATTGATATTGTAAATGTTGTTAACATAACTCCAAAGCAATGGATTTCAGGTAATCTCTCCTGTACACATTTTTTGTTGGATTTATGTTATTGTATATCGCCGCTAATGCATTTATTATTAGCATACCAAAGATTCGATTTATTCTCCAAGTGTCATGAAGATCCGTATTCGCCTGGTATTCGAAATATTCTGGGGCGGCTGACAACTTCGAAGTCGGCCGAGGTTACTTTATCCATCCGTTTCAAACGAGATAGGTTCGTACTTTAGTTCGAGAATACCAAAATTTTGTGAATCCTAATGCATAGCATATTGATTGAGAGTTCGAGCCTATCTCGCTTAAAACGATTGGAAGAAGTAACCTTGGTCGACTTCAAAAACGTCAGCCGTCCCAAGGTCACAAATACCAAGGCAACTTGAACCTTCAAAATGTTTTATTTTGAGGATTAGGTTCATACTTGGGTGCAAAGGTTAGTACAAGAATACCGTAACTTTGTGAATCATGTATAGCATATTGCTTGTAAGTTCGAGCCTATGTCGATGATTACTTTGTGATGCCCACACAAAGAATTATTACATTTTAAACAAAAGGAGTTGCCTTTTCTGTCATTTGTACAGTAGTCGCACCGCTTCCTCTTTGTTGTTTTTTTTTTTCGACTGTAGATACAGACGTTTCCAGTTCTTTCTTCTAAAAGGTGACCGATGCTTCCTCGAAGATTTTTGGGTAGGCGCTGGTTCACGTATCTGGTCCAGTGGTCTTTTAAAAACATAGAACGAATGTCGTTGGGGTATGGTTCATTGTCACTAGTCCACTTACAACATATCAGGCTGTTGATTGCAATATCCAACATACCAAAAAAATATCGCAAATATCGATTGGTTTTTCTTGATGTTGTATAAGCATGGCATAATTTGTCCAAAATATCCACTCCCCCTTTTGTCATGTTATAGAACTCAATAATTTCTGGTATTTTGGACATCTCGTTTATTTTTCCAAAGTAATGCATTGAAGAGATAAGTAGTACTTTTAAAGTTAGACTTCTTTTCTGAAGCTCTTCTACAACCTCAATTGAGGCAAACACGTTGTCGGCCGTTATATTACGACCACTTCCATTCAGTTGTTCTGTGAGTTGCAAAACATATTGGATGGGTAAAACCACAGGTCGCCTTTTTTCTTTATTATTTCTTTGCCAATCTACGGTATTCCACCGCAGAAATAAAAATTTTTTGCGTCACAGAATGATATTATTTTCAAGCCGTATTTGTCAGATTTTGAAGGCAGATACATTTTGAAAGGGCAGCGCTCACGAAACCCGAACATAGTCTCATCAATACTGACATTTGAGTTCCCTGGTAATTTTGTCGTAAAATGTGCTTTTTTCCAGAAGAAACTGAAATCTGGCAAGGGACATGGTGCATCGAAAAATTGCAGGTCCATATACTTTTGAAAATACGTCTTTGGTACTCAGTGTAGACTTCTCCAATACACCACTCATTAAGCCAAGGAAGGTTTCAAGTTCGACATCATTGGTATGTGAAATAAGCGAAGCATCCATACCATAGTAGCTGCGTGATCTATCTCTTCATTCGTATGTTGAACTATTTCACCGATTATTTCATCAGTTATGAAGAGCGAAAATAATTTCAAGATATCTGTTATGCCTCGCTCCTCTAGGTCCAGGGTTTTCTCTGATAACGTTGATATCTCGAAAATTTGGAACGTACTGGCTTATCTGTCCAGATTGTTTCATCATCCTTAGACAACGTGAACCTTCCAAAGATTTCCAGTTGGTGTTCAACCGTTTTCTGGTCATGGATTTCCAAAAAACGTTATAGATTTTAAAGTGTTTCTAAAGATTTCTAAGTTTTCTTAGGATTCATCAATACTTTTGAAATATTTTCACGAATTTCTTGATTTTCTAGAAATTGAATACGTTCGTTGAATATGTAGTAACATTCTATTTTTTCCGTTTGTAGTTATAAACTCATTCGGAATTTTGCATTTACTTTTATGGAGTGTACCAACACACGTAACTTTATGTTTTACTAATAAAGTATCCATCATGCGAATGCTCATGAATCAATTATCCATTGTAACATTCCTCCGTCTTTTAACAATGGATGTCACAAGACTTTCTACAATGAAAATTTGATCATAATTTGTGTCGTATGGATCTGTTGCCTGATGATTCGTATAATAATTTTGGGCAGTAAAAAGCAAAAATATTTTAATTCCATAACCCAGCAGATTTGGTCTTTATGTATTGGCGGAACGAACATCTTCCATGGAACGATTCCAATTTTTCATCAATCGTTGCGTATTCTCTTACTACACATTTTTTGTGCATATTTTCCTGTAACTTTGAAAGAACATCTCAGAGAGGTGCCAATTTAACGATCTTTCTTCTTTCAGTCCGATCTCTCACCTCATCAATTCTGGACATACAGGAAATGAACAGATCCATTATTGACCCATCTTTTGAACATAAATCATGCGTATTTAGATGTGCTGATTTCAGTACTTGTTATATTAGGCTACATATAACAATCCAAATATTGCGTCTTGTTCTTGTGAAAACTGTAGGTGAATTTTACCTATAGTGATCATACAATTCCAAGCGTCTATTGTTGGTAAGGAATTTTTTGCGTCTCCTTTAGGCCGAGGTCTATTGGATACCAAATTATAACTGATTCCTTACATTTTTTGGGAAAAACATCTTTTTTCCATTGCGTACCATTGCGCCCATGATAATAGTTCTTTGGCTGTGTCATGATCACTTTCAATAATATAATCATTTTCTGAATCAGAATCTTCAGAATGGCTAAACCTCGTTTAGCAGTTTTAACGCGATTCTTTTACAAAGGTTACGAAATATACAAAAAAACAATAAAACTAAGGTTGATTAAGGTATAAAGAACCCCAATATCATAATTAAGTCGATTACGTAATAAATTGTCTTTAAAAATTACCTGGGCATATTTGACTCACGCGCGCGTTCTTCCAGGTTAAGATGGTTTGCATACTTTTGACATTATAGTTAAGTGTATTTTTTTATCCCCCAACAAGATATATTTGACACATTATAGAGTTTCTTTTCTCCGCATAAAAAATGATAATTGAAAAAAATTAACTTACCTCGAATTGATACAAAACATTAGGTGATAAATTCTTAATATCAATTTTCGTTGTATTTGTTCTTCTTGGTTGCAATTTTGGATAAGGCGATCTGACAGTAATTTCTACCAAAAATTCATCGTACCGTTTCTCATAATCCCACGCTAACGAAATATTATGCTCATCTTGAGCGGTAACCCTTAAATTTTCAACAGCCTCAACTTCAGCATCCTTGTCAAAAACGATTGTTACAACTTCAGATAATCCACTAGAATGTTTAGCGTTATGGGCGATAACGTAGAAGGAATATTTTACTCCCGTTTCAAAATCGGGGTCTAACATCATTGAAGTTGAATTGTTGTGTTGTGTAATGTGAATGGGTGGGGAAGGGGGGTAAAATCCAACTTCGTACGCTTTAATAACTCCGTGAACGTGAGTGGGTTGGTTCCAAGAAACCAAAACGTGAGAAGCATTCACTTGGTTAACAGTAACGTTTAGTGGAATACTCGGTACACCTTCCGTTGTCATTGATGGATAAAACTTCGCAGGTGGAAAAACTCTTGTGGTGTTCGCAACACGAACATAAACAGTCATGTTATAATGGGTAAAAGGTTCTAAATTTTTAAACGTGTAATTTGACGTATCTATCCAAGTTCCATTTTGCCAAGTATTATTTCCAATCATACTTATTGATGGAAGGAATTCTAGTTTTTCATTTTCTGGCATTGCAATCCACCAATACAAGAATAAAGAGGATTCCGTTCTACCTCTATCTTCAATACCCATTTGTAAGACTTGATAATAACGATCAACATTTGTACAATTATTTTCATCGAAACCATCAGCGCAATGTTGGAATCCATCGCATCTTTGAGCCATGGGATGACAAATATTGACATCACACGGGAAGAAACCAATCGAACAAGTCGGCGGAGCAGGTATTTCAGGAACGTTATGATTATAAGTACAAGATTCCTCATCTTGCCCATTTAAACAATCGATATTTCCATCACAAACTTTAGATAATGAAATGCAAGAACCATCAAAACGACAAGTGTATTGATCCAAAGAACATTTCGGCGCAATTGGGCAATGTAACTCATCTTCTCGATCCTCGCAATCAGCCATACCGTCACAAACCCAAGAAGAACTTATGCAATAACCGCTAACACATTGAAATTGATTTGCTGCACATGTTGAAGAACTCCAAGGAATTTCAGAAGCTGTTACATTTAAATTTGTCGCCGTTGTTGTTGGATAATAACAACCAGCTTCGTCACTTCCATCATCACAATCAATGGCCATGTCACATTTCCACCAATAAGGTATACAAAGTTGACTGTCACATTTAAACATCCATTCGTGGCAATTATATGTTGAAACCGGGGTTGGTTCAACAGTTGATGTTGATTCAGTACAATTCTTTTCATCAGAACCATCTGGACAATCTTTATCCCCATCACAAACCCATTGTTTTACAATACATTTTTCATTTGGTCCGCCGCATTTAAATTGATACTCAGAACAAGTTAAGTTATTACATTGTGCCTCATCTGAATGATCCGAACAGTCATTTTCACCATCGCAATACCAAGACAATGGGATACAAGAAATTCCTCCAGTTGTACATTTAAATTCATCTGTCTTGCATACAGTTGGGACTGAATCGAAACAATTAAGTTCATCGGAATTATCTCTGCAATCATTTTCACCATCGCATTTCCAATGATTTGAAATACATCTTCCATTGTTGCATTTAAATTGAGATTGAGTACAATTTTGAACGGGACAATTTCTTTCATCAGCACCATCTGGACAATCTTTATCGAAATCGCATCTCCAATAAGTCGGAAGACAGAGACCATTATCGCAAGCGAAATAATTAGGGGCACAAGTTGCGCTTTCACAATTCTTTTCATCTTCACCTTCCGCGCAATCATTTTCGTTATCGCATTGCCAACTTTTTGGAATACACTGCCCAGACTTGCAAGCGAAATATTTGAAACTGCAAGTACTTTGGTATTTTGGACAACTCATATTCGCGTTTGGTACGCTACCACCTGGACAAACGCATTTTCCATCTTTCATGTCGAAACCATCGGGACATAAACAAACTGGTTTTTGATTAACAGAAACGCAAATATATTGACAAGTTGAGTTTGCACATGCGTTTGTGCCATCTTGGATACTGTGGGCGTAAATTTTCATTTCCATTAAACCGTGGATTTCGTTTGCTAAAGTATCAATACCGATTCCATGATCTTTATCGGCGCTAAAAATCGAATTTCTCTTCCAATCATCCCAATACATCGTATCTTTAAACACAGCGACGGAAAATGGATGCATTACATATATAGAATCATGGAGGACTTTATTAAATTTGTTTCCATAAAAATCAGAACTTCCAATGTAATCTAATTTAGCGTCAACCCAATAAATTCTTTCGGCGATGTAATCGATGGTGATTCCATTTGGCCATTCGATTACTGGTGATTTAAAAAGTTGGGTTACATTCGTACCGTTTAAATTAGCTTTTGAAATCGAGGGATGTGATGCCCAATCTGTCCAAAATAAGAACTCGGCGATTGGATGAACGATTATACCTCTAGGTTTCTTTAAAATTGGTGGTGTTAAAATTGTTCGTCGATAATGTCTTGGTTGTGGAACATCGACGCGAATTAATTCAATTTTTGCATCTCTTCCATCAACAAAATATAAATTTTTCGATATCCAATCGTAAGACATTCCTTCAACCGACGATAAATTCGAATTGATCAAAATTTCATTTGGCGATTTTCCATCTAAACATTGCCTTCCAATATGGTCTTTAATAATATCGGCCCAAAAAACGCAATTATTTTTCATATCAAAATCGATGGCTATTACGTTTCGGAAATCTGCGACAGGAAGATCTTCTTTTTGACGGGTAACAGGATTCAAACGAATTATTCGATCTCTTTGAGCTATCAATAAAAATGTTGGAATTTCTTTGAAAGGGCATGGAATAACATCGGGGGCGTAAAAATCGTAATAACCCTTTGAACAAACATCGCCGGAAATCTTTCTATATCCTTTCGTCCTGTTATACATTTGTCCGGGTTGGCACATTTCGGGAATTTCATATGGATCAAACTTCGAGCTTTTATTTCTTATGCAATGACCGTGACTTTCATCCTGCATAAAACCAAAATCGCATTCATAATCAGTAGCTGTGCAAGCGCAAGGTTCTTCAGATATTGGCATATCATAATTTGTACCAATGTAGCATTCAGCGTGAGGAATTCGTCTTTTGTATGTTTGTTGTTTACCCAAAGGGCACGGAATAAGTCGTCGACCGTCAACGCTTACACTCGGAGACCAAGTTTTATAATCAAGATCCGTACAATTATATTTAAAAACATTTTTCAAATCAATTTTTACAATAATCCATTGATGCTGCTCTACTTTCGATCCAAATAAAGTAAAAACGGTAGTATTCGCTCCCGGTTCGGTCATCAACCCATATAAACGAATCGATTCCTTATCGAATTCTTTTTCCTCCCATTTCTCACCCATATCAGTGGAATACAACAAACTGTTTGTATCATGACGAGTTTTATAATATTTAACGGCGGTTAACAAACCTCCGTGATCACCCATGTTGAAAAAGTGAAGATCTTTTAATGATTGACGCCACGTTAATCCAGCATCCGTACTTATATATACTCCAAAATGACCCTTAATATATAAAAAAGTGATTAAAAAATTATTTTGGATTAAAACAAATATAGTAAAACCTCGATATAACGGAATATGACACAGAGTTGTGTTCTGTGTTAGTTAGTTCTAGTTTTAGTTCAATAAAAATGTACTATAATCTAACGCTGAATATCAACTAAAACAAGAACTAACACTAGCATTGGAATTAACTAGTGGTGGAACGGATAGTGATTTTGCGGCATATCTATCCGGCCATTATGATTATAATTTCTGGTGCATTTCTGAAGTGATACCCTACATTGCCACATTATTGGGGTATTTGAATAAAAATGAAATTAATAAGAAAGCTGATAAGATAGGTATGTCAACTTATTTGGATCCAAGATACAAAATGATTTTTTTTGATGCGAATTTAACTAACGAAGCAACTCTAAAAAGAGGATACTTTAATAATTGGTGATATTTCCACAAGGTTCCTTCAAGAAACTAATTTTATAGCGAATTTTGCAAGTTATCGACGAAAATTGCAACATCGAAAAATTAATCAAAACTTCAAATACTGTTTTCTCAAAAACTAAAAGTTATTTTTCAAAACGTGTTGGTTCATTAGAAAGAGGACACTTTTATTAACATTTTGGGATATTTTCATACTCATATTCCAAGAAATGGATTTTATATGAATTTTTAAAACTTAATCGGCGAAAATTGCAAAATTCGAGAAAATTGTCGATCATTTCAAAAATTTTTTTCTCAAGAACTGAAAGTGATTTTTCAAAACGGCTTTTTGTATTAAAAAGAAGATACTTTAATTAATAATTGGTGATATTTCCACAAGGATCCTTCAAGAAATTAATTTTATAGCGAATTTTGCAAGTTATCGACGAAAATTGCAACATCGAAAAATTAATCAAAACTTCAAATACTGTTTTCTCAAAAACTAAAAGTTATTTTTCAAAACGTGTTGGTTCATTGGAAAGAGGACACTTTTATTAACACTTTGGGAAATTTTCATACTCATATTCCAAGAAATGGATTTTATACGAATTTTTAAAACTTAATCGGCGAAAATTGCAAAATTCGAAAAAATTGTCGATCATTTCAAAAATTTATTTCTCAAGAACTAAAAGTGATTTTTCAAAACGGCTTTTTGCATTAAAAAGAGGATACTTTAATTAATAATTGGTGATATTTCCACAAGGATCCTTCAAGAAATTAATTTTATAGCGAATTTTGCAAGTTATCGACGAAAATTGCAACATCGAAAAATTAATCAAAACTTCAAATACTGTTTTCTCAAAAACTAAAAAATATTTTGAAAACGAGTCAGCTCATTGGAAAGAAGACACTTTTATAAACACTTTGGGAAATTTTCAAACTTATATTCCAAGAAATGGATTTTTTACGAATTTTTAAAACTTAATCGGCGAAAATTGCAAAATTCGAAAAAAATGTCGATCATTTCAAAAATTTATTTCTTTTTGACTTTAAAAAATAGCCGGGTAGGCCGGATACCGGATAGCTACCGGATATCTGTTCCACCACTAGAACTAACACTAGATCTAGAACTAGAAACATTTGGGTTTAGCCGTTTTAAGAGACGTGAGGCTAAACCCGAATGTTTCTAGATCTAGTGTTGGTTCAATAAAAATGTATGACAACCTAGCACTGAATCACAATTAAAACTAGAACTAACATTAGACGTACGTCGTCAGACGCACGGTTAAACCCGAAACTTTCTAGGTCTAGTGTTAGTTCTAGTTTTATTTCGAGTATTAGAACTAACACTAGACTTAAAACTAGAAACGTTTGGGTTTAATCATAATCATAAATAGCCGTCTTAAGAGAGGTGAGGCTAAACCCGAATATTTCTAGTTCTAGATAATAATAAGTTTATTGCCACATAGCTTATACAGGAGAAAAATAATATATATGTATACATAAATGAATTAATTAATAGTGTATGTTGACAAAAGGTCAGTTTATCGCCAAGAGCGATGTCTTCCAAAAGACCCAACCAGCAATGTATGTAAAAAAAAAGAATAATCTATATGGCATTATTAAATAATTCAACATTTAAGTAAAAAGAAGAAAAAGAGCAGAGGAAAAGGAAAAAAAAGAAGAAACACAACGAGTACAGTTGATAGAGAGGAGAAAAAAAAGAGAAAAGAAAAAAAAAAGGAAAAGAGAAGAGAAGCAGGTGACATCAAGAGTTAGATTCAGATAATTGCAGTGTTAATAGATAATCCCTTAAGCAGACCTTAAATGTTAGAAAACTCCGAATGTTGCACCGTGAAAGATCCATGATATCTCTCGGTGCGATGAATCTAGTGTTGGTTCAAAATATAAAACAACCTAGGGTAAACCATACAATTATTGAACGGTGCCAGCTATTGGACAGCCCAGATTTAGTTTTTAGAAACAAGACCTTTGCGCAGGATTATGTATTATAGTCGATTGTTGGTGGTAGATTGATACCTAAATTATGAGATAGCTGTGGTGTTGCCGAAATCTGACGTGTTAAGTTAACCTGAACATCGGCGGTGCTACTGCAAGTCATTTTGCTAAAGGTTTTGACAAGGTTTGTGTTTTTTTTGTGAGGTTGATTGTGAAACATTAAGGTAAGTGATGATTATTATCTAACTTCAAAATGTAGTTTATGGTTTCTATAATGGTGCAACATAGTTGTATGGATTTTAATCATTGGAAACTGTATCCAATAGCTATAATTATAAAATTGTAAGTCGTGGACAACAAGTAGTTAGTGGACAACAGTCGAACACCTAAGTATATTTAACATTTCTACTTTTACTTATGTGCCTTATTATTCCTTAAAGGTTACCAAAAATGGTCAAAAGGCGATCATATGATCCCAGACACATGTTGTTGGCGATTCAAGAAATGCAGAAAGGTAAATCTTCTCTAAGAGATATTGCTAACAATTATATAATGTGTCCAAATCAACACTTGATTTTAAAATCAAACATGCAGGGCATAAAGAGAATTTTGGGCCTTGCACCGTTTTAACTGCAAATGAGGAAACTTGTTTAGTATATTGGATAAAGGAGATGGCTAATGGAGATTTTCCTAGGAATAAAGACAAGATATTAATGACCGTTCAGAACTTCCTGAAAGAAAATCCAAGGAAAAATCCTTTTGCAAATAACAAACCAGGAATCGTCAACCTGATGTTACATTTAGGACCTCTGAAGGAGTAACCGCAGCAAGCAGTTGAGTGTCAGAAAACGAGATAAGAAAATGGCTTGAAGAGATAGAGGGATATATAAAGGAGAGAAATTTAGAAAGTGTACTAAAAGATTCTAATAGAATATTTAATGGCGATGAAACAAGTTTTAATATATGTCCGTCCACGGGGAAGGTCTATGCGAAAAAAGGAGCAAAAAACGTGTACATTATTGAACAGACCTCATCAAAAGAGAATATCACCCTCATGTTCACATTTTCTGCGGATGGTAATAAATGCTATCCAAAGATAGTATTTCCCCAAAAAAGGATTCCTGAAAAATTGGGCCAATTTTTCAGGAACAGCGTTTTAGTTCGAGTACTAAAACGAAAACTAGAATTAAACCTAGAAACATTTGGGTTTAGCAGTCTTAAGAGACGTGGTGCCAAACCCGAATGTTTCTAGTTCTAGATCTAGTGTTAGTTCTAGTAACAGTGCTAATACAAAAACGGAACTAACACTAGATCTAGAAAGTTTCGGGTTTAGCCGTGCGTCATCAGACGCATATATTTTGTCCGTTATATCCGAAGTCCATTCATATCAAAGTTTTATTGTAATTCTTACCTTTAAACTTTTACCGATAACTCCTGTAGCAACCAAAATTCCCGGAGCAGATTTACTGCTTAAAATACTTAAAGTTCTTGTATCAGGATAAAGTTGATTGAAACGTTGTGTAAGATGTAAAGAACAGTTGTTGCCTTGATCGCAAGAAATAATTTGTCCCTCGTTATCGTGTTCTGGTGATCTGATCAATCTCCACGATGCTCCATGATCGAAAGTAATTTTCGTAACAAGATTTTCCGGACCTAAATTATATTGGTTTCTTGGCGTATAAGCGATTTGCGATGCTATATAAATCCCTGTCATCCCTTCAACTTTGTAAATGTCTGTAAAAGCTTCTTCAGCTATATGTCTAAAAAAGAATCTTAATAAAAAAAAATAAAATAGGGATTAAAAATTAAATGGAAAAATAAATAATAAAACTTACTGCAACCAAGAATCTGGCCATGAATTATGAAAGTACGCCAAAACATTTTCTAAAGACAACGTTAATTTAACGTTTGTTTGGGAATTTTTTTCAACATTTAAATTATCGGAAACGTATAAATGGGAAATCATTTCTGTGTGGCTGATCGAAACGAAAACTCGATCGTTCGTGACATCAACGACTTGGTAAGATTTTCGTTTTAATTCTGTATCGAAAATGCACTGCCTCGGTGAATCAAAATTATAAGAAACAAATAAATCAAAATCGTCAGAAGTTGATTTTTTCACGTAAAAAACGTAATCGTCCTTAACAAACATATCAACAACATCTTTAGCGAAAAGTTGAAGATGTTGTCGACTTAACGGCGACATTTTCGTATACATAATCGACGATAAATTTGATGGAAGCGTTCGTTGGAGGATTAAATAATTTTTATTATTTGTCCAAGTAAAAGATTTTACGTGTTGTTCTAAAATATCGAAAGTTCGGCCGAAATTTGAAGAGTACCACAACTACAAGAAATTATTTATCAATAAAAAACAAAGTTAATTTAAAATAAACTTACTGTTCTATCCGGACTCGTTTTATCTAAAATCAAAATATCATTCGAATGCATTTCTCTAAATTGAACTTCACTTGGCGTAAACTCCAACTTAATTGGAGTTATAGTTTTTCCATAATTTGTAGTTACGAAGATGTATTTGTTTTTGGTGTCAGAAAATACAAACTAAAAGTTTAATTCAATTTTATAAAAATCAATCAATTAAAAATTAGCCATAAAAAAAACAATAAAATTTATATTGATGTTAGAAAAGTAATTAGTCATTTATGATGATTTTTCTTCTATCGATTATTAGAATATTCTAATAAGAAAAGTAAAAGTAAATAGAATGATAAATATTTTTTTTGGGAGAAAGAGGGATTTCCCCAAAGCAACACGTCGATGTATCGCATAAAGACGATGTGACTATTGGAGTTAATTCTTAACGAATTATTAATTAATGTTTATTGCAATATCGATATTCACATTTACCAGAAAATATGCACATTCCCCTAAATATCTACATTCGCCGAAATATATCGATCCAATTAAAACACATTTTATGCTGTACTTATTGTTCTTATTTGGCATATACTTTGTGAATTTACATCTTGCTCTAAATGCAAGAAGTATTTTATCGACAACCATGTTTGGATCAATGTAACTAACAGCGGGAGCAATCAGAACTATTCTAGTCTGAGGTTGATCACTGAAGTTTCTGTTCTTCTCTTGCAAGTCTTCACCACTACATCCATAAAACTACAAATATCAATGGTAATAAACTGTCGCCCTGTCTAACGCCTTTTTCCATGACGAACATGCTAAAGGTCTTCCCATTCAGCCTTATCACTCCCTTCATTCGCTGGAACATGGACATGATGGACTGCATCAATTGTGGGGGAGTCCCTTTCTTCTCTAATACTTTCCAGACCTCTTGCCTTGGCACCTGATCGAACGAAGAGTACATATCCAAGAAAGCCAGGTATGGAGATTTCCCTCTGCTGATCCACTTATCCGTTATACAGTACAGGGAGAAAATAAGATATCATGTTTGTCGTTCTGGTCTGAAACCCGCTTGCTCCTCATCCAGTTGAACGGTTATGTATATAAATGAAATGCACATTTCTAGGCTATAGAAAATCTACATGAAATGCATCAAAACCATTTTATCCTCTCTAAGTGACTGTTTGATGAATCTTTTGCAGTGAAAAAGAGATTGGTCCTTATTTTTTGAGCACGTTGACGGCACCGTCCTAATTGTAAGTGTTGGTTCCAACAAGACGTAGTAACTGCTCACATAATTTCGGTAATGATAGAGATTTTTAAACACCAATTTTCAAGCTATGCCAAGTTTTGGCGATTTGAACTGGCCGGACAGAACTAATGACGCCAGAAGTTTTTTGGAGCTGTTTAAAATCTTGTATTTATCGCAACAAATCACAAACCTTGCAAAGAGAAGCGGTCCTAGGACGGAATCCTGCGGAACAACTGAACCAACAATAACTTCTTGCGATTCCCGATCACCAACTCTTACCTTTTGTGTTCTACCTGTTAAGTAGTTTTGTATTAGTGCCACGGCACCACGACCCAGTCCCAACAACCCCATTATACGACAGAGCAATGTATGATCAATGGTGTCAAATGCCTTAGAAACATCCAGGAGTACCACCGCTGTAAGCATACCTTTGTCAGCTGCACCCAAAACATCATCAGTGAGTCTTAGCATAGCTGTAGTGCAACTATGATCAGCACGAAAACCAGATTGCTGAACTGGTACCAAGTTGTTCTGTTTAATATAAGGGATTAATTGATTTTTCCATGATTACTTTTTCCAAGATTTTAGACATAGTTGGCAAAATACTGATCGGACGCAAGTCCCCATAATCAACTGGATTCTTTTTCTTAGGTAATGGAAGCAGAACAGCTCGTTTCCATTGATCAGGAAAAATATTTTCAACCAAACAAGGATTTAAAATGTGTGTCAAATACGGCAAAATAACAGGGCAACACATCCGAAGCATATTAATACCAACCAAGTCAGTCCCCATTGAAGAAGAGCTTGTCACTGTAATAACTTCCATACCCTTAGACGTGGTAATCGTACGAAATGAAAATACATTGGAAGTGAAAACTGTTACCTCTTTATAGCAATCATCAGTCTCGCCCAATGTAATATCGTCAAGGATATCTTGAACGCTATGAACAAAAAAATACTATATATGCCATCAGGATTCTGCAACTGTGTGGGTAATTGACTGTTATTATGAGTCATAGAATTAATTTGCAAATGTTTCAAACCACCCTATCTCTGCTTAGAATCGCGTTTGGTCGAAATGGATTTGAAATAAACTCTCTTTTCATTTTTAATAGCATTAGTAGTAAAGTTTCGTAACTCCTTGTAATAGTTCCAATGTGAGGTATTGCCTGTCCTTCTGAATTTTGACTTTGCTCTGTCTCTTAGGCGCATCATAAACTTAATATTATCCGTTAGCCAAGGAGCACTAGGATTTGTGAACTTGCATAAACGTAAAGGAGCATGAACGTCAAAAATATTAATTATTTGCTGAGTAAAAAAGCAAACTTTGTCATTTATATCCTGCATATAAAATATTTTGTTGAAGGCTATATTACTTAAGTCAGATTTGAACGATAATTGATCAATATACTTTAGTGATCTAACCAGTTTATATGCAGGCTCTGTCATTGTGTTGCTCTGCTTACAGTCACAGTACACTAAATCGTGATCAGAAAATCCACAAGGCAACACACCACTGCAATATAAGGTTTGAGTCAGGACATAACATTTGTAATTAAAGTCCTACATATCTTCACTATTGGGTTCTTTATTTATTGTACTTTGAGTACTCACATTGACTGAAATTTCTTTTAACGGACAAAAACGACAACCTGGAACACTCTCCATACGCGAGTGAGTTCGACAGTAGTGCACTAAACAAGGTTTATTGTAGACATTGCAAGCAAGAGCTGGTGAAAAAATTTACTGGAATTATGATTATCATTAGCACCTGTGTGGAGATGTATGGAAGATGTTGGAAGGCATTGTCTCATCCGAGCGCGGTTTTCGATGCTTATGCTGCTGAAGTAACTTCTATTGTAACGTTGTTTTCATGAACTCTTTTATTACGGACAAACAAGGCTTTCTTTGGGCGAATGAAGGTCGCAAAGGAAATGCGCTATAAATACGTATGCACTCGCAATTGCTAGATTTTCGTCCGCAAGAGTGAAACCCACACCTTTTGATAATTAAATGTGACGCGGATGTGGATGGAATGTAACCGGTCTTGAACTAAATTAACTGAAATACATCAAAGTTTATTAAATTTCGGTATTAATTCGGCACGGTATCATATCTTTAAATGCGATAAATGGAATAAAGATGATGGGAACTCGTATGGCGATCATCAAATGAGAACTATAACAAATTGCATCAAACATTTTCTTGACTCCAGTAACAGAGAAAGCTAGTTGAAGTCACTCCAATATCAAAACCAAATAAATTGAATGCTGTAAATAACTAACTGCAAATATCAATTCTATAAGCATGAATTTCTTCAATGTAAATTAAAAAATTAATCGTGCATCAATAGAAATTTTACTATTAGAATGAATTTTTTATGGCTATTTTCAAAATCTCAAAAAAGTAACTTACGTGCGTCTTGTAGTTTGGATGATTATAAAACTTTTCAACGTTGGAATAATTTCCATTTGGCAAATTGTTTAATTTAAATAAGTCAGTTTTATTAACGAAGGTATCCCCGTAGTCATAAGAAATAAAAACTGTCGATGGATTCGCTGATTGACTCATAGACGAAAGAATCGGATTTCTTGCTAAACAAATTATCACGTTGCTACCTTCGCCAACCCAGTGAACCATTAATTGTTTATGGGTGTCGTTTAGATGGTGCACCTAAAAATAAACAAAACCGTTATAAACTTTCATTAAATATTATTGTGGTATGATTACATTTCTTAAAAACGATATCAGAAGAGAAATAAATAAAGTTCTTAGTAGTAGGCATATTTAAAACGGGAGTCTGTTTTGTCTGGAACGATCACGAAGTTACGATGAGTAAGAATAACAAAGAACAAGACTTCATTGAGTCTCAGATAAAAGATCGCCAACGAAGGTTTTGAATATATGCTACATAAGGCGGTGCGATAGAGACTCTATTTATAGAACTGGGGCTTTTACAGTATGTATGTAAGCAAACAAATCAATAAAGCGCGATGGAAACTTCCTGCTTTCGCTACTGAAATTATTTTATTTCATCACAATAATGATAATTTTTAGTTTTAAAAAGGGATTCAGATTTATTAACTCTGAAAATAATTAATAAAATAAAATTAAAAAGAACGAACGTAACTAAATTTGTGTTTAATTCTAATTTACTTAATATAATATATGTATATCCAAGACAAAAACATTATTGCAGAATACTCATTTCTAAATGCACAGCTATTTTTGATCTTTTAATAACACAGATGCTCGATGCGTTAAGTTAGGGCAATTGTAGAGGTGTGCGAAGTTGCTTTCTCAGTTAACATAACCCATTACTGTTTCGGTAAGTCGTTAAAATAAGTAGTGCAGCCAGCATAAGTAAACCACTGATAAGTTAACAGCTGTTTTTGAGCGAGGTAGGTAATTCCTCGGTCTGTATGGAAACTTATTTTGCAACGCTTTCTGCATGTATGAAAAAGTACGAGAATTAAAATTTGCGATATAGCTGATACATGAAAAAACAGATTATTGTACAAGATGTCGATATATCTCAAGAAAATAGTATCACACAATAACCCACAATAGGTTCAGCAAATGTGAAGACATTTCTTAAAAGAATCGGAATTCATCCAGCAATCCAGAATGTCATGTGGGCCACTACATTTCAAATATATGTCTAGCACAAAAATTGAAGTGGTATGTTTTGTACACATAGCAACGAGGGGGCACAAGTCAAGTGTAAAAAGAAAAGTGTCAAACGTATGGAAGAGAAGAAAACGATAATGATGGTTCCAGCCAATAGACGAGATACGTTATAACAGTTTATAAATGTCAAAACTAGGGAATAGACAACTCCCTGTGAACAATTGCCAGTTGTCTGTTCTAGGTACACAAAAATGTTCGGAATTAGATAACGAGACTTAGCTTTACTTCTGAGGATCACTTAGGATATGATTGTGATATAATGTTCAAGAAAGGAAAATCACTACAAATGAGTCGAGATAAATACTTCCAATATTTTTGAATATATACAATATTTTTGTATGTACATAGTCAAGAAAGGGGTAGGAATTCTTTAGCCAAATTTGGCCAGAAACATTTGACTAAAAAGTAGCAAATGATTAAACCTTCATTCATTTCAGTGTTTTCTCACTATTTTATCAGGTGTATGTTTTCCACGATATTGTCCAATTATTAACTGTATTCGCATTTCTCGTTTTCTTCAGGGTACAGCAAAGCATGCAGCAATGTTAAAATTAGCGCCAATTAAGCGTATTCGACAGAGGCCACAATCATGGTTCTTTTCCATCGATACAAAGCCAACGACCAATCCATTTGAATAACACATTCGAAAATATTTAAAAAAACTTTGTTTCAACATTTCAATCTTAAAAAGTTCAGATGCTCAAATAGGATACAAAATAACATTACTGTTTCTATTGTCATTGACAAGTTTTACATGTTAATGATAAATATAGAGATGTGCTTGTGCATTTCCTCTAAACGTTGGATGACCATAACGTTGAAATGCGCTTCATATAATTGTGACAATGCATTCTTAATCAGAACATATGATGCCTATCCTAGGAATAAAAACTGATGTGTAAAGTTAGTTGGGAGGGTTTATATATGTCATTTATTAATAGAATGAATGAAATGCCAAACAGAAATTTGAGGTTGTGCCATAATAAGGAAATGAGGTGTTTGGAATTTTGGAAATAATCAAATAGGTAAATATAACAATTGTGAAGAGAAATAGTTAAAACTTAGATATGAAGAAAACTGGTGGTAAAGAATGGAAGGGTACTTAGTAGAATGGGAGTAGTGAGAAAGGCGAAGAGTGATTGTTAGGGACGTTCCACTATGAGATACCAGTTGATGTCCAAGCACAAGCTCCTCAATGTGTACGTCAAAGGATTCTATCAAAAAATGTTGAGATACACTGGTTGTTGAATGTAGAATGTATGGACTAGGATGGATAGGAACATCACAGAAGACGAACTGATCAATGGCTAGATAAGAAAGGTTTTTCTATAACCCTTCCAACTATTTTCCTTCGAACACATTTTGTGTTACCACCGATTACTTAATACCGGCAGCAACGTTTAGAGTGGTGTAGGTTGCAACTGCACTAAAACTCAAAGTAGCATAGATTGGTGTGCAGTGATTAATGCAGGGATGCATGATAGGCGTCTAAGCGTCGGACAAAGACATTGGAAAAGCAATGTTCAATTTTCTGATGCGAGGTATATGTACTAAACTGTGAGGACTATGATATGGGGTACTATAACATATAGGAGCATGTCTTCTGAATGACCAAAGAAGTGTTGATGAGGTGGTAGAACAATGTATTCCTCCATTTCTTTAGCAGTTAAAAGACCCACTATTCCAACAGAATAATCCCCAGTACGAAAACTGTCACGCATGGTGTTAATTAAACTAAAACTAACACTAGCACTAACACTAGACGTAGAACTAGAAACTGTCGGGTAAAGGTCTTTTGAAAAAGTGTTTGACGTTTCGGATGCTATGTTGCAACCTTCTTCAGAAACAAGTTCGTAGTGATTTCCCAATCCAACCCAAAAGTTTCTAATTCAAGGTTAAATGTTAGTTCTAATAATAGTGTTAGTTCTGGATTTAGTTTAAAGAATAATCCCCGTTTCCATAATTCAAGATATTTATAGAAAACTTTGCAGAAGATACTGTTACCATCTTTTGCCCTGGCCACCCTGATTTCCCTATCTTTTGCTCATCGAGGATGTTTGGAACATTATGAGGAAAGGACTGAGGATCTTCCGCAAACGCTGTATTTGATACCATAAACGAAAACAAGTAGAAATTTTGAAAGAATACGCATTAACTTTTTTGCTAAATTGTGAGTGTAATTTGTGATAGTTTTTTGTCAGCATATTAAGAGACCACCATAGCAAACGATAATCCACAATCAAATGGTATTATCGAGGTAATTATGTAAATAGTAAGAACTATTCCTGAAATAATTAGATAGCAAAACTAGTGATTTGTCTATGGAACAAAAATATGATAAAGTGCACCAAGCACTAATGATTGAAGTTCAAATAAGGTATTTTGCAAACAAAACCAAGAAGATATGATATATTAAAACAGGATCATATACGTAAAAAGACTTGAAAAGGTTATGTGACAATAGAAGAAGTCAAGATATACGTCAACTCTAATACATAGAGACGACGTTTTTATAAATCTCAGCTACTTCGCTGCAGGACTTACCAAAACAATATTGTGTCTAACGGTAAATCTTTGCAACTATCACGTTGCCCACTGAAAATCTTAGGCATTAAAGCATTAAAACGGCTAAACAGATTGCGTAATTTATAAAAAATTTCATTTGGTTCAACAGTGAAAGAAGAAAACGGATACGATTTGGTTACAAGAACTAGATGACATACAACTTTACTGACTACTGCTATGAATATGAAACTCGTACTGGAGCAAAAGCTGTTGCATACTTTTTGAATTCAGGTGTTGTTTAAGCCCCCAGCGATGTCTTCCCACAATATAATTTTTTAATAACTACTTGCGTAGTTGTGAATTTAGCTTCGTTTCAAAAGTTGCGTGAAAACACAATTTGAAAAACTAACTATCCGCTTTCTGATCTAATTTATTTAAAGAAGCATTGAAAAAACTTGTTTAATTTGCTTTAAAATTGCTAAATTATCTCATTGTCCTCAATTGAGTATATAACTCAATCTCCACAGATTTACCAACAGCGTTACATTTACAATTAGTGTTTCAAATAGTACAAAAAATTAAAGGCAATGGGTTAATTAGCGGTCTGTTTTGAGACTGCTTGATCTCTAATCATTTACAGAAAACAATTGCTGCAATTTGAAGACATCAAAATATCTCAATCACTTTTTTAAGTATCACAATTGTGATCCTTTTTCAATAATGGCACTATAACACAAAATCAATAAATGGCACTAGAAATTTTTTATTTTAACTTGAATATACAGGATTTGATTATTAAATAAAACTATAAAAATCATCAATATTTAGAATGAAAAGATAAACAATTTCTAAAACATCATGAATTAATCTCTATAAATAAATTAACTACTTGTATCTTTTGGGGAACCCCCAACTGGAAGGAAAGTTTTCATTTCCTACTTGGTAAAAATAATATCAATCGCGGTTGTAGATGTAACACATTGAATGATAAGAAATGACGCAAAAAAAATTCACAACAAATTTCTTATCGTCCGCGGTTATTCTTCCGCCTTGTATATTCTTTGAATTGACTCATTTAGCTTTGCTTGGTAAAATAATCTTAAAAGAAGATAAGTTATTAAAATTAAAACCAAAACAGATTTATAACATTTCAACATGACGTCATTATAAGAAAGACTAAACCTTATCTCTTCCTGTATTATTTAATTTATTTTTTTTTTATTTAGAATGAATCATTTTAACAAAAAGGAAGTTATTATTCACCAAATTTACACTTTATCCTCATTATCGAATACAACCAAAGTCGAAAGATCTAAATCATGACGCTAATACTTCTTTGTCATATTTATGTTTTTTTTTTTTTTTTGCAAAACAACAAATAATTTTAACAACGACAAATTAAATGTCACAAATGTACAAGTTTTTTTTGATTGATTTGTCACAGAGAAACTATGAGAAGTGAAAAGTCAAAGGCGTCGGGTGACATGCAAAAGAACAGGGGGCCACCGCCCCAGACGGCGACCACGTCGAGAGCAAGGAGCACCAAGTCGATTCCAAAAGAGGAAGAAAACGAGGCTTACGTTGCGATTCCACCCGATGGAGGTTGGGGGTGGGTTGTCGTTTTGGGAGCTTTCTATATTTTTTGTATAGCCGATGGAGCTTTGGTCAGTTTTGGAATATTTTTAAATGACGTATCGAAAGCTTTCAATTGTACTAATAGCGAAATTGCGATTGCTGGAGCTGTACAAACTTGCTGTTATTGCTTAGCAGGTAAAACATTAATTAATTAATGCAAGAAGATATTTTTAAAAGAAATATTAAAAGAAATATCTCGTTTAGAAATGTATAGAATGAAAGAAATAAAGTTTAAAGGTCATACTGTAGGGATGTTGGGAGTCTGGATAAACAGGGAAAAATCAATATCTATTCAACCTTCTCAAGGTTAATAGGAGTTGCTTTTATTGTAAGGGATTATTTGACGAGATCTTTTTTGTTAGTTAATTTGCATCTAAATTTATCAAATGGGAGTGTAAACTTGTTGATGTCGATTTCGAAAGATTTATTGCTTAAGAATTAGAGAAAGTTGAATTCATCTTCACACAACTTGTTTCGTTGATTGTAATTTCGCATTTTAAACAAATTCTTGAATCGACACAACGATCTTGTTTATTTTCTTGTATGATTCGTTGAATTTTATTTGTTTTTTCTAAGAAGTCTTGTAACATCACAACAAATTTTCCTAGAAATTGAAACATTTTGTTTTAAAGATTTTTTTTTAACTTAGGTTTTATATTTCAACATAAACAATTTAATTCATTATTTAAAACAAATTAAAAGAAAACTTCCTATTTTTGTCACGGATTGTTAACAACAATAGCCTGTTTCATTTCGAACTTTCCCCACATTTTGAAAGTAGTCATAAACATTACTGTTTAGAAGAGAATTTTCTACCTTATTTTTGCCATTTTTCCATCATATTTTTCTTTTTTATAATATTTTATTTAACTTTCCTTTTTAAATGTGTTTTTAACTTTGTTAACAATTTCAATTTGCAAACTCATCCGTTATCGCGTAGCCAAGAATTTACTGTTTACGTCTACAAAGACAGAAATAATTTTTTCTACGTTGTTAAATCTGCTTGAAAACACATCAATGTTTTATTTTTGTTGTTTAAAATTATTTTGTTTCCTTTCAGGTCCAATTTCAGCAGCTTTAGTAAATACGTTTGGATATAGAGTTGTCGTAATTTTAGGAACAACCCTCGCATCAATAGCTTATTCTTTAACCGCGTTAACACAGCGTCTTTATCAACTGATTATAGCGTACGGTATCTTAAGCGGACTTGGTTTCGGGATGATGTACGTTTCAGCTGTGATAGCAGTGGGTTATTACTTTGAAAGATGGCGAGGTTTAGCATCAGGAATGTCTTTGTGTGGGGCAGGAATCGGCGCGACGAGTCTTCCCCCAATAATCACCATACTTCTTCACGAAATCGGTTGGAGAGATACTTTTTACGTGATCTCCGCCCTAATTCTAACCTGTTATTTAAGCGGGATCGTTTTTAGACCGTTAAAACCGGTAAAAGTTAGGGTGGATATGCATGGGGCGCCGAAGAAAACGTTGAGTCATATTAGTGAGGTCCAAGAAACAAAAAGCAAAATGAGTCAATTTTTCTTACATTATAATAACGCCACTTATCCGACTGTTGCTGATGTTAAATCGTCGGTTATTGCATTGCTAAAACCGCCAAAAGTGACGGTTACTCGATCAGCTTCAAGTGAAATTATTGCAACTACACTTCTGGATGGTGGCGAATACATTCATCCAAGAAGCGATGCAGATAGTAGTAATAAAAGTACTGAGTCGTGTTATAATTGTTGCATTAGATTGAAAAAATGTTGTTATATAAATTGTTGTATGAAATGTTGTCATATGAGAAAATCAAGAACTTATATACCTTCAAGACCTATGTATAGGGACGATATTTTTTATACTGGTTCAATTGCTACACTTCCAGAATATAAAAGGAGTCAAGTATCAAGAGCTGCTTCATCGGTAAGAACAACATTTAAGTATTAATTATTATTTATAAGTTATCATAATCTATAGTTTACTTAAAAAAATATATAATATGAGATAAGTGCCTCAACAAATAATATTCGGAGTTATTTTAGAATCATTTTTGTTATCGTCTCGAAAAACATATTAAACTCCAACGTTTTAATATATTTACCGATAAGATAAGAACCTGGGAGTGCATTGTTTTTGTTACGAGTTGAGAGAAAAAAGAATATGTTAAGTACGACATGTGATTTTAAAAGTATTTTTACAGTAAGCAATGTATACAAAAATACAATATTGATTGTTAACAAGTTTTTCATGTCAGTGAAGACACGAACTAGAGCGGTTCCTCCATGGTCGACATAACGGTAATCAAATAGCGTCGAAAGTTGATGTTTTCTTATGGACTTTTGTATATGCTAGAAAGAGATGGTATCTAAAGATCTCCAATTTTCGAGTTTTTTACTAAATGCCGCAAATTAATTCAAAAACTCCTACTTGCTTAGGTTTACACGTTCAGGTAAAGGTTGAGACTTTTTCAAGTTGCACTTTTCTATGTGCTAGTACTTCGCTGGTCGTCCATTCATTTCTAGTACAACTTTTAATGTTTTCGGCATTGATTGAACTAGTTTTTCAGTATAAGATATCGGAGTTTCTCTCCATTCTACTTGTAATGCAACTTCTCAAGATTCTTAAGTTTTGCAAATTTAAGTCGTTATTAACGTAGATAATGTAATGTAGCAAACTATCATCAGTGTAGCAGTGTAGACTTGATACCTTCCTTGAAGTTTATGAAAGAAATAATCTCGGTCTCAAAACTCTTCTTGCTGTTTCTGCACTCACTGCTGCCATTTTTGGAGTATCACGATTTGCGTCATAAGTACTGTTCCTAATGCTTGGGGAGGCTGACGTCTTCGAAGTCGGCCGCCCCAAGTATAACGAACAATGTAGACTTGATACCCTACTTAAAATTCCACTATACAATACTTATTCCTCATTTTTCCAAATTCAAGTCGCTTCTTTCTATTGACGTCGCTAATGTAAAGTAGTCGATTGTCATAGATGGCATATCTCAAAACTCTTCTCGCTGTTTCTGCACTCACTGCTGCTCTTAATGATTTGCATCAATTTGTTTCTTGTAGCTTCATAAATCCATAAAACCTTCATTCCTATTAAAGTTTTCGAAATAGACCAAGTTGGTTATAACATCGCGATGGTGTTTCTCACTCAAGAATTCTCACAGTGTTTAATCCATTTGCCAACATCTATTTTGTATTAATGAAAGTTTATAGTTGAGATAGCAGCGACACATTACCATGACAAATCTTTAAATCGAGTTAATGTTCCAACTGAAACTCAAGTTTAACAAAATAGAAGAAAGAGCTTTTTTAACTGAAAGATCTAAGGAAACGACACCATGAGAAGAAATAATCATTTTATTTATTAAGTCGTCGAGATTGTTAAGTTTACTTAGATAAGATATTACTTCGCGTTTAAGTAACTTTGTTTCGTTATAAGGAGAGGGAATAACATTTCAAGATAATTTCAATCATGATACTTCTACGATTTCCCATCTTCTCTCGTAATGCCATTCACACCGAATTATAATAAAACAGTTACTTAGGTTTGAACGAGATGGATCTTTAAATACTATCTTGTTTAATCATCCGTTATTTGAAAGTAAACCAGAAGAGAAAATAAAGAGCATAATCACACAAATTTAGAAGATTTATTCAGGCCTCAGGTTCGCAATGATTTGTATCGTTCTAATATACCAGAACATCTATTTGTCGATATTCGAAAAGCTCAAGAAATTTTATAATAACTTTACATTATTATATCTAATTGTTACATTAAAAAAAGTGGATATTAATATTATATAATTATATTATACATATATGGATATAATTATCATATTAATAATATTATTCAGGAATTTCAGGGCTTCGAGTTAATATCGGTTGGATTGGGTTACATATTCAACGAACAGTGTATGCTGATTAAGTAACTAATCTTATTTTTTACGACTCAAAAAAAAATAACTTAAAAACGTATCTGCTTTCAAAATAACGCAGTCTAATGTTTCAAAAAAAAAAGCATTAAAATATTTTGTTCTTCAACAAACAAAAACTGTTAAATTTGAAATAATTAGATAACTAATTGTGGGAGAAAAGCAATTTCCGGCAGTAAAATGTGATGGGATAAAATAAAAACAAGGTATAATGAGCAATCAAATTTCAAATTGACATTAATATATCCGTAATTAATAATCTGTGTTCCGTTAAGGTAACATGACGTAGAGATAATAATTTATGTTAAATCAAAATATTAATATTTTTTTTAATATTAGTTATGATGCAACACGATTATGAGTCAACCCATCACGAGATATCCTCGATTATTTACGGTTTTCATTTTTTTATATAATAATAACTGTCAGTAAATGAACATTTCTAATAAGACGAGTAAATATAATATGAATAAGCCGTGTTCGATTAAATAAAGATTATTTAAAGGTTTGGAAGAACTTGATATATTGTTTTTTAAATCTTTAAAATCCAAATATTACATAGCAAGTATTTTAAAACGTCAAAGATAGAAAAGCACTAAGTATATCGCCATACAAGTATCACCAAGAAGAAGAAAAGTTATGATATAACTGTTATGATAAGCAACATTAGACCATAGATCATGGATACATCATGAATACAATCAATATTCAACAGGGAATTATATTTTAGAATTTACCCATGAAAATTTCAGGTTGAGTTTGATTTGTAAAAGGTGATGCGATGTTAGTTCTGGAAAAAGTAAATATAAGCAAAAATCATCATACTAACATGAGTCAATATACATTGAAATAACTAACCATAACAATTCAGATTTATTCGTTATTTCTCTTATCCAGAAAAGCTTCATGCTTAAAAAACTACTTTTTATAAAATCATAATAATCTACGTTGTTTAAAAATAAGGTAGATAATGTTAGATTAGATCAAGTACGGCAAAGGTCGGGACTTGAAATGGGATAGCTTGCAAATGGAAACCCGATGAGTTTTTTTTCAAAATTACGCTTCAGTCATTAAGTGTACAATGACTGTTGCATGTTGCTATTTCAGCAACAATTTTAAGTTACTATATAAATGTTGCAACATTTATAATATAGCTTTAAAATCTTAATAGACTTTAAAAAAATATAGAGAAGATACATGAAAATTTTCTAAAAGAACCTCTAAAGAAAGCTTGCTTCTTATCACATCAAATTCGATGATATTAAGTATGAAGAACATCCAAGAAAAAGTATAATCAGTGAGACTATTCCAAATTAATGGTAGCGAATAGATTTACCTCAACGCTTGTGGATACATAATAGGCTTGCGCCAACTGTAAAAATTTGTCCAGTTCATGTACGACTTCCTTCTGCGCATGTTCGTCCATGCACGGGTTCGTGAGCTCGTACAAAATAATTATTAACCTTTTAGACATGGTTTATGCACAACCGCTAAATGACATGACAATATGTGCTTATTGCAGACAGCGAATGAATTTGACCTATTGCGGACGAGTACATTGATTTGTTCGATTATGGTTGGAACACTACTTCTTCTACAGTAACGAAAGAACACAACCGATAGAAAAAAAATTGTTTGTGTTCAGACTTACTTTTGCATACAAAGTCATGTAAGACATTCCCATTAGGAGTAATTTCTTAAAAAGTATATTAGTTAGGTTCGTGTGAAGATTTATCTTGTTTTGATATATTATTATTTCTTCAACTTTCAATCCCATCGCAAATTAAATTAGTCAACTTTAACTCCGTTTTTAAGCAACTCTAAAACACCTTGTCCAAATTCCATTTCTGATTGATGTTATCTGCATAACTGGTCTTTTTATTTTTTTTAGTTGCTTCCCAAAATGAATAATTCGTAGTCTTTAATTCTCCAACATATACTTTTATTGACACTTTCTTTAGAACTTTTATATTTACGTTTATTACTACTTGCACCAGTTTTTTGGAAGCTCATGATGTTGGATCCCGTCTTAGAAGATTAGCCCGCTATCTCCTTTTGCATTGTTAAGTTTAGATAGTCATGTCTAACATACTTCTTCATCCTTTCATTAATGAACAAGCCACATTTGAAAATCTAGACGTTCGTGGTGTGACTTATTATAGGAGATAAAAGTCCCATTTCATACATATTCCACACGAACTCCATTACTGTCCTTTATATTTGAGCTAATTGGCTTGTTTAAGAGTAAGTAAGCAAATCGCCATCATCAATCAATACATCAAGTTGATAATCAAAAAGTGGAGGACCTCTAACTCAATAGACTTCTGAGTTTTTGCGTCTTGCCTTTTCAATCCTATCCAATGCAGATACTGACTTCTCAAATCCTTTTCCATAAATTAAAAGAAGATTAATTTCGTTAAAATCCATTTTGAATAGTAGAAGTTAACTTCAAAAACTGCAAGTGATTTTCAAACTGTGCAAACTGTCGTTCATTGTATTCAAACGATTACAAAAAACTTTAAATAGACTGGTTTATTGTCTGATTTGTCGCACCAGAATTGCAACACACATGGTGGACATATTTAGAAATAGTAGTCGAGATGCCTCAATGGAGATTGTCAGTGATAAATTGTAACCAAGTAATACACCACGTTTATTGGACAACTAATTGAAAAGTTTATTGAATAACGCACAACTTTTCAGCAATTAAGGTATAAAATCTTGTTTGTAGGCAATCTTTAAGTTGACTTAAGGATTATCAGTGAATAGTAGGTGTCAGGAAAAACTAACGCATGTGATACAGAGCCTTGTAATAAATAGAGAAAGTATGCATTCGAATTCAACTTCACATAATACTCAACTTACTGAAATACTTTACTTACTACAACAACAGACCGAAAAGTATTAATCAATGCATGCTCCTGAAGATGCAAGATACCGGGTAGAAATCATCCAAAGGAGTAATTAAACAATTTTAAAACAATCTAATTTAATTTTGATGAATCTCGAGAACTAAGCTTTTTGAAATCTATGCTCAAATATGAATATATTTATTTTTAAGTTTTAACTCCTGCTCAAAAATCAAACTATGTGACTAGACAAAATACATCTTCACAAAAAAGCAAGGAATGAGCCAGAAAAAAGGAATGAGAAGGCAGTTAAAGAGAAAGGAAGAACTCCGAGAAATTTCTTTCGAGAACACTATTCTAACGAGAAGGAACAATAAGGATTTCTCAGAATTAATTCGTAGCAGACTCTTTAAATGCCTGATTGGACACCATTTATAATCCGTAATTTTGAATGTCATTTTTCATTTAGAATCATTATTTATTTTCGCTTGTACCTAACTCCTAATACTAACTTGTTATGATTACATAAAAATTGTATTGTTCCACATCCTGCAATTTCCTATATATTAAAATCACATTTTCTAAAATAATTTATAACAAATTTTAAGCTAAGTAAATTCTTTAATCGCACGAGACGTGGGTAACATTGCTTTTTCAAAAATAACGAGTAATACATTATAGACATAAGAAATTCTTGAGATTCTTTAATTCCTTCGACTCATTATCTAGAACAAACAAAATCGGTATGTCTTAAAGTTCTAAATATGTCAAAGGAAATATTTCAAGTTTCGTTAAGATTAAATTATAAAAAGAGAAACCAGCTTCTCGAATTGTGTAAAAAGTTGAAAGTAACTTTACCAATTTTGTTGTTTGAGTGTCCTTCGCCAACAACAACCAAGAATTAAAATCTTAGTTCTTACAAATAAATAAATATATATTTTTAAAACAAATAAAAACTTTCTAAGTTTTTAATTTTTCGTTAATAAACCGTTGACGTAAAAACTTAATTCACCCAATTTTTTAATTAGAACCGAAATCGCTTCAAAAATTTAACGTTAATTATCTTAATTGGAAAACCGAAACAGTTTTTAAATTGACTAACGAAGTTTTAATAAACAATTATTTAAATCTAGTTCAGATCGTTTAAAATCAACACAATCGGTTCCTTGATAAATAATTCATGATCAATTCAATCTTCTTGTTATTAATCTATTTATACATACATTTATTTTGCTTTTATTAATTCAATTTTGTTTTTAGAAATCTAAAAGTGTTTTGGAGTACCATATATCAGTAACACGAACAACAACTCATCAAGATGTCGAAGAAGAAGTTGTTTGTAAAATGTGCCCGGAGGCAGTAAAAAGAACATTAGCTACAATGTTAGACGTGAGACTTTTAAAAAATCCATCATTTCTCTTATTGATTTTAAACGCTTTTTGCGTCGCTTACGCCTTTTACACGCCGTTCGTTTACGTTAAAGATAGAGCTTTAGAAAACAAGTTTCCAAAAGATAAAGCTTTTTGGTTAATTTCATCAATCGGTGTAATGAACACCATCGGAAGAGTTTTTTGTGGAATTTTAGCTTCCGTACCTAACGTTAAAGCCCACGTGGTTTGTGTTGTATTTTTATTCACCGCTGGAGTTGCCACAATTTTATCCGGATTATCTTTTGAAGTATGGTACCAATTCACTTACACTTCATTGTACGGATTTTGTGTATGTAGGTATGCCACATATTTCTTTGTTACATAAAACTATAATCTAATTTTTATTTTAATTTACAGCGAGTATCTCAACGTTAAGGTCGGTGATTATCGTTGAAATCTTAGGATTGGAAAAATTAACAAACGCCGTTGGAATGATTTTACTGTTTCAAGGAATGGCAACATTCGCCGGCACTTATATTTCCGGCGTATTACGAGAACGAACAGGAAGCTACCATGTGACGTTTTATGTTTCTGGAACCGCATTAATGGTCGGTTCGATGTTTTTATTATTGGTGAAGAAAAGGAATACTGAAGAGGTCATCAATAGAACGTAAATTTCAATAAAATCGGTTTATTATTTTATTTTGTAAATAGGGCAATAAAAAATAATTTTAAGTTAACTTAAAACAGTCGTTCTAAAATTATTAACATAATTATTATTTTGTATTTATGCTACCTCACTGGTTTAGATTGTATTTGTTAATGGACACCACTACATGCAAGGTTGTGGAACATTATCAATTTGTAATGTATACCCATCAAGTTCCAAATTAACAAGAGATAGCTTGCAACAGTATCAGGGGAAATTGCAAAGAGCCTAATGGACTATGCTATATAATGCGAAGTTAATTATAGTCCAATTCTCGTCATTCTTATTTTTGTTATGGTTATTCTGGTATTTAAATAGTTTTATTTAATTTGTTGTTTTCTACATATTTAAACCACATTTCTAATATGTACTGAATTTGAGGCTTATAACATTGTTCGATTGAATATTAATGGCTATGTATTCAGCAATTGATATTGATCTGATTCCAGAGTCGGAACAAGTTGAAACGCATGTGATATGATCTTAGATAACGAATGTAAAGATCGTTCAACCGAACACTGTCAGACATAAGCGCATCAAATCGATATCTACATTAATTTTTTTTTGATCTTGAAACAACGAAAACTGCTGCAACAACAGCTCATAAAAATAAAAAGGTTGATCTACTTTTTAGTCCGATTAAATAACAGGAAACAACAGTTAATGTAGTATTTAACGCAGTCATTAACACTTCACAAAAATAAAATAATCCGTTAACAAGTATAATGGCTTTGCACCAAATAATGTATGGGTTCCTAAACTATCGTCTAAATAGTTTAAAATAAATACCAATTATTACAGATTGTTTATCCCTTTCATTAACTCATTGTAACTTAATCAATAGATCTTATCTGATTGAACGAATCAAAATGTTTATTGTAAGTTAATTTTATTAATTTAGAATATTCAAACACTTTTGAAACCAGGGAAATAAATATCAGAAATGATTCAATGACACTCATGTTTCTATAAGAAGTAAGTTTCCTCTGATAGTTTTAATGAGTTAGAAAACCGCCTTGCACACAGTTGCAAAAACATACCATTGGTTGTTAAACAAATTTAAGATTTAAATTGACCAGGTATAACTCTAATTGGTGTATTACCAACTCAAACACAGCAGAACATCTCAAAGTTTTTGTCCCCAAATTAGATCTTCAAAAATGCGTGGCTTTCCTAATTACATTGGAATGTTGAGTCCATCTCAAATATATTCCTCAGGATATCACGTCTTTATCCAGACATAAAACATTTCTTAAAGGCAGTAATTATTTGCTCCATTTCCTTTGATGGGTTACTTGTTGTAGAAAGAGAATATTATTCCATTAACCCTCATATACGCTCTATCAAGACAGAATTCAAAACATCTTTGCTCTAATGCAGGAAATCTATTCTAAGCAACGCTAATCAAAATCAACACCTTGAAAGGCTTGATAAGCTGGGCAATTTGCAAATGCGTAGTTCAGAGATAAATCTACAGATTTTGTTAGAAATCATCTATAATGGGACATTCACTACTTAGTTAATAAAGGCTCTTTTCTTTACTAAACTTCTTGCGACACTTTTACAGCAACACTTTTACAATTCTTTCCAGATTGGTTAATGACTAATCCTGCTATCATTAGCAGAAATTGCAAATATCCAAAAACTTCCTGGGAATTAAGAACGGCACCAACTAATTCTGCGAAAAAAACTCGTCGTTATTGTAAATTAATTAAGTCATCCTTCAGTAATGGTTTATAAATTGCAAGAATTTATCTTTCTAGAATTTTTTCTTTGGAATCTTTAGAATTTTTCTTCTTTAATAAGAAGTGCCTTATATATCTGTTTATATAATAATTGGCATATTGATTCTATTCCTTCTCCATGTACATTTGAGGGGGTTTCCGCTATGGGTAGCAAGAGGTGTGTGAGCTTTTTGCTAAATTCTTTTCTTCTGTATTTGTTGGTCCTAGCCCCAGTTATCATACTCTTGCTGGTGATTGTAATGATTTGTGCTCTTTGTAACGTATAATATTTGGGTTGAACGAGGTAGAGGAGGCATTTAAACCCAATACGCTTAATAAAACCATAGGAGCTGATACCATCAGCACCTTTTGATTTTAGTTAAAGAATGCTCTTGTTCTCTTGCGTTAACACTCACTATTCTATTTAATAAATCTCTTTGTTGTGGTGTTTTTCCATCAGTTTGGAAGCAGGCCTATGTTCTTCTGATGTTTAAATCGGAGACCATGGAGCTGTTTTCAATTATAGTCCAATTTCAATCTTATTAGTATTTGACAAGATTTTTGAGAAATTATTGTATGGCTTTTTTAACTGGCCGCCTGGTCGAGGGAAACTTGTTGAACTGTACTGATTTATTCTACAATCTATGGAACAAGATAATTTGGATTTCATGGTCAACTACTTCAAAGGTTTTCTTTCTACCTAATAGACAGATCACAAATAGTTTTGGTTAATGGTTATTATTCTGAGCCTAGATTGGTTCCATACTCCTCGAACCAGCGTTTTCCAGAGTTCCCTCATGCTTCGAATGGCGAGTACTGTAGATAGAATTGATGTTTGCCTCATGTTATGAATAATCTCGCGCATGTCTCCTCTTATGTACAGGTGTCCTACGTAAGTGGTTCGTTGAACTTCTTCCAGCACTACAATCCTCTGTGGACCTTAGCTTGTTTCGCAATACGTTGATATTCCGATATGTCAGATGCTGCACGCTTCCAGATTCGAATATTAAGCGTCCTAACGTCATTCATCACATCATCTTTCCATCGTTTTTTTGGTCATCTTTCAGCTCTCTATCCCTGTAGTGTCCATTCTAGAATTCTCTTCACTTCTCTGTCTCCATGCATAGTTTCCAGATGTCCCATCCTATTCCAAGTGTTTTGTGTCATACTGTGTCTGCACCATCAATGATCTGTTCTAATTTGTGCTTCATTCGTATTATCCACATTCCTGCGCAAGATCTGTATTTCAAAGACTACATAGTATTCGTATAAGTTTCGATTCTTTGTCTTAGCACTTCTTGTCGCTTAGTATTCTAGTCTCGATTTCTTCAATGACAATATTTGATTTGTTTAAATGAGCAATTTTTTATGTTGAGGTGGTGTCTTCTTCGAGGTCTTGTTAATTTGGTCTTGCTTTGTTTTGGGTTCATCCTACTTTTGAGGCTTCTTTTCCAAGTTGAGTAAATTTTTCTTTTAGTTCTCCTTTGATGCAACTTATCATCACTATGTCATATGCGCAGGCACATAGCTGCGAGGTTTTCGTACTAATGAAATTTCGCATTCCAATTTCCCTTATGAAAGCTTCTAAGATTATATAATATGCGTCACCTTGCCCGACACCGCGTTTTATTTCAAACAATAGTGTCAGTTTTCCCGTTTGCTATAATTGATACCATCTCTTTGTCAAGTATCTTTTGCATAGAAAAGTGCTGCTCAGTTACGCTCACCTTCTATGTCCAGAAAAGACCAAACCAAGCTTTCCTTTTGATAGTAATGCTGATAGATAATTTTACATGCTCTGCCAAAACATGTCGAGTGATATAGAAAACGCAGTTCTAAGAAGAAATAAGATTTTTTTGACCAAATTGGCAAAAAAAAAAATTTGCAGAGGACAATGAAGACTGCAATTCTCCAATTCTTTGCTTATCGAGCATGTTTGGAAGAACATTAGTAATTTTCTGCATCCTTTGTTGACACTACAAGCTTTACAACAAGTACTACAAGTTGCAATACCTCAAAAAGAAAATGGCCATGTGCTAGAATCGATGCCACGTCATCATTAATAAAAATTATATTTAACATTTATACCAAATTTGATCAATGAATTCTTTTGCATTTTTGGTGTTGCGACATCCATTGTCACTGAGTACATATAGAGCTAGTTCTGTTGTTTTCAAGTAATAAATTGTATGGTTTGAGATTAGACACAAAAAAATAATGAGCATCTTTTAGCTTTTTAGCCGTTTATGCTATGGAATATAATCATTTGATGAAGACAACTTTCCTCATCGCCCGTAAATTCAAAGTCTTCATCACAAACACTATCCTCGCTTTCACTCACAACAATAAATCTCGAATTAATTTTTGCAAACCCGGATGTTTACGCTTTTATAACATTCTCAAACAAAAATACTTTTCGTGCAATTTCCATAAATTCCTCTTCCTAAGAATAAACAAAAAAATGATAAGATTCCCAAATTGTATTGATAACTGTTGTATCATTAGTTTGCATATTTATGTTCCCTATCTTTTGAATAAATATCAACTTTTATGTCTTATTCACCGAAACATTGAAAATATTCATCATAAAACATCATTTTCATTTTTAACATTCTTTTCGATGTATTAATTCGAATTATTGGTGATCGTTTCATCAATGTATAAAAAGGTAAAAATAGAAGGAAATGTTTATGATATCGCAAAATATAACATATGGAGATAAACTAAGATTATACACGATTTATGAGATAACAAATCAGTCACTTTTGTCTTTATTTTTATCAATAGTCAACAACATTAATTAACTTAGATGTTAATGTTTTTGTATAATTTTTAAGATCATATTATTATTGTATGTTGACTCAAATTTTGTTGCAAAATTGAATGTGTCAAATGTGTCATAAATCACAAAATGAGATTATATTTTATTACTAATGTTTATTTATCAAAATATCTTTTATTTTAGAAAGGTAGATAAGAATCTATAATATGATATGTAATGTTCAGAAAAACCCGTTTTTGGATCAATATCGACACTTTCACTTCTTGCGGTTAAAATGATTCTAATTATTAATTTTTTTGTTGCAAATTTTAAGTCTCAACCTTGAAAAAGCCGTTTTGGCAAACTCAACATCATTGATAAACCAACTCTTTGTACATTTAAACCAAAGTGTGTGTCAAAACAAATAAAAACATGCAAACTCATCATCGTAGAAAATACGTTTTTGGACTAGATCCAACCAGAAAAAATAGTCAAAGAAAACATCTCCGCATTAAAAACGCATGTTGTTAAATTTGTAAATGATTTACTTACCGTGATAGAACTGTTAGTGATAATATTATTGTTGGTAGGGCTTCGGGGCGTCGTAACATCTCGTTTTTTTCGTAATTCGTCGCCGATATGCGATACCGCCGATCGAAACAAGGAATCATCTGGGTCATTCCAATTCTCCGGAAGTATAAATCGTGGATGTTCTGATTCTTCTATCACCACCTGACCCGATGCCAGGAAATTCGCTAGGAAAAGAGACACGCAAAGCAATAACCGGAACACCATGTTTGATGACACTACGCCGGCGATTGCCTTTTAACGATTACAACGTTTACTGTTTTTGTTGTTTATTTCTTAGAAACCAAGCGACGACTTTTAATTTATCCAAAATTAAGTCAATTTGTACAACGACATTCCATTCACGTACAGAGACCGACTGACTGCCTCTACGAACCGAATGCTTTTACGGCGCCTGTTCGGTTTCTCCCCCCTTTTAGAATACCGTTTTCAAGTGTGGTGGGAATCATTCTCTAACAAAAAGCTGAAATAAAATCAACACGTATCAACATATTTTGATGAATCATAAAAATTTGTTAAAACAAAAATACTACGATTCAAATAATTAATAACTTAAGTTACTGATTTTTAATTTTAACCATCTTCAGGAAAATAATCAAAAATGGCCACTAAAAAATGAATCAATATATTTTGATTTAGGTTATCTAAAAAAATTCTTAATTTGTTTAAATATTATTTATTTATAGTTTAATTTGTAGAGTTAAATAAGATTATAACAAAAGAAAAGTTTACTTTTTATGAATACAATAATATTATTCCAAAATTTAGTAACAATTTTGTTAAGTTAAACTTTAATGTCGTTCAAACGGGTTAAATATACCCTGACATTTCGTGCTCAGGTTCACAAATTAGACCTTAATTGACAAACTATAATTATATGTGAGTTGATGAAGCTAAATGATTTATCGCTGATAATGATAATTTAGAGAACCAATTTTCATCTTCATTTACGATAATTCAAAGTTTTTAAACTAATGTTAAGTAAATGTTAGGTATTTCCAAAGCTACAATTTTATATATCTAAAGTCTGACACACATCTTCCTTTAGTATCTTGACTGGGAGTGATACAAAGATAATTAAGATAAATGCAGAAGAAATTAGTTCTTTGGAGTGAGATACAAAATATGTTTATGGTTCTCTACGGTCTACAAAGATTGATCCTAAATATAAGTGAGAACATCCCCATATCCCCACAACAAAAATCGATCAGAACATCATATCATGTTTACAACATTACAACATCCCACTGTCAAATAGTCCACTTCATAAAACAGGAGAACCGTCGACTCCCGAACCTGACTAGTCAAGATCTGATAAAGTCTTGACCAGAATGCCAAGAAAATCTTATTTTTAACTAATTAATTAGAAGTTTGCATCTAAGATCAAAGCTATGCCAAAAGCTAACATTCTACCACGTTCTCAACATGCCCAACGCCAAAGAGTTCATCACTTTGCAAAACAGGAGAATCGGCCATTTTCATTATGTAAACTACAACTACATCTGATGTCCCTTCCTTAATGTCTCAAAGACACGTCGTGATATCGATGCTGCCAAGCCATAATAACATAAACGCCAAAATGTCTACTTACATACATAAATGGCTTTTCACTTAGCTGCACCGTTGAACAAGATTTGTAAATCATTAATCAAAGCAACATAACCGCAAAAAATTTTTTTCTTCAATACGACATGATGACAGCTTCTTGTGTTTCCTGAAAAATTAAGTAAATATTAATATCTATAAGTATCATTTATGCCGTTTTGTAGCCGCATTCGGAACACAAGCTCTAACAATGTACCTATAGTGTTTGTGTACACTTGTATATAGTTCTGGTTGTTAAAATGCTGCATATTCTTTCGTTGAAATGCTATTAATAACTTTGCATTTAATTGTTGTTTTCAATTGTCAAGTTAAGTATGGAAATGTTTTGCCAGCACCCAACAAGCACCGAATTAGCAACCCAACCCAATCACGAACCAACTGTGAATTATTTTGGCATTGGATTACTTTGTGGTTAAGCCGTTATGATATTTGATTCGTAAGTGATTTGCATGGTCGATAAGTTCAGTAAAAGTAATATTAATAAATAACCATGACCAATTGGTTAGATTAAATCACTGCGAATCTCATTATTGTACCAAAACTTGTTGTTCACCAAAGTTGAAGTCGAATTAGAACTGAATAGTCTGAATAGGAAATGCAAATGAAATTTGACTCACAAGTTCAGGCGAGTCAACTGATTCGCTGATCAATTTATGCAGAAATAACACACCAGAGGCCACTCTACATCTTTGCTTATATGTACAATATGATAAGCTGTAAAGTAGCTTAAATTTTAAAAATCTTCTTTGTAAAGCCTCAATACACACAACCGAAGCATAATCAAGAACACTAATAATGTAAACCATGAAGAAAGTTTTAATGCAATGTAGATTAGATTAGTGAAAGGTCTTGATATTCTAATGATGAAGTCTTCTGATGAAGTAATTCTTCAACATGATAATTAAAAAGTAATTTAGAATCCAGGACAATGCCAAGCTCATCCTTTGACAATACATTCAAGGATCGTGATCCAAGCCTATAAGTGAAATATCTTTTTCTGTTGAATGCTGTTTGATTGCATTTGTTGTGCGACAATTTTTTGAGCAATAAATTTGTAATCTGTCTAGATCAATTTGTAATCTTTAACAATCAGAAGTGGATTGAACCACTTGAATCATCAGCGTAAAGACTATGGTGGAATCATTCGTATATGTATATCATTAATATAAGCTATAAACAGGAGCGGACCCAGGTGAACTTCCGAGATGATTAAAGCAAAGTTAGATATGTAATTATTAATTTTTACAGCTTGATATGTATCCGTAACATAAGATGCCAACTTTTATCGTTTGGAAAGGAGTACCCATGATGAGCTTGTCAAAGGCTGAAATTGGTATTAATTGCATCGACTTAGCAATTTTCAATTAGTCTCTACAGATCCAAAAGCAATGTTGTTGAATAGAATGTTGTATTAAATATCTTAGATTATATCGAAAAAATGAAAATAGGGTGATAATTAGAGATTAGGTTCCTACTTCCAGATTTATAGATAGGTAGAATAAACATAGAGGGGAGATCACCATCTCTGACGATGTTTAACTCTGTTACTAGATCGGTGTTGGCGTATTGGTACCAGATATGTCCTCACAAATTATCCCAACAAGTCTATTCGTGAGTTCAGGAAAGGTTCAGAAGAAATACGGAACCTAGGTGCCCCTTTGGAGATCTTCTGGTAATTGATACCTCCAGTGGAGGTGAAAAAATGTTGTTTCTTCTCAGAGTTTTAGATAAATAGAAAGATGGTAATGTCAAAACTTGATTTGTTGACTAACTTCCATATTGGAAGGGCATCAATTCAATATGTGACTTACTTTCTTACAAATAAAACATCAAATTTCGTTCATTGCTAAAATTAATAAGGAAGTCTTCAAAAACTAGTACACATAGCAGATCATTCTTTCCATGGTATGAATCTAATTAACGATGTTGATCACCGTGCTATGCTTATGTTACATCTTGACATTATTTACAGAGGACTCAATATCATGTAAGAATGCTTTTTTTATTATTTCAATTTGGGTGTCATCCATAGATCCTAGAATAGGCAGCGGCTTATTTCAGTTAAAAGCTCCAGTTGTGAGCTTTTAGTACGGTTCGATTTATAATGAAGTTACTCATTTCCGTATTGTAGTGAAATTTGCTCAAAAATTCTCAGTCTCACCACAAAAAAATCCAAGATATAGGAGATACAACAAAGGAGTTTTTGCAAACGTTTTTAAGTGTTGTGTGTTCCGTCAGAATGAGCATAATCGTAATGTAAACTAAGGAAATTGCTGAATTAACTAATTAAGTGTACATCCATCATTATTTTGAAATAACTTAATTATTTATAATAACATAACAAATACATAATTCTATCTACATACCTACATAAAAGAAGCAAAAACATCAAAATGTAATGCATTACTGTTGTTTGTATAGAGATAGAGATACAAGGAACTATCCTCGTTTCCTAGATTGAATAATTGCGCCCCTTTTGAAGGGTAACAATGTAAATTGAGGATATAAATAGGTGCATATGTCAGTCAATTTCAATTTAGCGGCGTCGACACCAAATTGAATTAACTTGGTGAAGAGGATTAGAACTGGAAAATGGAATTAAATAAAAAGAAATATTTAGAATAGACGACGTAGAAAGACATAAAGATTATTTGTTATTATGAAAATACAAAGAATTGCGATAAAGATATGATTCATAGTCACGGGACTATGATATTTTTCATAAAGATGTTTCTAGAATATTTTAAGCTTCTATCATTGCCGGAAGAATAAAATAAATAAGAAAAAACATATATTTGAATTCTTGAAAATGTTTTTATACTGATAACGTTAAATAAATAAACAATTTTTATAAATAATTTTTTAAACACGTGTACATTTTGGCTAACTTCACGGTTATTAGTACTGACATAACCTTACTTTTTCTCAACATAACCCAACTTTAAATTAAAAATTTTTATTTATTGAAAATGTTTAGAAAATGTTTTAATAAGTTATCAACAAAGATAATTCGTAATTTTCATGCTAAACCAAAGCGATTTGAAAGAGATTTTCCACCTGCAAAAAATATTTTAGCCGAAACAATAAATGGAAATAAAATAAACAAAACGTCCGATTGGAAAATAATAAGGAATCAATTATTAGAAAATAAAATTGTGTATAATGAGAAAAGTATAGATTCTATTCTATTGAATCATTGCATTGCAACCAAAAAATATGATTATGCTAAAAAATATATTGAGTTTTTGCATGAAGAAAATATCAAAATGAATTTGGGAAGTCTTGGAAAGTATTTAAAGATGTACTATTCAATGTATTATGATGGATTGATGCATGAAAAGGATGAAGAAAAAATTCTACAAATGTAAATTTTAATTAACAAAAAATTAAGCTTAATTTACAGATGTAAAATTTAATTTTAGCTATGAAGATATTTTGAAAGAATACCCAGTTTTAGATTCAATCACCTTGGAGAATTTGATTTGTGCTCTAAGTGTAACAACATCATGGAAAAAATCGAAAGATTTACTAACACAATGCAAATTAACAACAATCCCAACAAACAATTCTTATAATTCTCTTACAACGTCAGCGTTTCGCAATGAAGATCCAGAGTTAGGTTGGGAGTTATTTAACGAAATGATCATCAATAATCGGTCACCTCAAAATATAACTTACGAATCGATTTTAAACGAATTAAAAATAAACGCATCTCAATCGATTTTTATTGCAAAACTTGAAAAATTTTTCGAAGTACTAGATAATCATGATTTGCAATTTGACAAAGAAATAGCTGCTTTATTATTTAATATCTTAAAACAATCAAAAGTTAAAGGAATAGTTAGTAAAATAACTTATCAAGGAATTTGTGTAAAATGTAAAATAAAATTAGATGAAACCAAATTAACAAACAATGAATTTAACGATTTAAAAGTGGCGTTTTTAAACGAAGTAGTTGTTGGTAAAAACGTTTTTTGTAAAACCACCCCAGAAGAATTAGATCGATTTAAATCTTTCATCAAAAATATGGGGCAATTTGATGTTGTTATTGATGGATTAAACACTCAATATTCCCAAGGAGTTGCGCAAAGTCCACAAGTTACAGCAGCTTTGGTTAATTTTTGATTAATTAACAAAATAATGATTTAATAAATTTTGTTTTAGTTAAGTGAAGTTGTTAATCATTTTAAAAAACAAGGCAAAGAAATATTATTACTTGGAAGAAACCACATGGAAAGACTACCAACAAAAAATTGGAGTTTCATAAAACGAAATTGCATGATTTTTTTAACTCAAGATATTTCACAAGATGATCCTTTTATTCTTTATTGCGCTTTACACAGTGGAAATGATACGAAAATTGTTACCAGGGATTTAATGAGAAGTCATTTATTTCTGTTAAAAGATAAACGATTAAAGAAATTGTTTAAGAGGTGGTTAATTCAAAATAGGCTTCATTTAATCACTGCAAAACCGGGGACTGTTATATTTAAGGTAATAGAAATTAATATTAATTTAATTTTTAATTTAATGTAATTACTTTTTTATGAAGCAACCTTTAAAATATATGATAACACCACAAAAGAATGAGAATACATGGCATGTTCCATACATTGAAGAAATCAAAGAAAACCCAAAATCAATAAAATATGAATGGTTGTGTATCGATTTGAATAAATTTAATTAATAAAATTATTTTTAGATAAATGTGTAACGATTTTTAAAATTCTTTTTTTCTTGAGGTTCTTTGCATATCAAACATTCCTTTCTACACAATAATTCGTATGAAATTTGAATTAATAACTGTATTAAGAATTTGGGAATTTTAAGGAAACTTTTTGTGCCGGTTGATTCATTAAAATATCACAGGTTTCGAAATATTGGTTAATTTTAGAATATGAAAAGATTAATTTAACTTTTCAATTTTTTTTTTAGATATTTTTTTGATGACATCATTTTGTTCGACCACAGTTTTATGGGAAACTACGCAAAATCGAAGAAATAACAAGAATTTTGTTGTGGACTATCTCTTACGCGCAGAATGTGGACCAAAAAGTCATCATCTACTAAAATGAGATGCTAAGTAAACAAGTAATTTGATGTTTTTTTATAGATCAGAGAAAAAGTAACTTCCATGTCATGATCTCGTTTTTCGAGAAAATGCTAATGCCAAAAACTCTAAATTGCTAAAATCTTTTGTTTTTGTCTTATTGGAAAAAAAACAAATTTGGCGCAAATGACAAACGCGAATATCGATTTTTTAGCAATAATATAACGGCGCCACACTGAGCTGAATCGCGATTCTAGCTGGACAAAAGTAAAGAATTAATGACAAAATACAGGATGTCTCACGTAACTGGTTCATTAGAACTTTTTCAGGTTCCACTATTCGTAGAGATTTGAAACTTTGGTAGCATGGTTGTTCTTTCGATCTAAAATATTTTCAAGATGGCCGCCACTTCCGGTCTACCGGAAGTAGACCATAACTTCGCTATTGTAAATGGAATGCTATACTTTTTATTACACCGTTTAATTGTATGTAAAAAAATAGGTTGACTTTGATAAAAGTTATTGGTACCTAGCGTATTTCGTTTTCGAGTTATTTTGGTTTTAAGCTTTTTTTGGGAAATTTCAACATGCTCTTTAAAACTCCATATCTCAGCCAACGTTCATTCAAAAAAGATCTACGTTGGCACGATTACTCTTCAGATGTTATCAAATAGATTCTCATTTGTTGTATCGGAGTATCTTATACAGGAAGGTTAAAAATTGAATTGCTGTTTCTCCATATTCAATGGTGAGAAAATCGAAAATTTTAAATGGAACGCCCCATTTTTTTTTAGCCTATCAGAAAGAGAATTTAATTCTCTACAAATTATCTATGAACATTCCCATACCTATTTATTGTAGTTTGCCTCATATTGCGTAATTTATTAAAACACGAAAAAATCTGCACGAAATGCAGATTTTTTTATTAGAAAGCTATGGAATTTTGACAGTTTTTGGTCCATGTTTGTATTATTTTTGTCATTTGAGTAATCAGTTACATTTGACGACGGGTGTAAGTCATTGAACATCATGGTAAATTATTCCAACGCCGATATTTGAAATTTATTTTGTATTGATGGCGAATGTAATAAACTTTTGGACAGGACGTGTCGCACACTTAATGAGAGATGCCTAACAAACCTAACGCTCATCACAACGAAAAATTTCAAAAAATTGATAATTTCTTAGTTCTGGATATATCGAGACCAAAACACATCGCATATTTCCGGTCACTAGTGATGAAGACAACGAAATAAATATTTTAAAGCATTTCCAAATTCAATTTAATGACAAATTTATATTATAAATTTATATTTTTATTCAAATCTAATTTTTGTCATTAACTTTTTGTTTTAATAGTTTCATTTATTTGATCTTCTGTTTGTTATTTTTGGTAAGTAAAAGCTAGTAAACTAAAAGATTATGAATTGTGGTTAATAGTACAAATAGTAATAGAAATAAATTAATCAAAAAACTGTCAAAATGCTGTTTCCTGCATTTCCTGTATGTTTTGATAAATTTACGAATATGGAGAAACTATAATAAATAGATATAGGAATGTTTATAGATAAATTGTAGAGAATTAAATTCCCTTTCGTGTAGGCTAATAAAATATGGAGCGTTCCATTTAAAATTTTCGACTTTCTCCCCATTGAATATGGAGAAACGGTAATTCAATTTTTGACCAGCCTGTATAAAATACTCTGATACAATATATGACAATCTATTTGAGAGCATCTGAAGAGTAATCGTGCCAATTTAGAGCTTTTTTGAATGAACGGCTGATTTTTTTGGCTGGGATATAGGGTTTTAAAGAGCATGGTGAAATTTCCCAAAAAAAACCTTAAAATCAAAATAACACGAAAACGAAAAATGCTAGGTACCATTAACTTTTATGAAAGTCAACATATTTTTTTACGTACAATTAAAAGGTGCAATAAAAACTATAGCATTCTATTTGAAATAACGAAGTTATGGTCTACTTCCGGTAGACCAGAAATGACAGCCATCTTGAAAATATTTTAGATCGAATGTTCCGACTGAACAACCCATACTAACAAAATTTCAAAACTGTACGAATACTGGAACCTAAAAAAGTTCTAACGAACCAGTTACGTGAGACACCTGTATAAATACAAGGTGTCAGATAAAAAACGCCCCAAGCTGTAACTCTGTCATTTACATTCTGATTTTCATGAGCGAGGTATCAAATGAAATGGTTTGATGAATACTATGATTCATACTACAAATACATTTTTTCCAGGGTCATCTTCAATTTTAAGCGATTATTAGCTTTTGTTTTTCAAATTGCTCCATATATTTTACTTCACGTCATTGAATAGTTATTGTTTTTCTGAATCCATTAATGTGCAATACATCCATTTTGAATATAATTTTAGCAGAGAAAAAACATTCTGTATCTACAGGTTGTCACACAAGAACGTCGCAAGCTGTAACTCTGTCATGTACATTCCGATTTTCATGAGCGAGGTATCAAATGAAATAGTTTGATGAATACTATGATTCATGCTACAAATAAACTTTTCCTAACGCCATCTTCAATTTCAAGCGATTTTCAACTTTTGATTTTCAAATTGCTCAGTATGTTTTTCTTCACGTTATTGGATAGAGATTTTTTTCCTGAACCTATTTATTAGGATACGCCATTTTCGGTACCATTCTTCTATGTTTTGAATAAGCGTCTGTAGCCTTAGGATTGATAAAGGAATGTCTACATCATGTGCGACCAGAGTAGTATCGTCGGCATAAAGTAGGGCGTAAGACTTCAGATCGAAGACGTCTGGATTGTCGTTGTAGATGTCGTGGCAGTAGACATTGTACAGTGCTGGCCAGATGGGAGAGCCTTGAGGGAGACCTTGTTGAACGGTGAAACTGTGAGAGTAGCAGTTTTTCACTTTAACCAATGAGGAGCGTTCTGAAAGAAATTTTTTTAGCAGGTTAAGGAGATAAAATTGGATTTTCAACATAGCTAGCTTGTACAGTAGACCTCTGTGCCATACGCAGTCGAATGCCTTCCGAACATAAAGGAACACTGCGGCGGATTGTTGTTTTCAATTTTTTCGAATTTTACTATTTTCGCCGATTAAGTTTTAAAAATTCGTATAAAATCCAGTTCTTGGAATGAGTATAAAAATTTCCCAAAGTGTTAATAAAAGTGTCTTCTTTGCAATAAACCAACACGTTTTGAAAAATTACTTTTAGTTTTTGAGAAAACAATATATGAAGTTTTGATAACATTTTCGATGTTGCAATTTTCATCGATAACTTTCAAAATTCGCTATAGAATTAATTTCTTGAAGGATCCTTGTGGAAATATCGCCAATTATTAATTAAAGTATCCTTTTTTTTAGAGTTGTTTCGTTAGTTAAATTAGCATCAAAAAAATTCATTTTGTGTCTTGGATCCAAATAAGTTGACATATAGCTTATATAGCAGCTTTCTTATTATTTCATTTTTATTCAAATATCGCATTAATGTGGCAATATAGGGTATCACTTCAGAAATGCACCAGAAATTATAACCATAATGGCCGGATAGATATGCCGGATAACCGGATTTTCGAACAAAGGGGATGCCGAATATCCGGTATCCGGCTTTTCGCAAAATGACTATCCGTTCCATCTCTAGTTAATAATATATTCAAAGAAGGAGGGCCATAAATTGAGATATAACAAAAATTCTTTAAGTAAAGCTGATAACACTTTTTCATTTTCTCTTCATTTTTTTTATATAAATTGTAACAAAAAGGATCATTTACGCAAAGCTTAATTTCCAGGGAGTTTTTGAGGTCATTGATGGCTGGTCCAGGAAGCCTTCCAGCGTACACTGTAAAAGTGGACGTCCAACGCTGGGAACATGTCCCGCCGATTTTTAAGCATGCAGATGAAGTCTCTGCAGCTACAGGAGTTGATAAGCGATTAATATCTAGATTTGGAACTATTCTTTAGGTATTTATAAAACAACTTCCTCAAATTTTTTACTATGACAATAACAAGAAAAAAAACTCATTTACCTATGATACTGCTAAACTGTTTGTGGAGCTATATGGCCGGTACAGGATGCCTCCCAGCCTACATAAAATCCTTTTACATGGCTCTTTAGCCATCAAACATGCCCTTGATCCAATAGGGCAGCTTTCAGAGGAGGAACAGAAAGTCCTCATATATAAAAATTTTCATATTATTTATTTTTATTATTTATATTATTTTATTTTTTGATTTAGTTCAGTGCGACCTCGATTTTCCGGTCTAATTAAAACCGCGGTCAACCGAATAAGTAAATAATTCAGGTTACTGAAGCGAAACATTTAATGCAAAACAACTAAAAAACAGTATTTACATAAAGCTTCTTAAAGTGGAAGTGATATGTTATTACTTCTGCATTGTTATTTTATTTTATATCTTTGCTGATTCATTCTAGTTAACAACGTTTTCTTCGTTATTAGATAAAATATGGGCTAAGAGACTTTTCTGATAAAATAATGTTGTCAGTCTAAAGGCATTTTGGTCCATAGGCTGTAAAAGCGCAGTACAATTTGATGGAAGAAATAGTGTTGTAAATTGTCCATCCTCACTAGTCAGCTCATCTACAGTTCCATGGCTTGAGGCGTGATCGATGATTAGCACAGCACTTTCAGGCAAATTAAGACTTCTTAAATGTCTTTTAATTTGACGAATAAAAGATCCATGAAACCAGTCTAAGAAAGTTGCTGTAATCGTCCATGCATTGGCAGATTACTTATATTCAACAGGATTTTTTTGTCTATCCTATCAACAGTGTCCATCATCATTGCAACATTCTAGAAAGGTAACGCGCTCTTTGCTTATTTCTCGATCTGGTGCAGTCTTCTCCTGAGATCGAACCAACAGCTTTGTAGTTAGTAGTTTCCAATAGAGAACAATTTTCTGCGAATACAGTTAGGAAAGGATCGACGGCATTTTGATTATTGAAAAGTTTTTGGCCGCACACTTTTAAAACATTCAGATCATGTCTTTTTCTGAAGTTTGAAATCCAGCCTAATAGCCAAAATTATCATTTTAGAAGACAACTGAATATCGACATAGGAACATCACCTTAAATATTTGTTCAATTCAATCTTAATTCCAAAAAAGAATCGCAACGCAGCAATATATTTCACGTACATATGCCATTATTGACAAAAAAACTTTTCAAATACTACAACTGGTGTGAAAATGAAATTATAAAAATGTCAAAAATGTGTCTAAATGGTTTCTATAGAAATTCATAATATGTTGGCTTGTTAATTTAGTTCTCTATAGAATTTTTTGCGTCAATATTCTCGGTAAAATGTCAAAATTCTTGTAATTTAAATGAAGCAATTTCGAATATAGCAAACAAACCAAAACGAAACAACTACAATGAACGATAAAGAGAAATCAATATACGATGAAGGAGAGTGTCGTAGTCGACGAGTAACTTTGAAACAATGGAAAAGTATGTCGAATAAAAATAGAGGTAATAACTCCGTAACAAAACCTCGTCGCAGTGTCGAAAGTATATCGCGAAACGTTTCAAAAAATGTGACGGAAAAAGTTGAAGAAAAACCAGCTAAACATAAAAGTCGTCCTAGTCTTAGCAGAATACAAGAACTTTCGAAACCATCAAAATCAGCATTGTTGCACACTTGGAAAACTTATTCTAATGTTTTCGATTATGATCGGATGAAAAAACTTATGAATAAGCTCAATGTGGAGTTTGCTTTAACGCAAGAGTGAGTTTTAGTTAGGTAAACATTGCATTACATAAAACCGTTTTCTTTGTTAGAGAGAAAAATTCGTGTATGGAGCATTTAAGAAAAAACGTAATAAGTTGTTGTGGAAAAAAAGCGATGGGTTCGAGAGAAATTGGCAAAAAGTATCATTTGAATAACGATGATATTCAAAGAATAACCGGTATAAGTAAATCCCAAAAAGGGGCTCGATGGAGTAGAAGAATAGAAGAACTCGCTCGACCAAAAGCGTGTAAGGTATTAGCAACGTGGGATGATTATGGCGGTGTTTTGCCAGTGGAAAAACGGGTAAACTTTCATAGAAAATATGTTGAATCCGTAGAAGAAATTAAAAGGTAAAATGTTTAAAGTTGAAAATCCAATTTTCTTTATTAAATAATACCATTAGAACTCAAGAAGAGCAAGAATTCCGTAATTCACAACGTGGACATATTCAACATTTTGAATCTTCAAGATCGTCAAGTTCAATGATGGAAGAGCAAGATAGAATGATGGCAAGAGCTGCAGCCTATAAATTGGTAGAAAAAGGAGTTGAAAGAGCATTACTATATGCGGAAGAAGGAAGGCCGCCACCTTTAATGAGTCGAACTCTTCTCAAGTTATCCGATAATATCTTAGCGGTTTTATCTGACCGAAATTTAATTAAAATGCCTACGAGGAGTTCTCAAGAAAAGAACGCAAAGTTTTTGATGTACGTTTCTGATTGGACTGCCAAAATAATAAGTGATGCGTATTTGGCGACGGAAAAGGCCGAAACAGGACAGAAAGTTTTTACTAAAAAATATATAAAAAGTACATCTGATAAAGGAATTCAAGAGACAATTTTAGAACAAGATGAGGATAGCCCTCACGAATGTAAAGAAGAAAATTCTAAAGAAAAGGAGAAGAAGAGCGAAGAAATATCAGAAAAACCTTTTGAAGATATTTCAGAAATTGATAACAGTTTTGGTAATGAAAGTGATTGGGATGAGGAAACCGGAACGTTAAAAGACCAAGGAAATCATGAAATAAAAAAGTTGAGTATTACGAGAAGTAACACCAAGATTATTCATATTAGAAAAGATAATGATCAAAGTGTAAAATCTCAAGGCGGTGAAATAAAAAAAGGTGAAAAAAATAATGTTGGAGATAAAAAAATTGATAAATCTTACAAAAAAGATGTCAATAAAACTCAGGAAGATAATAATCAATTTTCTAAAATGGATACTGACAAGAAAGTTGAAGAAAGTACTAAAAAAGAAGATGATGGAAGACCGGAACCTCAAAAAATGGATGTTGGTATAAAATTATCAGAAAGTACTCATTCCTCTAAAACGGAAAGTGAACAAGCTTGCAAAATAGTTCTGGAGGAAATTTCTCAATCATCTAAATCAGAAAAACGTACGAACGATAAAGTAATTTCAACAGGTGATGAAGTAAACTCTGATAAAAAGCCAGAAGAAAATGTTCAATCATCTAAAATTGAAGGAGATTCAAATGATGAAGCAAATTCTGATTCTCCTAATATAAACGGTAATATGAATCTTGACGAAGATGTTCAACCTCCGCAAATGGACGGTGATAAAAATGATAAAGGAAAATCATTATGCTGTAAAATAGATGGTGACGAAATTCACAAAGAGAATATTGAATCCTGTAAAGTAGATGAGGATAAGAATCAAGAGGAAAATTCAGAATCTTATCAAACGGAACTTGATCAAAGTCACGATGACATTATAGAGTCTTATAAAATAGATTCTCATGAAACCACCGAAGATTATTCTGATACTTATAAAACGGAAGATGAGGATAATCTCCAAGACAATTATCAACCTTGCAAATTTTTAGAATGTATTCTTACTAAAGTTAACATTGATAGTAAAGATTTAAATTAAATATATAAGAAAACAATTGTTAACACAAGTTTAATAAAGTTAAAAACTGTGTATTTTGTCGCTATTAAAACTGTTTACTTAATCTGCGGCAAGAGAACTTTGAAATCTCTCATTTTAAGTTTTCGAGAGAAATGTTACCAACGATCTCTCGAGAAAAGCGAAGCGACCGACTTGTCAAATCGTTGGATGTTACTAACTCATTCTGTCTTTAGTCTTTGTCCGAAGTATTGGTGCTAAACAAACTCCTCAAATTTGGTTGTGATATTACTAGTCATCCATCAATGTGCAGTATTATCTCAAAGTCTTTTATCATTTTCTATCTAAAACCCAGCAGCAAAGCCATAATTGACTTGAGCTGTTGCAAAAGAATCCAGGCAACTTAAAAGAACTTTGACATATAAACGAGAAATCCTAGATTATCTTCCACTTGCATGGCAGCGCAAACTGCGGGTCACTACGCTGTTTGCCAGCCGCGAGTTGTGGAAGCCGCTACTGTCAGTCATCAATCAGTGGCTGGTGAAATTGGACATGTTCTATTTTGGTAGCTAGGCAGCGGCGACTAGCAGGTCACGTGACTCACTTCGCTGCCATCGAGTAGCGTAGTCTGACCACACAAGTAGCGCATCAGCGGCGATTAAACCAGCACGTGCCACGTGGTCCTTTGTTTATGTTTGATCTCTGTTCTCTTAACCCACCCTTAAGAACTGCTTAATTAAACGACATGGTTGCTGAAAGCGACTAAACGAAATGGTGAGTAGTCAGCAGGTAGTGTAACCGGGTTGCCTGCCGCTGCTTGCTGGTGCTACTGCCCACAGCTGATCAGTAGCAGCTGGCAACCAGCCAAGTGTGACCCGCGCTTTAGAATGTGAAGAGTGGTAGAGTGCGGCAAGCAACGCGCGAAGTCTTCCAATGTTTGGAAACACCCTTAGGAATTCTTAGCGGTTCATCACTGTTTACTGCTGCTTATTATAATTTTTTTGCATTCCTAAAAGAATTTTGTCAAGTAACTATAGATACAACATATCTTTCAAATTTTGTTTATTATTATAATTCACCTTTCAAGATGATGTCAAAATTTCTAGTTTCTGTGTAGATTATTTATCTCGAAATTAACAAAACTATCAATGGACAAGGTACGTATTGGATCACGTTTTTCAACGCTTTTCGATAGTGAAATAATTTTTTTGTCACACTCAAAGACTTGCACTAAACCGGAATTTTAACCTGAAAGAAATGGTGAAGAAAAATACCAGGAATGTTCGACCACAATGCGAAATCAGTGGCGAAATGGAAATGATGGTAATTATGATTAGATAAATTATAAACAAAAACGTTTATTTATTACTTCAGCAAATCGAGAACAACCTGGTGAATACAGGCCTCAACCTGATTATCGCAGAATTAGTGAATTATCCCGCCCAAAAAAGACAGCTTGTCTTTCAACTTGGAAGGATTACTGCGATGTTTTCGACTGCGAACGATTAGCTAGATTTCAAAATTTCATCAAAGAAGATTATACCTTAACACCGAGGTAAACTGTGTAAATAAATATAAAATTAATTAATCGAAATAACTTGTTTATTTGTTTAGGGAATACGATTTTATAAGAGCTTGCGGAGAATCCAAAAAATGTCCTGGATTCGAAAGAACGAAATGTCCAAACTGTTCAGTTCGCCATGTTCCCAGCAGTTTGGCAGAGCCGCGAAAATGGCACGTTTTAGGAACATGGATGCAATATCATGATATATTTGACGATGTGAGACGGATGAAATTGAGAGAAAGAGTTCAAGAACAATTTGCTATATCAGCTGAACGTACGGAACAGTATTTCGAGCAAATGCGACGGGAAAAGAAACGGGAACAACAACGACGTTCTAATCATGTTGATAGAAAAAAGATGCAAAAAGAGATGGCCAAAATAGAGGCCTATAAACACATTGAACATGCAATTCGTAGAGGGATAACGTTTGCCGCACTTAATAAACCGCCAGTGATCATGTCGATGCAACTTCGTGAGGTGTCGGATAACATCTTGCAAATCTTGTGTGATTTGCATGATGTTCCCGTTCCCTCAAGAAGTAGCACCGATATGCAAGCGATATTTTTTAGTTCGGTTGCCGATTGGGCCGCAGTATCCATCAGTAATAATTATTTCGGGGTAGAGAGTCAAAAAGGTGCCCAATTTGCCCGTAAGGAATCGTCTTCTATTGGAGAAGGTGATTTTCAGAAAACACCGCCAAAACATTTTAAACCTCACGATGAAAAGGTGCCCGCAAGTGTATATAAAGATGTGCGTCCACCACCACCATCACCACCTAAAAGACGACCTCCGAGTAGATTACCAAGAAAGGCACCTTCAATCGATACATCAAGAAAACCATCTCCACCAGATACACCAAGAAGAGCATATACATTCGAAATATCGAAAAGAAAACCGGTGGTATTTGAAGAACCTCCCTTAGATGTCTTATGGCCATCAAAAGAAGTTGCTGTTAAGAAAACAACACCAATTTCTGTTGATGTCCAAGCGGCACCCACTCCATCACCTTTGGAAGTATCGCTTAAAAAGCGATGTACTTGTCAAAAAGCGAAGGCAACAGTAGGTACTGCTGTATCAGAATCGCTTGGACACACTGCGGTTTCTCCGCGAGATAAAGTTGTTGAAGGATCAACAATTTTACCTGGCGAAGAACGAACAAAAGCTGCTGGTTTAACATGCTTATGTAAACGAGCACGTGCGGAAATGGGAACAACTAAAGATACACCAGCACAAACACCAATTAGGACAGTACCTAAGCAAACATCTCGACCAACAATAAAACCTGATAAAGCTTTGCCGATAATTGTAATAAAGGAACCAAGGGTAACAGTACCACCTCCTTCTGTTGATTATGGCAAAACTTTACCAGCGACACCGATGAAAGATGTTAGTGTACCAAAAGCTATACCGCCTAGAATAGAAATTGCACCAAAAGTTACTGTTGAAGTAAAACGTCCTGTTGAAGATGATCAAGCGGAGAGAGCCAGAAAAGAAGCGGCAGAAAGAGCAGCTAAAGCAGCTGCGGAAAAGGCTGAAAGAGAAGCTCGAGAAAAAGCAGCAAGAGAGGCTCAACTCAGAGCCGAAAAAGAACGAGCTGATAAAGAAGCTGTACAAAGAGCAGCAGCTAAAGCAGCCGCAGAAAAGGCAGAAAGAGAAGCTGCAGAAAGAGCAGCAGCTAAAGCAGCCCTAGAAAAGGCTGAAAGAGAAGCTACACAAAGACCAAAAGCTATATTAGCCGTAGAAACGGCTAGAAAAGAAGCTGCAGGAAGCGTAGCAGCTAAAGTAGCCCTAGAAAAGGCTGAAAGAGAAGCTGCAGAAAGAGCAGCAGCTAAAGCAGCCCTAGAAAAGGCTGAAAGAGAAGCTGCAGAAAGAGCAGCAGCTAAAGCAGCCCTAGAAAAGGCTGAAAGAGAAGCTGCAGAAAGAGCAGCAGCTAAAGCAGCCCTAGAAAAGGCTGAAAAAGAAGCTGCAGAAAGAGCAGCAGCGAAAGCAGCCCTAGAAAAGGCTGAAAAAGAAGCTGCAGAAAGAGCAGCAGCGAAAGCAGCCCTAGAAAAGGCTGAAAAAGAAGCTGCAGAAAGAGCAGCAGCGAAAGCAGCCCTAGAAAAGGCTGAAAAAGAAGCTGCAGAAAGAGCAGCAGCGAAAGCAGCCCTAGAAAAGGCTGAAAAAGAAGCTGCAGAAAGAGCAGCAGCGAAAGCAGCCCTAGAAAAGGCTGAAAAAGAAGCTGCAGAAAGAGCAGCAGCGAAAGCAGCCCTAGAAAAGGCTGAAAGAGAGGCTGCAGAAAAAGCAGCAGCCAAAGCAGCCGCAGAAAAAGCTGAAAGAGAAGCTGCAGAAAGAAAACAACAGAAGGCAATAAAAGAAGAGAAAGGGTCTAAATTACCACCAAAATCTGCCAGTTTAGAGTCTTTATTGCCTTCTCATATTAAGAAACCTCAAGCGAAAGAGGTTAAAACTCCGCCTGCAGCGTACATTAAACCGAGATCATCACCTAAGGAATCCGATTTAAGTATCAGAGCGAAGATTGCTCCAGATATTCCAATAGGAAAACCTGCGGATTATATTGCCCCAAGAGCCGCATCAAAAGGTGTTGATGTAAGTGTTAAAGCGGAAAAAGAAACTAAAAAACGAGCTAAAGAGGAGAAACCACCTAAACAGAAAGAAGAAATAAGAGTTAAACCATCAAAGGTTATTAAAGAAGCTAAAACACCAATAGGAATTGAAGGAGATTTGAGACCTATTCTTAGAGAAGAATCTAAATTTATAAAGGATAAATTGGAAAAGCAAGAGAGCAAGAAATTAGCAAAGGCAGATAAAAAAGCAAAAGACAAAGAAGAAAAGGATGCTCTCGAAATTCAAAAAGCGAAGAAAGCGGCTGAAGAAAAAGCCGTTAAGGACGCTTTGGCACAAGAAGCCGCTGATAAAGCGGCGAGAGAAGCTAAAGAAAAAGAAGCCGAACTCTTAGCTAAGAAATTAGCCGATGAAAATGCGGCTAAAGCCAAAGCGGAAAAAATTGCTCAAGAAAGAGCAGAAAAGGCAGCTAAAGACGCTCTTGAAAAAGAAAAAGTCGAAAAAGCAGCCAAAGAAAGAGAGAACATGGAAGCTCTCAAAAAAGCGGAGAAGAAAGCTGCGGCAGATAAAGCTGCAGCTGAAGCCGCTGAAAGAGCTAAAAATATAGCTCTAGAAAAGGCCGAAAAAGAAAAAGCAGAAGGAGATCGCTTAGCAGCAAATAAAAAAGCATCGAAAATTAAGGCAAAATCGGAAGAAAAACCGAAACCTGAAAAGGAACGTTTGGGGAAAACGAAATCAGTTCCAAAAGCAGTAGACGCCCAAGAAAAGGCGGAAAGAGATGCATTAGAAAAGGAAAAAGCTGATAAAAAAGCAAAAGATAAAGCCGAGAAGGAAGCGGCTAAGGCTGAAAAGGAGGCCCAAGAAAAAGCAGAACGCGATGCTTTAGAAAAAGAAAAAGAAGCCAAAAAGGCGCAAGAAATCGCTGACAAAGAAGCAGCTAAAGCATTAAAAGATAAAGCTATGAAAGAAAAAGCTGAACGAGATGCTTTAGAAAAGGAGAAACGTGAAGTACCGTTAAAAGAAAAAATATCTAAACTGTTTCCTGAGAAAAAACGCAGGATTAAACGCAGTGTAAGTGATACCCAATTTGAAAAAGAAAAGCAAGCACAAAGATTGGGTTCACATTCGAGTTCTAGTGATGGCGAATCTGATGAAGCATTAGGAAAAGGTAAAAAGAAAAAATCAAAATCCAAAAAGAAACCTAAATCTGTAAAAGAAAAACGTGAAAAAGTGCCTAAAGAGGCTAAAGTAAAATCTAAAAAAGTTCCTAAAGAGGCAAAAGAAAAGGAACTTCCTATTAAAAAAGAAGGAAAGTCTTTCATATTCCAAGATGAAGTGGAAATGGAAAAAGATAAAAAACATAGAAAACATAGTGGTAGTCAAACTGATTCTAGTTCAGATAGTCTCGCAGATTTGTATAAAAGTCATAAACCTAAAAAGCAAACTGTGGATTCTGTTGAAAGTTTCTATGAGACTAAACCAAAAAAGAAGAAGCTGAAAAAAGCACCTAAAGAAAAGAAACCTAAAGGTGAACGCAAACAGTTTTGGCCTTTTGGAGGATCCAGTGAAGGTGAAAAAACTGATAAACCAGAAAAAGAAGAAGCGGTCAAAGAAAAGGCCGAAAGAAAAGCAAAAGCAAAGGCCGAAAAGGAAGCTGCTAAAGCAGCAGCTAAAGCTGCAAAGGAAGCAGATAAAGCTGAACAGGAAGCAAAACGGGACGCAATTGAAAAAGCTAAAAAAGAAAAAGCCGCTATAGAGGCAGCAGATAAAGCTGAAAAGGAAGCAAAACGCGACGCAATTGAAAAAGCTAAAAAAGAAAAAGCCGCAATAGAAGCAGCAGATAAAGCTGAAAAGGAGGCAAAACGGTACGCAATTGAAAAAGCCGCAATAGAGGCAGCAGATAAAGCTGAAAAGGAGGCAAAACGGGACGCAATTGAAAAGGCAAAGAAAGATAAAGCCGAAATAGATGGAGCTAAAGCTAAACAGAAAAATGCTGAAAACTTGAAAAAGTCGAAGAAGGAAAGAGATAAACGAGAAGTTGAGCGTTACGAAAGCGAAATTGAAAGTCTAGGAGGTAAAAAGAAAAGAAGGGCTCCCGGGGAGCCTGGTTCTAGTGATTCTGATTCAGAAATTCTAAAGGAAATAAAAAGCATAGATAGGTTATTGGATTCCAAAGGAAAACTTACCAAAAAAGGAAAGATTAAGCAAAAGAAAAAGAGGAAGGAACGGAAAGAAAAAGAACAGAAAGAGAAGAAGGAACAGAAAGAAAAAGAAAAGAAAAAGAAGAAGGAACAGATAGAAAAAGAAAAGAAAGAGAAGAAGGAACAGAAAGAAAAAGAAAAGAAAGAGAAGAAGGAACAGAAAGAGAAAGAAAAGAAAGCTAAAAGAGCTATCTGGCCATTTAGAAGTAGCAGTGAAGGTGAAAAGTCAGATAAACCTGAAAAAGAAAAGAAATTAAAGAAAAAACAACCAGATGATAAATCTGGAAAACCTCACGTGATATCACAGTTTCAACCGACTCGTATTGAAAGTGAAGTTCAAATAGAAGGACCGAAAAAGAAAAAGTCCGTCTCAAAATATCCAACAACTGATTCCTTAAGCGATTTCGATGATCTCATACATGGCAAACATGTTAAAAAAGAAAAACCTAAAGATGATAATCTTGAAGTTTCTAAGTCAAAGAAAATTCGTAAACGGGCGTTTTCACCACCAGAAAGTGATGAGTCATACACAAAACCAAAACGACAACCTACAGAAAAGCTACTACGACATGCATCATCCGTAATGCTTGAAGAAGCATTATTAAGACATTCTAAGAAAAGGCACACTGACTCTAGTAGTGATTCAGACAGTACAGATAGTTTACAAAGTGAAATGGAACATCCTACAAAGGCAATTAAAAAAGCTATAGCAAAATTGAGAATTGCCGAAGAGCGAAAAGCTCAAAAAGAAAGAAAGAGACTTGCAAGTGAAGAGAGAATGAAAGAAAAGGCCGAGAAGAAAGCAAAAACGAAAGCGGAAAAAAGAGAAAGAAGTGAAAGTAAAGCTAATGCTAAGAAGCAGTTACGTGAGGAAAAGAAAAGAGAAAGAAGTGAAAGTAAATCGAGATTAAAGGAAGAAAGGGAAGCAAGAAAACGCGAAAGGGCTGAAAGGAAAGCGAAAAAGAAGGCCGAGAAGGCAGAGGTAAGTGGCAGCACTGATAAGGAAAGTGCAAAAGCCGCAAGAAAAGAGGAACGGGCTAAGGAAAAAGAAAGGAAACGAAAAGAAAATGAAGAAAAGAAGAGAGAAAGAAGTGAAAGTAAAGAAAGAGAAAAGCAAGTTAAAGAAGAAAAAAAGAGAGAAAAGGCTGAACGAAAGGCGAAAAGGAAGGCCGAGAAGGCAGAGAAAAGTGGTAGCACTGATAGAGAAAGTGCAAAAGCCGCAAGAAAAGAGGAAAGGGCTAGGGAAAAAGAAAGGAAACGATTAGAAAACGAAGAAAAGAAGAGAGAAAGAAGTGAAAGTAAAGAAAAATATAAACAAGTTAAAGAAGAAAAAAAGAGAGAAAAGGCTGAACGGAAGGCGAAAAAGAAGGCCGAAAAGGCAGAGAGAAGTGGCAGCACTGATAAAGAAAGTGCAAAAGCCGCAAGAAAAGAGGAAAGGGCTAGGGAAAAAGAAAGGAAACGATTAGAAAATGAAGAAAAGAAGAGAGAAAGAAGTGAAAGTAAGGAAAAAGATAAACAAGTTAAGGAAGAAAAAAAGAGAGAAAAAGCTGAACGGAAGGCGAAAAAGAAGGCCGAAAAGGCAGAGAGAAGTGGCAGCACTGATAGAGAAAGTGCAAAAGCCGCAAGAAAACAGGAACGTGCAAGAGAAAAGGAAAGAAAGCGATTAGAAAATGAAGAAAGGAAGAAAGAAAGAAGTGAAAGTAAAGAAAAAGTGAAGGCTGAAAGAAAAGCGAAAAAGATGGCAAGAAAGAGAGATAGGACTGAAAGTAAAGAAAGGGAGAGATTAGCGAAGGAAGAAAAGAAAAAAGAAAAGGCTGAGAAGAAAGCCCAAAAGAGGATTCAAAGGGAACATAAAAGAGAGCAAAAACGATTGTTCAGAGAGCACAAAGCCCGAGAACGCGCAAGAGAACAGAGAAGAAGGTTGAGAGAAAAGCAACACAGAAAGCGGCGTGGATCAAATTTGTCGGTACAGAAAGAACCTGGTCCTTCAAAATGGCGGTTAATAAGAGGAAATTATGACGATAACAGTGACTATGAAAGTAGTTTCGAGTCGTTAACTGATTTAACTAGAGCACCATTTGTCAGTAAATCGAAGAGTGTCTTTGGAAGAAAAATTAATTGGATTGGTCGTAATACAGGTAAAACAAAAATTAATCATATACTATAAGTAACACTCTTCCATATACTTTTATGTTTTTGAAGTAATATTTTGCTGATGATTAAACCTTTGCTTGATGTTAATTTCTTGGGTTACCTCAGGTTTTGAAGCAATTACTTCTGTGTTAATCGGGACATCAACAGAGTGAGCTTGGTCTTCTTTCACTTGAAACTAGTTGGACCATATAAGGGCGAGATATTCCTACTTATTGGCGTGGTAGTTTTTTTCTACCTCTTCTCCGTTTTTACTAGCATCGGTTTGAAAGACAAATGTCTGTTCTAGCTGTGAGCCATGAAGTTGCAAAGGTCAATTTAACTCTAGCTTGTTGCTTTTGAAGACTTTCTCTGCATACATAGCAGATGATTCATTCTGATTCTTGAGTTGTGTTTTGGTCTAAGTAGTGAGTTTTGTCTCTCCCAGATTCGATAAGACACACCTTTGTAGATGGAGATTTCCCCACTTTGGAACAACATCCTTTGTTTTCAAAATTCGCATTTGTGAGGTATTTGGCCGTATCCTATGGCCTTAGTGAAATTTGGTCTTCTGAACAATTGCCTCCACTCCACTTTATTAAGTGTTGACACTTCCAATTTTGAACGCGTAGCTTTTTATGTCGTTAGTCGCAGTCTATCCATCCCATTCTAGGTCTTCCTTTATTTGTTGGTATATCTGGTTTGCTCGCAAATACTTTTCGGTGTTTCCCTCATTCTTAAGATGTGTCCCATCAGTCTTATTCTTTGAGCTTTGGCAAACCTAACAATGTTTTCAACTTCAACAAGACAAAAGGTTATCTTAAATATACACCTTCCAGTATTTGCAGCTCATCATTAGCATTCACCAGATATGTTGCATGTTATAAAATGCAGGATTGATTCTAAGTTCACGAAAGTATGTTTCATTCTGAGTATGCCATTCTTGTTGACATAGCCAAGTATGGTTGGAAGGTATGGGCTAATAGGTTGAACTATGTTTTTTAACAATTCTTTGATAAGAGAACATTCATGGTAGTGTGGTTTATTTGATAGTTTTGATTTAGGCATCAACTTGTAGGTACTCAACTGGAATTTTTTGAACAATCCTGACCTTAAAAGGTTAACTTTCTTGTGCATCGACCAAATACTACTTAATCTGTGGCAAGAGGAGATAATCATGGATGAGGTTTGTCTCTGCAATGATGTAGTGTTTGCTAAACGCAGCACTGACTTGAAGTGCAAAGACAGCTATCTTTAAGTCTTTAAAATGTGTTTTGAGGTTCTTAAAATATTCAAAATTTATAGTGAACCTAGTAAACCACTTTTTCAGTGGGCGTTTTGAAATCTTTTACTTTTCTTCACAGATATTTAGTTTTTAATTAAGTATTTGATTACTAGCTATAAAAAGAGTGTTACTTATTATAACCTATATTATCCTAGATAATCTAATTAATTTTTTGTATTTTCAGGTTAACTTAAAATTGTCAAAATGTTTTGATTCGTCGAGAACACAGTAAATTTGTATATATATTTGTTGAATTTGTACTATTTGATGATTGTCCCCAATTTTGACGTTAATGATAGTTTCTTATATGACTAAAATAAACTTTAGATTTGCAAATTAAATGTTGACTTTTAATAAATAATTTTAGTTTTGAAGTTTGGTAATGTCAAAATTTTCCAGTATGTCTTACAGTTCAAAGATGAGTAACTCTTCGAAAAAGAAAATAAGCACCGTGCGTACTGACGAATCACTCGAAATGGAAGAAGTGTTAGAACTTAAAACGAAAAAACGTCCTTTTAATCCTTATAGAATGCGCGGAGTTGTCGTTCCTCCTAGTTGGTTAATGTTGGATCGATGTCAGTGCTTCCACCGGGTGTTTTCTAAGGAAGAAGTTGAGATGTTTCAAAATAAACTTGAAGAAGATTTTTGTAACATGATGAAGTTGGTGTGAAATGTTGATGTTTTTTTTTATTAATTAAAAAGTAGTTAAATTTTAATTGTAGAGAATCTTATCGGGTAACAACGAAATGTGGGCTTCATAATAATTTACTTCAAAATTCTTTAGGAACTAATCAAGATGAAACATTTTCTTTGGTTGAAAGAGCCATTCGTAAAGCAACGGAACATGCTTTAAATAACGAACCCCCTCCAACAATGTCACCAGGAACGAGAGCAATTTCATTAAACATATTAGAACTATTAGCCAGCTTATACTCAATAGACATCCCAACAAGAAGATCAACAAATAACCATTCTCAATTGTTAATTTACTTATCAGATTGGACAGCGAAAATTCTAGCTAACATTTATAGCGATATGTCATCAAACGATGATTCTAATTACGCCGTAACTTCGCCTTCTTCAAAATTATCAATCGGCGATGAAGATGAAGTTGGTAGTTTAAATTCTTTTGACGCTACTTCAAGTGGTATGCCGGTAACCACGAAATTTTCTCAAGAACAAATAACGGAAATTATGAAAGTTAATGCGAAATCGAGTAGTTCCCAAGAAGAACTTGATAAATTTAAGGGAGAATCATCAAATTCAAAACAATCCAAAAATCTTGTACTTGAAGAAATTATGACAAATAATTCGCAAATATTTAGTGATTCTCTTACGGATTTAGATTTAATTACTAAATTTATTAAGAGGAATAAAAAGAATTGTCGACCTTTAACTGTAGGCAAATGCCTTCATGAATCTCCAGAATCTTCGTCTTTACTTACACGGTGTAAGAAAATTACGGAACGAAAAGGAAAAGGGTGTTTAAAAAAAGATGTTAATTTACGATAAGACAAAATAATACTAATAACTTTATTTTTGAGTTCTTATTTATTACTTTTTTTTTTGATTAATTATCCTGCTAAAGAAGCCAAAGCTGGGGCGGGAATTCTTTGTCGACCTCGATATCTTAAAAATACTTTTTCCGGTATTAAAACGAATCCTTTAGAACCAGCTGTGTAAAAAACTTTTTGGATTGTATTATCCGGTTTGAGGTAAGTGTAAGTTCCGATTATTGAGATTCCATTTTTTGAATCAGCTTCCCCTCTTTCTTCTCTTTTTATCGAACCCTCAGTTTCAAAACTTTAATTAATCAAAAATTAATTAATGAAATGTTAAAAGATAACGTTTTACCTGAATTTATACGTTTGTCGCCCATCTGGGAGTAATTGGGGAGTATCAAATTTTTGAAAGATGATTCCACCGTTATCTTCAGTCGCATTTTCTGTTACATCTTCGTTTATTTTCTCATTTTCGTCTACATTTTTGGTCCCATCATTTTGAGTATTCACAAAATCAATAAATAAGTAAAAAAGAAAAATGATAAAAATGTTTTTAGTAAACATCTCATCTGGTTGATGATAAATCTTCGACTATTCCCCATATTTGATGGGTTCTTTTGAGGATATCCAAATAATGTATCGTGTTATTAAGATTCAATTAACACGTCCGGAACATTTATTATTGAATAAAACCTCGATGTAACGTAGATAGGAAAAGAGTTGCGCTTGTTGAGGTTGTTACGCAATTTTTCATTGTGTTTTAAGTTCAAGGAAATCTTTATTTGAGAAGGGTAATTTTTTAATTAGAGTCGTTACGTAACTTTGACAACTCCACAGAGTTTGTTTTTCAAAATTTCATAAAAATTCTAAATGTTAAAGTGACAGTGTTTATTTCTTTTCCTTTCGGAAAGTAAATTTGAAGTTTAAACTTAAGAATAATTCAAAATGGCTGAGGATGGTAATGATCAATTTATCAATCAAATATTAGATTACTTATTTTTTTTATTTTAATAGAAATCGTGTTCCCCGATGAAGAAATTCAAGGCGGGGTGGCCGCTGAGAAGCCGCCGAAACCAAAATGCAACATGAGACTAGAAGAATTATCCAGGCCAAAAAAATGGCTTATGTTAGGAGTTTGGAAAGAATATCATTCAGTTTGGGATGCGGATAGGATGCAAAGATTCAAGCTAAAAGTCCAAGAAGAATTTTCAATGACACCAGAGTACTTCTTTTTTAAGATCTCTCATATTTCTTCACTTAACATCGAATTCTTTTATTTTATAGAGAAACAGAAACATATTTTAATCAATTAAGAAAACATGTTCATAAAATGCGGAGTAAAAAAGCAATGGAGAAGCAATTAAAACGAGAAAAAGCTTTAGCAAAGCAGGAAGCTTACAAGTTATTTAAAAAACGTTTAACTAGAGGACTTCGTTACGCATTTGAACATCAACCACCAGCTGTTGTATCGCCGATGTTACGAGATCTTTCCGATAGTATTCTGGAAATATTAGCCAATATACACAAAGTTAATATGCCAAAAAGAGACAGCAACGATAAGAATTCGATCTTTTTGATTTGTATCGCCGATTGGGCCGCGAAACTTGTCAGCAATATTTATTATCAAGTCCAAGCTTACGAGAAAACGGCCGAACTTCAACAAAACGTTTCCAAAGTATCCGTTTGCGCAACCACTGGAACTGTTGAAGAGGAAGAAGTTGAAGAAGAAGAGGAAGAAGTTGCCCAAGGAGGCGAACAAGATTTATTGGCAGCATATGAATAAATTCACTGTTATGTTAAGATTTATACGCAGTTTTAATTGTGGTTCGAAATAAATTTAAGTTCTTTTCTGATGCGAAGTATCGATTTAAAAGAATTAAATTAGATTATTAAGGATTTCCTTTAAATAGAAGTGTCTTAAAGGGTTTCAGCACAGTTTTAAATGAACCACCTCAATACAAATAGGTGTAAAAAGGAATATAAATAAAAATAGGTGAGCATACAAAATTATTTTGAAATAAATTTCAAAAATTTCCCGCTTAATACTACCATCCCAAAAAAATCAAAATTTTCTATCCAATTAAACTAAAATACGAAACTACTTTAAATAATTCAACGCAAAAATCCTTTTTAACTTTACAATTAGCGTTTAAAAAAACGAAATTAAAAATAATTATGTATAATGAAAAAGATAACGAAAAAATGTATTGAAGGTCACTTACGTATAAGTCAAAGAAAAAAGTGAGGTTAGGAATTTGTATTGACGTTTAACTCCCACTTACAAAAAAACTCAAGTAAATAAACCCCGAAACTTCCGACGAAAAAAAAATGTTGTTCGTGTGGAAATAAACCGCGTTTAAAATCGACTTAAAATAGACCATTTCTATAAACATTGGTAAGCACTGCAAAAAAACATTCCAACAAAAACCGTCTTCAATTAACATCCATGTTTTCTTCCAGATAAACCCCAAAGATGACGAAAAAATTTGAATTCGACTGGCGTATTAACGTTCCTGAGCCCCTTTTAACCGGGTGTGTTATGGATCGATGGACTGATGAAAAGGATAATGTAGTTATTGAACAAAACGCTTTATTTAAAGTCGATGAATATGGGTTTTTTATTTATTGGAAAAGTGATGGAAAGGTAATTTTAAAAAAAATTAAATAAAGCTGGTTTTAAATTGTTTTGGAGTAATTTTTTAAGGAAGGAGATGTTATTGAGTTGTGTCAAGTAAGCGATGTTCGAGCTGGTGGTGTTCCTACCGAAAAGAAAATATTGAATTCTTTACAAAGTAAGCATGGAACTGATTGTGAAGAGAAATCTTTGACGATTTGTAGTGGAACGGATTACATCAATATTAATTATCAACATGTTGTTTGTCCAAACGCTGAAACAGCTAAGGTAATATTTTATTTTAATTTTTTTATTTGTTACTCTTTAATCCAAAAATTGTATATGTATATTAATTTCTAGAATCTTTTTGATTAATTATTTTAAAGGTGTTATATACAGGTTGATTCAAAAGTATATTCAGATATTTGATCTTTTTGTCTTTAGTTTAAAGAGAAAATTACTGAAAACCAGGTTTGGCAAAAAACCAGATATATTGGTTTAAATCAGTATTTTTGGTTTAAACCAATTAATTTAATTTTTATAATTCGCAACTCCTGCTATAATGAGATTTTAGTAACATTTTATGGAACCAGTTCAAGTTGGTGACATTGGGTCATTAATTTTTCTATAGTTCATTTTTCTTCTGTAACACCTGGCAAATTGTTGTAAAGTTGGCAAAATTAACTTTAAGTTTTGTTATATATTGGTTTAAATCAGTATTTTTGGTTTAAACCAATTAATTTAATTTTTATAATTCGCAACCGGTGCTATAATGAGATTTTAGTAACATTTTATGGAACCAGTTCAAGTTGGTGACATTGGGTCATTAATTTTTCTATAGTTCATTTTTCTTCTGTAACACCTGTCAAATTGTTGTAAAGTTGGCAAAATTAACAGGGAGTTTTGTTATACGATGTTTTGAAATAAATATGTCACACTGACGTTTGAGCTTTCGTTATTCAAAAAGAAAAGGTGCATAAAAAATGTTGTGGGGTGCTTATTTGCCATTTATTTACCTACAAAAGGTGTTTTGTTCTATTTAATTGCTATGTAGCACGTTTTTACAATAAATATGTACTTGGTTAAAATCGTATTTATCTAAAAATTTATTAGTGTTTTAACCTCAACTATTTGGTTACTGAAAATGTTACTAAAAATCAGGAAAACAACANGTTTATTACACGTCAGTGTCAACTGTCAGTACGATTTGAAAATATTAAAAAAAAATATATTTTATAACTTTAATTCAAAAAAACATGATCCGATTTGTAATATCAATCACAAATCGGATACGGATATAAAAAAATTGCTGTTAACGCATATTGAAACAACCATCCCTAAATTTTCTTCTGTAAATGACGTTCTAGTTGACGTTAAAATGAGTTTGTACCTAGAAAATAATCTTTCAACATCACAACTTGTAAATAGAGCATAAATAAAATACTGAGCTATTGAACCATATTTTTCCTTAAGAGTTAAAGGTATATTGTTTTCGGCAATTTGTTGAACAATTCTCAAATCCGAACAACAATTTTACCACAAAGGGAAACTAAAAACAATTCTTAAAAAAAACAATAATACGAACTCAAACAGAACTCCAACTTCCAATTAAAGGTAACTAAAGAAAGATAAATAGCAAATTTGACGAAATTATGCGGATGAAAAGCGTCGAATACTGCACATTTGGACAACAGTGAAATCGTACTGACAGTTGACAATGTTGACATTGATGCGCAATAAAAAACCGATCGTCGGTCGTCAATAACAACCGATCATTTTCTAGGAGAACAAGTGGAGGGGGTAAATCGTATCGTTCCGTTACAAAAGTTCCGGGCCCTATACATAACTAAATATTTAGATTTTAGGTTATGTTTATGTCAAACATTTATTTGTTGATTTATAAACATCAAGGTCATCAGCTGATATTAATTTTTAATTCACCGTCCAATAAGATAAAAGCGTACTCATCACGTGTTCACACATGTCTCTTGAGTCGACGGGGGTACGACAAAGACAGATATATATATATCTGCACTCTAGTGTTTACTCTCTTTTGCTACCTTAGTCAGCGATATAGAAGATAGTATATATATGGATAATACCAACAGAAACCCTAAAAAATTTACATTGGCAAGTATTATAGAAAAGAAAAACGAACTATAGTTGTCAATGTGACAATTTGAATTGGAATTTATTCCTAGTAAAATTAAGTAAGAATTATTATTTATTGAAAAAGTGTTTTAATAGAACTCTGAGCAATTTCTCTTATTTTGGGAGGTGTACATGAAACATTTTTTTCAGGTGAATACATTTTGTGTTTTGACAATTTCTAATTGTCAATTCAAATTTTTATTTTCAAGTGTTACAGTGTTACCAACCGCTACATACTTCTTATCTACATTGTCAAAATTTGTTTTATTTTCGTTAAAAAAAAGGATAAAAACGCGAATTACAAAAAATAGGAGAAAAAACACGTTTTATAAGACTTAAAGTACTCATTTATTAAAAAACTCGTGGCTTCGACACTCGTTTTTAAACTTGAATTCGTGCATTTCAAGCGTGTCTTACGAAACTAGTTTTTTAATATACTATTACGTTATTTTATTATTTTTGTTCTTAAATTTCAAAAACAATTACTTTTTTTCACCATTTTATTTAGTAAATAGTAAATTTTAATGATTATCAAAATATAATACATACTAAAACAGCTGAAGATAGGCACTAGGCATAACAATTGAACATTTTAAATATAAAAGCCAGTTTAGATGCTTTTTCAGTTCCCAATTTATTTCTAAGCTTCGAATACACCAACCCAAATGAAGAAAAAATTCTTTCTACACTCGCGGATAACGACTGAGCAGTGAGCAGTTGCTCAATAATAGGAAAAACGTCGACATTAACAGTATCAATTGCTTGCTTTTGGCTTTTCCACCATTCTTATGCAGATACTTGAGTTACCACAGATTCTTAAACTACACTACTAGATGCTTAAAACTTAATTATCAATGACAGAAGAAAAATTGATGCTTTGTATGAAGCATATACAGGGTGATTCAAAAAACCGCTGACATACTTCTAGGGCAGGTAATACATCAAAAGTTAAAATGAAAAGTCTTAATATACATGGGGTTGCAAATGCCTCCTTAACGAGATATAGAGGGTCAAAGTTTCTTTAAAATTAAACATCTGCAATAAAAAGCCCTTTTTTAAAAATATTTTCAACTCCACTGGTAATTTTGTCAAACGGGCAGTATTTTCGTGTAAAGTGATCAGTTATCTATCTCTTACAAATCTTTGATTAAAGCAACAGTTTTTGATTGAATTAACAAATTTTTTACAAACGTGTTTTTCTTAAAAACTATTGCTTTGATCAAAGTTTTGTAAGAGACCAATTCATAGATAATTGATCGCTTTACACGCGTAGAGAGCAATGGCGTAAACAATATTTATAAAAAAATGCTTTTTATAGCAGATAATGTTTAATTTTAAAGAAACTTTGATCCTCTATATCTCGCCAACGAGGCATTTGCATCTTAATTTTTCATGTATTATCTACTCTAGAAGTCTGTCAGCGGTTTTTTGAATCACCCTGTATGAAAGAAAATGAGCTGGTTCTAATGCCATGTTATACCTATCAATATCTTCTTTTCTAATAATTTCGTCTCGTGTAACAGCTCAGAGTTCTTTTTTAAGTTTTTTCCACAAATACACAGAATGGGCGATAGAACATTCATTGCTTTGTATCTTATCAAGTGTTGGCAGAAATTGGCTTTAAAATAGCTTTTCTTTACACATTACAATCAACTTTATTTCGATTATTTTCACACATTTCAAACATCCAGCTTTTAATATAAGCTTATAAGCAATACAGTAAACTACTCTAACGAGTTTCAGCTGGCATAATAAGCTTTGGAGCATCTGATTTTCTATACAGAGAGGTCCATTTAACGTGAGACAAGCGATTATCTCGAAAACGGTTAATTTTGCATAAAAATTAACCAAATGAAAGTTGTTCTGTGCGAAGGAGGAAACCGTATGACGATAACATTTTTTGACCTTGATCTTTTTCTGATTTTCAAGGTCATATGAAGGTCACGGCCAATTTTTTAAATGGCACCCTATGTTTTTGATTGCAAAATCTGAATCTGTGGATAAAAGTAAGGTCATTCAAAGAAAGAAATAAAAAAATTTTACTGTGTGTAAATTGAAACTTCAGAATATCGCTTTCGGAGACTTAATTGGTTGAATTCTTTTAAAATGTACCAAACTAAGTCATTAAATCATGGATACTCTAAGTGTGGCAGAAAAAGTCTGCAACACTGAAAATGTGGAATCAAGAAAAAGAACTCGGCGAGCAACTGTAACTACGGAAGAAAAGGAAATTGCGGTATTAGCTAGCGTTGAGGTAAATCCTCAAGTTAGCACTCGACAACTTGCAATTAACGCCGAAATATCGAAGACCAGAACAACTGTCATTTGGTTCATTTTTATGTAAAATTAACCGTTTTCGAGATAATCGCTTGTCCCACGTTAAATGGACCATCCTGTCCTGTATAAAGCATTTGCTAAATGGTTATTTCAAAAATAGTCACATGTTCCGTGACATTTGGAAATTGATAGTCATGAGCAAGGAGATTCAAAATATGAGCTGAACAACCATATGTTATTACATTTAACTTATCACAATTTTCTAATAATTTCCGCATTTTGGCAACATTGTTAGCATTATCAGTCTTTTTCGCATTTCTTGATGCTCTTACATGATATCTTTGCCAAGTATTCAGATGTGTGTGAATTATGAACCATGTCTCATTGAAAAAGGAAACCTCCTCTTATAAGAATCATTAACGTTGTTTTGATTGTGTGTTCCCCAAAATACTGTTCCTATCTTTCAATTTGTTTTTGCTCTACTATTTGTCACTATTACAAAAATCTTTACTTTTGAATCACTCTGTATAAGACATAAAAAAACCTGTAAGAAACTTTTATTTTCAAACAATTTTCTACTTCTATTTAACTTAATTAAACTAATTGGGTTGTTAAAAATAACAGAATTACTTCAAACCATTGAAATGATTTAATTATTTCCTTCTTAGAATAAAATGGTGTTTCTCCTTAATTTAAAAATAAACTTAACACAGCATGACTTTAACTAAATTTTTTAATTGATTGATTTAAAAGGAAAGTACTTTTCATTAAAGGTGTGGTTGGAAGGCTTAAGAAAAATAACACACAATGTCAAAGCCAATAATTTCTGCCCCATGACTTGTTTGAAGAAGCAGTAAGTCGTTATTTTAATCAAAAATTTAACAACATTAACATTTTTTTCTGTGCTGTTCTAACATTTTTTGCATGTGTTTGGGTGTTTTTGTCTTTAATTCGTTTTTGAACTGATTTATTTAAAAATCTTTTTTGTTTTGCATGCTTTCATAGGAATGGAAAGATAGTTTAAGGGCAATAACTCATAATAATAAAATCGTTAATGTTTGTCCTAGAACTCAGCTTATGAAGCAGTAAGTTTTTATAAGACTGAGTAGCTTTTTTGGTTCGCTTGCTATTATTTCAATTAATTTTTTTGTATGTTTATAATGAATTAATTAATTTCGATAATCTTTTAATAGTTGGATGCGTTTACGATTCTTGGTCGATCCAGCTGGAAAGATTCCTGTTAAAGTAATAGCTCGAACTTTCGCATCCGGGAGAACTGAAAAACTAGTTTATCAATGTTTATCCGAAATGAATTTGCCAAGTGGTAAAAACGAGGCTGTTGAAAAAGATGATTTTACATTTGATAAATTTTACAATCTCTACCATAAGATCTGCCCCAGAAATGATATTGAAGAGTTATTTAGAGAAGTGTGAGTTTTTTTTGTCACCAATAAAAATTAAATCAAATTAAATGTTAAATTTTTAGCGCCCAAGGAAAAGATTTTATAAACATCGATCAGTTCGTAACATTTCTAAACGAGAAACAAAGAGATCCTCGTTTAAACGAAATCTTATATCCTTTATACGATGAAAAAAGAGCGATTGAAATTATCGAAACTTACGAGCAAGATGAAGCTGCCAAAGAGGCTAAAAGATTAACCAAAGATGGATTAATCCGATATTTAATGTCCGACGAAAACGCTCCTGTTTTTCTCGACCGTTTAGATATTTACATGGAAATGGATCTTCCACTATGCGCCTATTATATAAATTCTAGTCATAACACTTATTTAATTGGGCGTCAATTTGGAGGAAAATCCTCAGTGGAAATGTACAGACAAGTATTATTAGCTGGTTGTAGATGTGTTGAACTCGATTGTTGGGATGGAAAAGGCGAAGATGAAGAACCTATAATAACTCACGGTATGGCAATGTGCACCGACATCTTATTTAAAGATGTAATTTACGCGATAAGAGACACAGCTTTTGTAACTTCCGATTATCCGGTGATTTTATCGTTTGAAAATCATTGTTGCAAAACGCAACAGCATAAATTGGCTAAATATTGCGATGAGATTTTTGGAGATTTGTTGTTAAAAGAACCTTTAGAAGATTGGCCTTTAGAACCGGGGGCTCCACTTCCTCCACCGAATGCGTTAAAAAAAAAAATTTTAATTAAAAATAAACGACTTAAACCGGAAGTGGAGAAGAAAGAATTAGAATTGTTTCGGCAGGGGCAATTTGTTATTGAGGATGAGGAGAAAGAAGATGCTGGTGCTACAGTTAAACCAATTCCTACTGATGTTCCCATACCACCTGAGGTTTAATTAATTGATTAATTATTTTAATGGGAATTTAATTTCTGGGGGTTTTAGACTCCAGCTCCAGATGCAGCCGCTCCTAGTACTGAAGGAGCAGATGCCGCCCCGCCTGTTCCTTATACTGGTTCTACTACAAACGTTCATCCTTGGTTGAGTTCTATGGTTAATTATGCACAACCAGTTAAATTTAATAGTTTTGAAGTTGCTGAACGTGATTTTTTTATAAATCTTTTTATGATTTATTAATATTACACAAAATTAATTTCAGAGAAAAACATCCATCATAACATGTCCAGTTTTTCCGAACCGGTTGGTTTGAATTATTTAAAATCGCAGGCGATTGATTTCGTTAATTACAACAAAAAACAAATGTCCAGAATTTATCCCAGCGGCACCAGAGCAAATTCATCAAATTATATGCCACAGGTAAAAAAACAAAAAAATTTCCTACGAAATAAAAATAATTATTTAAATAAAGGTTTTTTGGAACGCCGGTTGTCAAATGGTCTCGCTAAACTTCCAAACGTCCGATTTACCAATGCAACTAAACCAAGGCAAATTCGAATACAACGGAAATTGTGGTTATCTTTTAAAACCAGATTTCATGAGAAGAACTGATCGTACATTCGATCCATTCGCTGAAAGTCCCGTCGATGGTGTTATAGCAGCACAATGCTCAGTTCGAGTAATAGCTGGACAATTTTTATCTGACAAAAAGGTTTTTATTTTTATTAAAAATTAACTTCCTTCTAAAGATGTATCTAAACTGCCGCGCAAAATTCTTTCATACAGTAAAATCTCGATATAACGGATTAATACGGGGAAGGGAGTCTCTGTTTTAGCCAAAAGTCCATTATATGAAAAATTTGTCGCCCATTGTGTTCTGTATTAGTTAGTTTTACTTTTAGTTAATAAAAATATACAACATTCCTCCTGGCGGCAGACTACGACAACGCACTAAAGATGACAGGTGAGATATTGGCGAAACGTCTGCCCCTTTCCAAAGGGAACCAACAGGAAGAACGGATAAAATCTCGGATAGACCACAATAACACATACTACTAAGAAACACCTCTAAAATTTAGAATACAATCTTTTCGATGCCGAAAAAGCCGTCTTAAGCAAAGGTTTCAACTACGCCCCAACCCCCAGGACTATTCTGGTCGAAGAAATCAGTGTCAACGTCGAATCCAGCTTAACTACAATGGACAAGCAAAAAGCCGAAATTCTGAGAATAGATATCCAGGATCCTACGTTTAGCCAAAATACCCAAGCCCTAGTTGGTTCCAAGTGAACTCCAGGCACTAGAACGTCTTAAAAATAACCAGTACATCATTAGCAGCAAGAAACCCTACGACTTACCTGGAAAAAAACACCAAATCGAAAATAGAGGCATCTCCAATAGACTCTGAGATCAAGGCAATCCTAATTCCTCGGGAAAAATCAAGCAGGTGTCCCAAATTTTATGGTCTGGACTAAATCCACAAGCCTAAGTCTGCCGACTGGAAACTACAACAACACAATGTAGATGCCAGGTGAGATATTGGCGAAACGTCTTGGTCCCTTTCCAAAGAGAACCAACACGAAGAACGGATGAAACACATTATCATTATATTTTCCAAGGATTAAATTTTATTATTATTATACTCCTCTATGGTGAGGAAACCTACAGAAAAACCAAGCTCTTCGAACGACTGAGGGAAAAGAAATCTTACTTTGCGATTTGACTTTACTAAAACGATGTCGTGACTTACAGCCGACCTTCACCCGACTAGCCCACCACACCAGATCCCGACAAACTCAAGCCATCTTCAGACGACCCAGCAACTCTCTTCTCAGAGAAGAAATTCACCAAAACGAGGAAAAACCTTAACGACACTGAATACGAGCTCTGCAAACTTTGGCGTAGCGAATCCAACAAAACTCTAAAAACCAGAAAACTCCAAACGAAATTCAAGGGCTTGCAAACGGAATCCACCAAAAAATTGAAGCACCCACCTCTCCACATTCAGAAAATCGTTCATAATCTTTCAGAATATAATCTTTCCGATGCTGACAGCCGTCTTACGCAAAGGTTTATATATACCCCCAGGACTATTCTGGTCGAAAAAAGAACGTCTTAAAAATAACCAGGGACGCCACAAATAACGCTACAGTGGTTATGGATTCAGTGGACTAAAAGAACAAGATATCAGACTTGCTCAAGGACACAGCTTACAAACCAGCAGCAAGAAACCCTACGACTTACCTGGAAAAAAACACCAAATCGAAAATAGAAGCATCTCCAATAGACCTGCAGGAGCAGCTGAAGATGATTGATAGGCTGAATGCCGAGAATGCTTTTCTAAAGAAGCAGATTACTGAGCTATCGGGGAGTAATATTCCCGCCACAGCAACTTTGAGATCCGAGGAGTTCCTGAGAGGGACAGTGAGAACTTGGTTGCGATGGTCGAGACTATGGGTACCTTCCTTGACATTCCGATTTCGGCTGCTGCTTCCTCACGGCTTAAACGCTAATGTTCATGGGTCGAAGGGTCGTCGAAGTGCTCCAAAGGCTGTTGATGTGCGTTTCTGCAGTCGTCTTGTGCGTGATAAATTTCTTGCTGCTGCGAAATTAAAGACGAAATCGGTTGCTGGGTCCTCACTGGGACTGTCGATCCAGGGTGTTACTGATTGTTGCTTTATTAATAAACATTTAACGCCAGCTAACAAAATCCTTTTTGGTAAAGTGTCGCCAAAGAAAAATCGTATAAGTATGTCTGGACCAGGAATTGCCAGATCTCCGTCAGGAAGAGTGATGACGCACGCCCATACCATACCTAGAGTGACTCAGGTCAGGGATTGTGGGGCCAAGTTGATGGAGCTGTTGCTAAGGCTTGGCACATGTTTGGCTTCGTTATGAGAATCACGCAAAATTTTACAAATATTTATGCTATAAGAACATTGTATTTTGCGTATGTGCATAGCGTTTTAAGCTTCTGCAGCTCCGTTTGGAATCCCCAATATCAAACATATATATCCAGATTTGAAAGCATTCAAAAGAAATTTGAAAGTATTTATGTTTTAAAAGCAACATCGCTTACATTGATTACGTATCAGCCTGTGACCCCTTTAACTTCTTATGCTTTAACATTCCATAAAATTATCAATGGTTGTTTTGATTCTCCTAGCCTTCTTGAGAACTCTCCCATGTTGAGAATGGCGCGCATATGCGACCATTTACTTCGTGGTGCGGGGGTTGATGTCTTTTGCGACTGACTAAGCGTGTTTAAACGTTTGATAATTGCGGCGTGTAAAGCTGATCATAATAATTAGTTTATGTAAGTAAATTCTATATATTTTGATGTACTTTCTCTGTTATTATCTTTGAGGCACGGAGCCTTGGGTTCGTCCCGTTTCCGTGCTCAACTGTATGCATTAAATATATAAATAAAAAAAATTTTAATCCCTCTGGAAAAATCAAGCAGGTGTCCCAAACTCTATGGTCTGCCCAAAATCAGGAAGAACGAATGAAATCTCGGATCGACCACAACAACGCTAACATTTATATTTAAATATAGTGATGTATCAAATAGATGATATTAATAGTATGTCTTAAAAATACTTTGTCCGTTATATCGAGGTTTTACTGTATGTCCAAATTTGGTAGAATTATGTTGCTGCACAATATTTGGACACATCCTTATATAAACTTATTTTAGGTTGGAACTTATGTTGAAGTAGATATGTATGGCCTCCCAACCGATACAATTCGTCGCGAATTTCGTACAAGAATGGTTCCAGCAAACGGCTTAAACCCTGTTTACAACGAAGAACCTTTTCTATTTCGAAAAGTTGTACTTCCAGATTTAGCAGTGCTTCGTTTTGGTGTTTACGATGATAGCGGAAAACTTCTTGGACAACGCATTTTACCACTAGACGGTCTTCAAGCCGGTTTTAGACACATTTCATTACGAACAGAAGCCAATTTTCCAATGTCTTTACCGATGCTTTTTTGTAATATTGAATTAAAAATTTACGTCCCCGATGGTTTTGAAGACTTCATGGCGGCTTTAAGCGATCCTCGCGGATTTATGGGGGCCCAACAAAAACAAAACGAGCAAATGTCTTCCATGGGGATTGAAGTAACCGATAATAAGGCGGATAAGGTTGAGAAAAAAGAAGAGAAGAAAGAGGAACCTTTAGTTTTTGAACCGATTACCATCGAGTTAATAAGACAAGATAAAGCTTTTCAAAAAACAACAAAAAAGAATCAAAAAGAATACGATACATTAAAAAAGAAGCAGATGAAAGAAAAATTAACGATGCAAAAAGCTCAGTGTGGAGCTATCGATAAAATTGTTAAAGGCAAAAAGTATATTTATTTTAAAATTTTGTTTTTTTTTAATTAATTAATTAATTTTTGTATTAGCAAAGCCGATTTAGTTAATGATCCAAATATACGTAAATTAGTCCAAGAGCAAACATTGCAATGGAGTGAATTAATGGAACGTCATCGAAAAGAAGAATGGAAATTTTTAAAAGGTCAACTGGACGATCAAAGAGAACTCTTAAGAAAACATATGGAATTAATGCAAGCCGGTCAATTAAAACAATTAGAAGCGAGACATGAAAGGGATTTGAAAGAAATGAATGCTAAACAAGCTAAAATTTCAGTTGAAACATCAAAAGAAGTACATTTCCATATTAACTATTAATTATTTTTTAATAACTTAATTTTTGTAGATTAATAACGATAAAACTTTAAAATCAAAACAAGAAAAAGAAAGAAGACTCCGAGAAAAGCAACAGAATAATACAAAAAGGTTTGTAGACGAACGAAAAATTAAAATTAGTAAACAAAATAATGAAAAAGAAAAATTAAAGATTAAGCACGGTAAACAATTAGAAATGTTATCGCATGATATACAAAAAATGATTGATATGTACACGAATGAAGAAATCGAATATGAAATGTCCAGCAAAAGCGAATTTTTCGCTTAATTTGGACACATTTTTAGCTTAGTATTTGATTAATAATTGGACCAAAAAACTAATATTTTTAGCGCTCTCTCTTTGCACTTGCCATATTTTTTTCTAGGTGGTCTCGAAATAGATTTTATCTATTTAAAAGTAGATGGTTAACTTGTGAACTATTAAATTAGATGTATGTTAATGTTTTCGGATAATTTATTACCTTGTGATTAAGGTATAACTATTTATCTGTTTAGATCATGTTAATAAATATTTATCTTAAAATAAATATAAACTTATTAATTTTGCTGAATCTATATTTTCAGGAACCATAAATCTATTAAACTAAAACTAGAACTGATACTAGCACTATCACTAAACCTAGAACTAGAAACTTTCGGGTTAAGTCGTGCGTCTTTTGAAAAAATGTTTGATGTTTAGGATGCCATGTTGCAACCTTCTTCAGAAACAAGTTCGAAGTGCATAAATCTGTATTAACCTTTCTTTGGGAATGTTAATTTTTTTTTAATTCTACCCATATGAATTGAAAGTCCTAGGCAAATTGAACAAGGCTAATAAAAAGGAGGAAACCTGGATTGATCCCACCTCACCTTACTATTTATGTTACAAAAATCCACTGACATCAAGACAAGGAATGGGCTCCTGGCATTTGCTGCGTATGGTGTGCTGTTAATCTGAAGGGCTGGTCAAACGGTAAGAACAGCGCGATGCCATTTGCTGCACCTATGGATTCTGGATTCGCGAATCGCCCGCAGCACTTTTACCTCAGCAGGTCTCTTGTACTTACTTCCCTCTTTTGGTCAGCATTAGGGTCCTTCCAGCCATATTACCTTGGAGGTAAAAGCTAAAATGTCCTGGTTGTACTGCCCTGATTCCACTCATGCGAATCTGGATATCTCCAGATGTTTGGAGGGCCACGCAGTCGCATAGAATGTGTTCCGCCGATTCCTGCTTCTCACCGCATCCTCTGCAGATGTCGGTGTCACTTATTCCCATGTTCAGTAAGTGCTTCTGTAGATGCCAGTGTCTAGTGATTAGACCTATGATCAAACGTAGGTTTTTCCTAGATAGCCTCATAAATAAATCTGTTCGTTTAGGGTCAGGGTACATCAGAGCCTCCTGGCTTGGCGACATCCTGGTGTCCTGTCCCAGTAAGTTAGAAACTTCTTACGTGTTTCCTCTTTTTGACACTCTATTAAAGACCTTATTGTTGGGGTGATGAATGGTTCTGGCGATCCTGGAGGTTCGCCTGCAGCTTTCCTTGCCAGTTTGTCCACCATGTCATGAAGCTTATTTCCCGAATGAGCAGATCGTAATCTCATTGCTAGCGGTTGCCTCACAAAGCTTGTTATGGCAATCCTCAAGCAACGAGGATGAACTGCGATACCGCCCGCAGTTCATTCCGTTTATTACTAATTTTCTTGGAAATTTCCTCAGCCGGCAGAGAAATAGCCACCAGTTCCGCTTGGAGCGCGGTGGACCAAATTCCCAGCGGTTTAGAAACTTTTATTGTTGGTTCGACGGAATAAACCGAAGCACCAGAGCCAGTTTCCCCACGAGATCCGTCCACCCATAATTGGAAGACAGTTTCGTCAGGCATGGATTGTTCTCCTACCTTTATTTCATACGGTCATTTGAAGATAAAACGCGTTGGAATCGTATTTACTCTGCCATTCAGGAGCAGCTGTTTGCTACATGCCTCCTCCAATATCTGGCTAGTCGATTTTCCATATTTGTAAAGCTTGCAGCCGGATCATTGTTGCTATCACCGCCTCCTCAACGTGATAATTGAGAGGAGGAAGGCACAGTACATTCTCCATTGCTGCTGTTGGTGTGGTTATCATCGAGCCTGTAACGTAGAGACAAGCCAGACAATTTTTGTAGTTGCAAAACAATCGTTTTATTTACGGCCACCAGTTTACGGCGCCGTAAGTTAACATTGGACGTATCACTGCAGTGTATATCCACCGGGATATTTTGGTTGTTAAACCCCAGGAAGTCCCAACGGCCCTTCTGCACTGAGCGAATGCAATGCGTGCCTTATTTATTTTACCTTCGATGTACGGTCAGCGTTTTATCCAGGGTTAATCCTAGATACTTCACTTCATTGGCAAAGCGCAAGGGAACTTTGCAAAGCCAGGGCGCTAAGGGTACCCAGCTTTCTTTTACTTATGAAAAGGACCATCTCTATTTTATTCGGGTTTACCGATAGAGAATTGTCTCGACACTAGCGTTCGATTATTCTCGCCTATGATTTGGCGCGAACAAACGGCTCATTTTTCCGATTGGTACTTTTGCTGCACGAAAACTTTCGGGTTCTCCAACAAGATTAATTACGCTAGTGTATCCTCTGCTATTGGTCCAGTACTTCATTCAGAAGCTTTTCCAGTACCAAGATGTTTGTAGTGAAGAATATGTTATCACAAAAGCAGAAGAACAAATTTCCGAGTTATCGACCAACGATGATGAATATTTGCCATCTCAAGAGGACGAACCTCACTTAGTAAATCAGTCAGAATTAAATGACCTTATTCGAGATCTGAATTTGTCAAAATCTCAAGCAGAAATACTAGGATCTAGACTTCAAGCATGGAAACTTTTAGCTCCAGGCACACACATTTCTGTGTATTGTAATTTCGTAATAAGAAAGAACTATCACAGCATTTTTCATTCAAAGAAGATCTTTCTTTCTGCAATGCCGATGACTTGATGCTGACATTACGTCATCAATAATGTAATCAATAACCCTGAAGAATGGCGTCTTGTTATCAATGCTTTGAAATTGAGTTTGAAAGCTGTCCTTCTTCACATAGGTAACGTTTATCCACCCCAGTTAGCCACGTAGTCCACCTAATAAAAATATGACTCGTCTTCTCAACAAAATTAATAACAAAGTCTACAAATGGCATATCAGCGCTGACCTCAAAATTGTAGCAATTCTACTCGGTTTACAACTGGAATACACAAAACGCTGCTGATTCCTTTGTGAGTGACGTTGTTAAAGATTGGCCAGTCACGGCTCAGTATATTCTTGGACAAAAGAACATACTTCATAAGGCATTAATTGAACCTAATAAAGGTAGCCATCTAGGTCCTTTACTGTTTAATATTTATGTTAATGACATATTTGACGTCGGTAATTATGCGGTAATTATATCGGTATTAATGTTTAATGTATGCTGACGATATAAAACTCTGTATCTACTCACCTCTTGATTATTCTAGATTGCAATCTGATTTATATAATCTTTATACTTTTTGACATAAATAAAATGAATAATCGCCTTTTATTAAACTTATCAAAGTGTAATATTATTTCCTTCTCTAGGAGAGTAAACACAATCCACTACAATTATAGCGTCGCTGGTGAGAAGTTTCAACATGTCTCATTTATTAGAGATTTTAGTGTTACATTTGATTGCAAATTATTATTTGATAAAGATATTGATATTGTCTCCAAAGCCTGGCGTATGTTAGGATTTATTATGAAATCCACGGTAGCTTTTTCTAACATTGATGCAATTAGAAAACTATTTTGCCTATGTCTCCAGCACACTTAACTTTTGCAGCGTCGGTCGTTTGGAATCTTCACTATCACTCGTATAAATCTAAAATTGATCGTATACAATCTAAATTCCTCATGTACCTTTGTTTTACAGTTTCTGTTCAATACATTGATTACGAATGAACTTGCACTTCTTTTCGTATGTTAACTCTCAGTCAGCGTCGCTTTTGTGGGGATTTGTTATATTTTTATAAACTTTTGAACAACAAATGTGTTTTTCCAATGCTTGTTGGTTTTATATGTGTTCATGTTCCTCCGAGATTACTTCGCTTTGACTTTCCATTTATAACACCTACTCCTAGATCTCCTAGATGTGGCAACATAGATGTGTTTCAGCATTCTTTCTATGCATTTGAAAAATTGCTCATTCCTGCAGTTGGTGCGTTGCCTTGCGCGTTCATTTGATATGTTATATTTATATCACCAAGACTTAGTTTTATTTTTCTCCTTTGGATTCACTTTTGTACCATTATTATTGTGAACTGTAATTTAACTTGTATACAACTGGTTGTTTATGGTACAGTGTTATTGAGTTCGACCTGTTTCTGTACTCACTTGAGAAAAATAAATTAAAAAACATCATTAAGATATATATATCTTTTATTGTAATTTTCAATAATTATCATTTTTGACAGTTCGAAATTAGTACAGTAAAGTTCCGCAGTGAATCAGCGCCTTTCTAACCACACTTTATCGACACACTAAAAAATGTAAGTATATAAATATTGTAATTATTAATCAATAAAAGCTTTAAATAAAGATTTGTAAAGTAAATTTTAAAAAGTAAAATGTTTATTATTAAATATCCAACGACATCTTTGATAGATCTGTCAAACTATAACCTCAAATTGTTTTCTATTTTTCTTTTGAGAAGGTCGTTAAAGCTTAAAAAAATAATACAAATAAAACCGTTTTTATAAACGTTGATTGAATTAAAGCTTGTTATTTTAGAAATGAGCACATTTTTGATGCGTAAAGTATTGGATAAGTATTAATGTTGGATTGGGTGATTATGACTGGTGAACCTAACCAAGTAAAAAGACCATCTGTATACGGTTTGGATGCTTCTTTACAATCAACAAGAATGAAACCGAATAATTATTCACCATACATGCCTGGACCATCCACTTACACCAACAATTTCTCTTTTTACTCCAATTTTGGGCAAATACCAGCTTCTGTTACGTTCCCTTTGCCTCCAATTGAGGCAGCTTATAGCGATGGTGTCTCAAATAGTACTGCATTAACAAGATGTAAAAGAAAAATGGATGATACCCCAATGTAAGTTTGTTATGATATTAATTTTTGAGGTTATTTTAATTCTTGTTTAGTTCTCGTTCTGTGAAGCAACATATCACAGAAGATCGTATGGCTGAACATTTATCGAAATTACATATAAGCACACAAAACCCAGCCCCATCATCTGAACCAGAGACAACCGAAACTACAGAAAAACGTCTCTACATGTGTGAGGTAATGAGAAAGTTACAAACAGAATCCGTTATACCGCAATCACTTTTGGATCGTGTAACCGGACCTTGTAAAGCTTTAGTTTTGTGGTCTCCACCCCAAAGAATTTTTCCGGTACTTCCAAACATAGCAGAAGATGAAAATTATGATAATAATAACGAAGAAGCCGTTCCTGATAATAATTTAATGGATCTTGATCGATAATTTTTATTAAGTAACTTTTAATCATTGTGTATGTATATAATTTATATCATGAGTTCATTTAAAATAAGTTTTTTTTTGTCAACATTAATTAAAAATTAATTGCTACAAGAAAATAGGTTTTAAATAAAAGCTGTAGGTGATGTGACTGATTTTTTTTTAAATAAACATCTTTTAAAACAATAATGTGTAATGTATTAATCCTAAATCATAGAAATTGCGTTTTCAATAGAAAGTGAAGAAATTGAACGTTTCAGGTCAAATTCATGAATAATTTAACGTTTGTAACATTGTTAGAATTGAAAAGATGACGTGTATAGTGAAAGGTTTATGATACTCTCCTATTATTTGCAAATTAGAAACTCATAAACAATTTCGTTGTTTATAAATTAAATGTTTTAAGGTTATATTTAAATTTTTTGTTGATTAGTTACCATGTCAACCGAAACGTCAAAAAAATCATTTGTCAATTTGACATTAATTTGACAATTAAGAGTGAGGTTAAATAATCAAATAATTTTAAATTAGTAATTAATTCGTTTTTATTTATTTTTTTTAGTATTGTTTAGTAGAGATCCCCGCCCCAGTGGCTGTTAACGATTGTGGACAGCTTCACGTGGACACAAATCATTTTTAGCGCATGCGTGCGTTTTAGTTTGAAAGCAGCATGGCAGACTGTACGAAGGGTGGTGTAACGTTAAGCGATTTTTCGAATTTTTCGTTCGTTTCAAAGTGAAATTTCGTCGTGGTACCATATCGGGAAAATCCGCGAAGCCCCCTTCGACCCGGTCCAGCGATGTCCACCGCTGTCTTCACTCACTTCCGCATTATTTCAGGTACGTTCTCCGTTTTAAATGTTTATTTTTTTAACGCACAACATACGTACACCGTTCGTTTTACCACCACGAAGTTTTAATTTCAAAAAAAAATTAAGTGTATTAACCCTTTATTTTTGAATAATCAATTGGGGTTATGTGTGGAATTTGACGTAAATAAATTCATTTTCTAGGTTAGATTTGACCTACATTTTAGTTTGCTGTAGTGAATAGATTTTTCTATAAAAGATGATTAAAAATTGGTTATTCGAGCTAAATCGGAGAATTTTTTTGTAATTATAAATAAATTGTGTATTATTGTTATTAATATTAATAATTCCAACAAATTATTTTTATTTCAGTATGTTCTAACATAGTTATTCCAAACACCTGTATTATATTAGGCAGGTGTTTTTTGGATTGGATAAAAACTTTATAGGGGATTCTGATGCAGGTATATTCTTCCATTGTAACCCGAGGCTTATATTGGCTAGATTTTTTTAAAATTGTGACACGAAGCTTTTACTGAAATTGTTTTTCACTTTCGATTTTCTTATTGTACCGCGAGTCTCGACATCGAGACCATATTCCATAAACTACGTTATTTTTATAAGGAAATGGAATGTCACCGGTACAGATACCGCTGGCTCTATTGGGATGGAAAAAGTCTTGTTTACAAGCTCCGTAGACTCTTTTTCTTATGAATTCAAAAAGAGAAATCTATCCGAACCAAAACAATAAATTCCTTTCTTTTACAGTGTTTTTCGAAACGTTCGTAAAAAGGGTTAACATAAAAACGGTGTAATTATAAGAATTTATGAGTCATCATGTATGACTATTTATAGTATGTGGATTGCTCGACAATAATGCAGACATTGCGTGCATGAATGTCGTGGGCTCGCCTGCAATGCTTATGCTAATTTAGGTGAGTTTCAATTAACACAAAGAACAAAAAATTCATATTTTTTTTTTCAGTTTTAAATTTTTATTTTTAATTTTTTTACCAATCACAAAGAACATAACATCTTTCATGATTATAAGAAAAATAATTAATACAGTACTTAAAATTTCGATATAACGGACCTCGCTCATAGATAGAATCCAATTCGGGTTATTCCCCAAGTTGTTCTATTCCATGTTCATAGATAAACTTGGGGTATTCCCCGAGTTGTCTAAACGATGTATAAATCAGGGTTGTTTTGTTTTAAACATTTTGTTTTAATCAACTGTTTTAAACATGTTTTAAACGTCTGCTTAGGTTTAAAACAGTTTAAAACATGTTTAACCCTGCAGTTGACGGGTGGTTTAAAAATCACACTGTTCGACGGGCTGGGTCCCTCAGACACAAAGTTTGATGCTTATTCCTCCCACAATAACACAATAAAATATTACATTTATTGTATTCTACTGTTAGTCTGTCTTCTTTTGTACTGCTGAAAGTATAAATAGTTATCAAAAAACAATTGTCCAAAAGGTTATTATTTATTAAAAAAAATGTTACATTTAACGTACTTTACACAAAAAATTGTAAATAAAAAAAGTTTAAAACAATATAAGAAAATTTGTTGCCTAAACGTAAACTAAAATGTTCAGCTCCTCCGAAAACAGTCGCCTGCTGTTTGTAAATTCGCCATCAGGGCTATTACTTTTATTTATTATGAATGCGCTGATTGCTGCTACATTCAGTATGCCGAAGAAAACCACCAATGGCCACCGCCTTGTGTTTCGAGCAATATTGGACGATGTAATCATTCTATCCATTACATCAACACCACTCTTTGTATTATTATGGAATGTTATAATTTCTGGTTTTTTATTTTCACCGGAATTTTCGTCAATTTAGTCATCATACTGCATAGATGATCAGAATTATCCACTTGAAAGGGTCCTGTAGGTTGTAGTCCAGCATAAATCTCCAAATGCAACGTGTAAAAGGTTCTTGCATCCACTAAAGGAAATACTTTTATCCCATATTTACTTGGTTTATTTGGAATGTAGACCTTAAAGCTACATCTTCCGCGAAATGCTAATAACATTTCGTCCAAGGTCACATATTCACCCACACTGTAATGTTTTTTAGAAACTTGATTAAATTTTTCAAATATGTTCCTTACGGCAGCAAGTTTGTCTAGTTTCCGTCGCTCCTTTCTTGTATCGGTATTGTCAAAAGTATGCACTTCATCAGGAAAATAAACCTTCGTTGAGACATGCTAGCAAGGAACATTTGCAATCCTAAACCTTTTTCGGACCAAAATTCACTTAATTTTTTACGGCCTCCATGCTGAGAACCGGCTAAATACAATGGTGTAACATCGTATTTACTCTTGAATTTTGATGATGCTTTTTGAATATACAAGTTAGTATTTACTGTAATTATATCTACAATTTCTTCAAAAAAGAGGATCCAACATTGAAACGGCGTGTTGGCCTTTCTTGTTTCTCCAAGAACTCCAGGCAAGTGGGTAACGATATTTTGCTGTCTTATGCGAACGCGGCGAGGGGGAGCACGCTTTTTCCACTTAGTTCTGTCACTTCCATAAAAATACTGTGATCGGGTATACTAGTACTAATAGAAGGATTGTCCTCTTCATCTGGTTCTTCTTGTTCTGTATCAGTACTATGTTCATTAATCATATCTTCAGCAACCGACTCACTATCAGATTCGTCACTAACGTCTGGACTTGGAATTTCATCGGTAAGTGCATTGATTTTCTGTTCGTAACTATCCATTTCACAAAATGAAAATAATAAATTCGCTTGTAGGGAACGTTACGTGCAAGTAACTTACAACACACTAAACATAAAGCGGTTTGCCTTCATTTATATAGTATTCCGAAATAATATTAAAAAACAGGGATTACCCTAAAATGGAGCATCTGTACAGTAGACAAACCTAGGAAAGGGACTCCCTGATAGCAAACAAAAATTAGCCTTCTTATTCAAAAGCAGCCGAAAGAAATACTTCTTGTATTCGGGACTGCTGATTACGTCATAGGTTTGGGAAATTACAACGATTGGTAAATTTACAATGACTAAATTATGTTTCGATTTATCATTAACAATTCTAGAAATTGTGAATTGTGCCTCGACTTGAGCGAACCATATTTCTGGTTTGTTGACCCAGAAAGGAGATAATTTCACATGTGAAAGATTATCTATTGAGTTGTCGCTATTACATTGAATTGAAAGATATTAATTTTGAAAAATATCGAGTTTTGAAGCGATACCTTTGACTCTAACTATTCTATGAGAGAAAAAATAACGTGACTACTCACCAACAGCTTGTATACAAAGAAAAATAAAAACTTGAAATCTTGGGCAATTTCTCTAAACAAATGTTGTTTCTCGAAGAACTTCGGTTCCAGGTCAGTAAGAATGTGTTTTCTGGACACTTGTAGTAGCGGGGGTGCTTCTCTTTGTCGTTCCACTCATCAGATTGATGTGGTGCTCCACTACACGTAGATTCCAGATATGAATTAATAATTGGGAATAATTTAGGGAAGGTTTGTGTTCGTGGGGGTCACCAATTTATGGAAGGTTTTTATATTTTTTATTGTAAAACACTTTTCTAATGTTTTTCAAAGGCCGATGTTATTATCATTAAATATTACATAATTACATATTTACAGTGACACATTCCTGAGGTATGGTAGGCTGTGGTGCCGCCACAATATGTATAGTTATAATAGGCTGTTATATTTAGTTCTCTCTGCAATGTCTGAAAATATAGAGAATTCATAGATTTGGAACTGATTTGAAGTTTAAGTTTACCTTCAAAATAAGAAAAAACTGATTTTGCGCTGGTTTGTTTCATTTTGGAGTCTCTATTTGTAATAGTATAATATGGTCTATAGTCTCTATACTATTACAAAAGTTTGTAAGGTGCTAACGCATTACAGATCTCACGTTGGGCTTTTAAACTTCGTTGTGTTATAGAATCCTTTTCGATCTACATATCTATTAGTCTTTCTCCTATTTCTAAACAGTTTTAAGTTTTTTGAACACGTTTTGAGAGTTAAAAAGTTAACGTAACTGGAAAAGAATTTTCGTTATTTTCATCACTGTCACTGCATTCATGATTATCATCAGTTATTAAATTTGTCTGCTCTTCTTCTTGCAGTTTAGAATCATGTGACTCAAGTAGCTTTTCAATATCTGATATTGAATGATAGTTACTATTACCATCTTCCGGTAACGATCGCTCTAAAGCTCCTGTAGCCTGGATGTCATTCTGCAAATTATCATTATCCTTCTCTGATGTGATAACAGTTGGCCAGATTTTCCTCCAGCTGTTCATTATTTTCCTAGTTTGTAGGTCTAGGTCTAGTGTTAGTTTTAATGCTAGGGTTAGTTCTAGTCTTAGTTGTTATTCAGCGTTAGATTGTTGTATAGTTTTCATTGATCTAAAACTAGAACTATCCTTAGAAGATCTAGAACTAGCAAGTTACGGCAGTATGAATATTTGTAGTGCTAAGTCTAGTGTTAGTTCTAGTCTTAGTTGTTATTCAGCGTAAGATTGTTGTATAGTTTTCATTGATCTAAAACTAGAACTATCCTTAGAAGATCTAGAACTAGAAAGTTACGGCAGTATGAATATTTGTAGTGCTATGTCTAGTGTTAGTTCTAGTTTTAATTGTTATTTAGCGTTAGATTGTTGTATAGTTTTATTGAATTAATAAAGAACGCAACAATTTGGATAATTGATTGAATATGTGTACATTAAAATTATACATTCAAACAGTTTAAAGTGCAAATTAAACATATAATTGAAACTCCCTTCAACGTTTTTAATCCGTCAGTCATATCGAGGATTTTACTGTACTTGTGATATAAAACACTTTCTTGTCATTTTAACTTGATGGATTGTTCAGTTTCCGTGACATGTCGTCCTTTGGTATTACTTTAAAACGTCATTAGAATGTGCACCTTGTGAAGTGTTCATTGTACCCCACGGTTCTATTGTAGTAAAAGCAGAACAATGGCCTTTAGTACGATATTAGAACCCTTATATGTCGTGCGTG